TGACAGATTAAATTTATAGGTTAAGTGATATACGTCTAGATTATTTCTCGAATTAAAGGAAACAATTTGAAAATTCATAAAATCTGACGTATGTGTCAAAATTTATAAATATTTTTTTAAAGAAAATTCCATTAATTTAAGGTATGTAATAAGTAATAATTGATATTTCGTAAACTAGATAGCTTATTTTTTATTGTTTTTTAAAAAATGTTCCTTAAAACTTGTAAATAACACCATAAAATCGTAAACAAAAATCCAATATGGAGGCTAAAATTTAATCGTGGTTAAATGGTTCTAGTGATTTAATCGCTTATTTAAACGAAATTTATTCGAAAAAAATAATCGCCAATTTTGGTCACTTGCATTTCTGTTCTTTTTTTTATCCGTCGGCTAACCGTATTTTTGACAGCTTTTAATAGGTTTAAATTGACAGGAGTATACTCTACAATTCTATAGAATTGTCAATTATAACATTTTTTTCTTCAAAAGTAGTCGTACTCTTTACTCGTGTTTTCACGATTGTATGACATTTCAACTTCAACTTCAGCCCGTGACTAAAGCACAATAAAGCCACAACTTGTCAATGTGTCATGGAACATTGGCGGATCCAAGGGGGGGGGCGATGGGGGCGATCGCCCCCCCCGGAAGTAAGTTATCAAGTTGAAATTGAACATAACTTTTTAAATTAATATAGAAAATAATAAAAAAATGGAATAACTTTAATTTCAACTTTCTTATTATTTACAAAAATTTTCAACTCCGCCCCCCCCCAATGACACATTCTAGATCCGCCCCTGTCATGGAAACTTGTACGATAATAAGCGTTTTAAAGGTAGGAGTAGAAAAAAGTGATTTATCAGGAACGACACCAAAATCTCACAGTCTCTCTTTCTCGCCACGAGAAGAATTCAGCTCGGGCCCCGCAATACCATACGAGCTTAGTGCAACGTCACGGAACAATAGAGAATCTTATTAACTCGACAAGATCGTTTATTTCGTTAACGTTTTTTCCTCCGCACCGTCCACCTTCTCTCTCCCCTCGTTTTGTTTTGTTTTCGATGCGGCGAGAAAACTTGGCCGCGCGCGGCCAGAGGCCAGTCCCCTATCGTAAATCTTAAGTCAATTTGAATGCGGCGCATTGTTTTTCAAAATGCAACAACAACCTAGCTGGTTCGCTCTAAATCGCCCGTTTGTCGAGATGCCGACCGCAGATTTGGCAACGCGGCGAAATTTTAATTGGGTGTGCCGCAAGGTACCCACTCGGGACCCATGTCACAAGCCTCAAGATTGTCAAAATATGCATCTAATTATGAACAGAGACCTAACAATAAGGTGACCATGAATTCTAATTTTCGGTAAGAATTTCCAAAAAACTTGATGATCATTTAACAAAATATTTACGAGGTGTGTTCAGAAAATAACGGGAATTGTTAAATTTCGCGGGTTCATAAAATTTTCTTTATTATGTTGGTATAAATGCCCCCGAAGTATGATAAAAACTTTAGCTGTTTTCATTGTTTACTTTGTCTGTGGCAGCCGCTAAGGTTAGACGTGTTTTATGAGCTCGGCGATTTTTCGTTCGTTAAGAATTTGTATCCAATTTTGCTTAAAAAATGAAATAAATTCTGTGAAATGTTAACAAAGGCCTATAGTGAGTCTGCTATAAGTAAAACAAGAGTTTACAAGTGGTATAAGAGTTTCCAAGATGGCCGTGAAGACGTTGAAGATGACGCACGCCCCGAACGCACAAGCGCATTAACAACCGATAAAAACATGGAAAAAGTGGAAGAAATGGTTATAAACCATCAGAGAAGTCGCTGATGATGTTGGTATATCGATTGGCTCATCCCATGAAATTTCTTCAAATGTTTTGGGTAGGAAACGCGTTGCAGCAAAATTTGTTAAATTTTGAACAAAATTTTTGGCCAAAAACAACACTGTAATGATGCCCCAGCCTCCATATTCGCCAGACATGCCTCTGTCATACAGACTTTTTCTTATTCCCAAAAATTAAGAGAACCTTAAAGGGCCGTCGTTTTGCAAGCATAGATGACATTAAAAGCGCATCGCTGAAAGAACTAAAGGCTATCTCAAAGATCGAGTTTTAGAAGTGTTTCGAGTATTGGAAGAAGAGCTGACACATGTGCATAATATCCAACTGGGACTATTTTGAGGGCGACAACAATAATGTAGACGAATAAATAAATATTTGTTTCAAAAAACGAAAATTCCCGATATTTTCTGAACACACCTCGTATATCCCTTTATCAAAAAAATCATAATTTATAATACCACTTGAAGAATTTCCATTGGAAATAAATTCAAGCATCTTCTTTTGAATTAATCATTTTATGTTTTCGTTTAATCACTTATTAAAACAACTTATAAAGTTTTTAATTCTTGGAGATGTTGACATTGAACACATTTTTCCACCATACATAAATGATATATTCACACCATCTTGCTTGCTTTTCTTATTTCAACTTTTTTAGTATCTTTTGAAAAAGTGATTTTACCATTTATATCTTTTGAAATGCGTGATGGTTGTACGTAATACTTTGCATAATACACGGCATAAAATTGAAGGATTTTTTAAATTTATTGCCAATATTAGCTCGTTTAATAATGCAACATTTTGGGTACAGCCATAAAAGGTGTTATGATGGTAAATATTTAATATGGATTTAGTAGATAAAATCAATATTTTGATATAGGTACTTGTCCAAACTATTTAATAAATGTTCTAAAGGATACCGACACTTGTAATACATAAAATATCTTATCTATGTGTAGATCTATAATATACAGTTTTTTTACTTGTTATAACAAGGTTTTCTTGTTTTGGTCCCTGTATCACTTCTGATTACACAGGCCGGGGTATTGGAGCTGATTTTATCTAAATTTGATGCCCAGAATTCAAATATGGCATGAGTTGAATGCCTATTAGCCCAAATTTCGGAGTTTTAAGATTTGCGTTTTTTCAGAAAATTTGTGGGCTTATATTATTTTAAAAAAAATTATATGTATATTTAACATATTTCTTGTGTCCCAGAAAGTCCACACAAATTTTTTAGTTTTTTTGATTTTTATTTACTATGTTAATTTTTAACACAACAGAATGTGTAAAAGAAAATTAATATATGTTATAACATAAAAATATATTTTTTTACATAACTGCAAAATTAATTTAACAAATCGTGTTGTGTCAATTTTATTTTTTTAATGCTTATTTTAACCTAAATTAATAATTAATATGATTTAAAATCTGTATAACTTTAACAAAATTAAATATGTTACATTTATTTATATTTTATTTATTCATATTTTATTATTTTTACTTTAACATATAACTTTCTATTGATTTTACACAAATAGTATGTCTTCATTTAATTATTTTAATTTGTTATTTTAACAATATTTTTTAATCAATTTTTACATTAAATTAATATAAGAAAATTGGTTTTTGGGCAAAAAATAAAACATGTAAGTATGTAATAATAATGATTTATTATACTACAACATAATTTAAAAAAACAGCAATAAAGCATTGGAATTCACTAAAATTGTACAGTCCAGTCCTTTTTTTGTATTCCAAAATAAAATACAAATCCATGCCATAGGGTAAACGGTCTTCAAATATTTCTGGGGATACAAACGTTATGTAAGTAAAAAAAACATTATCATAGCATACTTACCTTTAAATTTTGTTAAACACACGCTATACAACCTTACAATTGGGAACCTCAAATCGAATTAACTATCATCAACCGACTAAACGCGGTTAGAAGACAAATGGCCTTGCATGGCAATTGTTTTAAATTGATTAAAAATTTTTTGTATTCAAATATTTAACAAATATTTTTGAGTTAGATTAACACTTGTTTAGGAGTTATTTAAACTATTGTGTTATATTGAAATTAACATAATTTTCTCGTAACATTAACATTCTTATTTGTGTAGGACCTTTTAACACATTAATGTTTGTTAAATCTTTTGAAATTTTAAGATTTTAATTATTATAATTTTTGTATCAAGTAACATATAATTAGGAATTTTATGTAAATTTTTACATTTTTTTATTTAACACGAATTATTTTTAACACAAATTTTATAAATTTTTAACTGTGTAGAAACCACATCAGGATGATTTACACTTCTTTTACTTGAATTCATTTTACGCTCAATAAAATTCAATGCCTTTTTCACTTGGTTAATTTATATACACTGTCTTTAAGGTGGTAAAGTACCTTCAAGTAATTTAATTACTACAACGTGTCCAAACAAAATATTATTTATTTAAGGTGTAAAGTATTAGTATTTTATTAGTAAATATCTCTAAATAATATTTGGCCTGTTATAAATTCGTATAAATATTGGACTGGGCCAAAAAAATTGACTATTTTTTTTTGAAAAATATATCGAGAATGTCATTCAGAATGACAAAAAAAAATTCGTGATAATTTGAGCCCTTAATATTAATTTAAAGAGGTCTATCATCGCTATTTTTAATTTTTACGTTAGAACTGTCAAAACAATAAAGTGAAAAAAAATCCTTTTCACTTATTTTCATATAAAATTAAATTCTCTACAAAAAAGGTCTGATTGAAAATTTTCCGAGTAATTGAGCTTAATAAATCGATGTGTTTTTTCGATTTGCCATTTTTACTTTGAAATTTTGTAACTAATGAATCAATGAATATTTAAAAAAGCTCACGTCGAATTCTTAAAGGAAATTTAATGTTCTACAAAAAAGGTCTTTTAACATTTTTGCCTAAATTTAATTCTTCAAAAGTTATTCACGAAGAAAAAATTGAAATTTTAAGTTTTTCTTCGATTTTAATAAATTTAATATTAAGGGCTTAAATTTTCACGAAATTTTTTTTGTCATTCTGAATGACATTCTCGATATATTTTTCAAAAAAAAAATAGTCAATTGGTTACAATTAGGCTCCCTGCGGCACTCCACAATCATTTTAACATGTATTTTCTTTTTTTTCTAGGTGGGTTTGTCTATGCGCCTGGTGGTTGGCCCGTGTCGGCCTAAACTGGTCTCCTGAAAAAATGCGCAGTCTTGGATCCGTACTGCATGTCTGCGCGTGGGGTTTTCCGGCTGCTCTTACCGTTTCGTCATTGGTGCGCAGAGACGTCGATTCTGATGATTTGACAGGTAAAATTACTAAAAATTGCGTTTTTATTACAGTAGAAGAGTTTCCATGGAATGTCTTCGAAATTTGATATATTATTTTGTGAGAAGACGCCACAGTGTATTTTGTATCCCACGAGTTGGCTTATGAGATTTCCGTAAAAAAATAAACTATAATTATAAATTTTTAATCAACATGCGCAAGTGTTATATCGGTTTGTACTCCTGTCTCTAGTCTTCATGAGGAATATCAAAAAACAATTTTGTGTAAAGTTCATTTTTTTATTGCAAATTTAGGGTTTTGGTTGGTAAATACAGTTGTCAAGTTGGTCGCATTGATTAAAACAAACTAAGCTAGTTATAAATCTAATTGCGGTTATGTATAAATTATTTTAGGTTACATTGTGCAGTTGTCGAAATTCGTAGTTAAAAATGCAATTAATTTCATATCAATCATATAAAAAAATTAATATAGGTTGCTTTACGGCCCAAAAGAGAAAGTATTTCTAGCGGATAATAATCTTCGCTTTGAAAAGAATTTAAATAAAAGAAATTAAAATTTTCGTTACTTTTTTACTCCAAAAATGTCCATAAGGCGATGTACTTTTTCTTCCATTGTGGCATTTGGCATAATTTCATCAAAATGAAGTTTTGCCCTCAAAAGGGCTTTTACATTCGAATTCGTTGCTATTATTTTTGGCATAATTATCTTTTTATTTATAATTGACAAGTAAATTATCAATAATAAATATTATTGTCAATTTGACAGTGTCAAAGTATTTAATTAAATTCTTTAGCAGAAGTACCATTTTTAAATACTTAAAATACTAAGTCAAACTGGCATAAGCCACCAACCTAACAAAAAAACGAGTTCAGATAAAAAAAAATGAACTGTAGGTACTTTTTAAAATTGTCATTTCAAATTTGCTGCTGCCAACTTTAGAATCCCAAAAATTTGACAGTTTTAAACCTTAATTTTGCCATTTATAATAATTTGTAATAAAGTAATTACAATATAACGTTTTGTTTTTACTACACTGGCACCGCTGAATTTGCTGTCACAACCTACTGTTTTATTATTCATCTTGCGAGAGAGTGCTTAATAAAATGAGTACCTACACTGAAAAAAATAATTTGTTTAAGCAACTAAAAAAAAGTTGCGCCAACAAATTTTATTTGTAGCTATAGCCTCAACTAAAATCTTTGCTACAACAACAAATTTTTTTTGTTGAGACATAATATGTTACTGTAACTAATATTTTTTGTTGACAAAACTATGGCGTCTTGTTTAAAGTAACTAATATTATTGATATCTCATACAATAATATTTTGTTGTTAAAACAGTTTACATTTGTTTTAGGTAATAATTTATTTGTTTCTATAACTTTTTGCATTTGTTTTCATTATAAAACTACAACATTGTTGCTTTGTTGTTATAACATTTGGTAGTTCTTTTAATAACCAAAAAATAATTTTTGTTAAAAGAACTTAAACAATATTAACCTATGCCTACACAATATTGTTAAAGCACCTCTTTCAGTATGTAATACTAATTAATAAAAAGAGTTGCATTAACAATATTGTGTAGGTATAGTTTAATATTGTTTGATTTTTTTTAACAAAAATTATTTTGGTACCTTTAAAAGTATTTTCTAATGAAGAAAATCCCCACTAGGTTAATATTTGGTTTACTTCTTCATCCATAACGCCCAATGCACAAAAATTAATTAACTCGAACCTGCTTCCTCTAGCATTTGCACAAAAATTTTTTGACAGTGACAAATTATTTTTTTATTATTCAATCACTATGACACCAAGACTTAACTTTAACCATGGCACCAAGTCGGTCAACTTTATAAAATAAATTTCAATGTCACATCATGTCAATTTTGGGCGAAAATTGACAACAAAAACATATTTGTTATGTTTACTAAGGATACCTATTAGCGGCGACGCATATTGTCAGTAGAGTAAACTAATTCTTTCCAACAAATTCATTTTTGTTGCAAATACTAATGTATTAAACACTTTACTTGGGTTAACAAATTTTTTATTAGGACCAACAAAAACAATTTCAACAAAAAATTTATTGGTTGATAGAACAGATTTGTTTTTTCAGTGTAGAAAAGTTTATAAACGAGTTGCATATTATACTTTTTCTACGAAAATACTTAATATTATCTAAAAAATTATTTAAATTAAATATTTGTATAAAGCGACATCTTTAAGAAAATAAAGTAACCATCCCAATAAACATTTTTGACGCAATTTTCTCCATTAACATTGCCCGTTAATATTTTAATTAAACTTTGCAATTATTGATATTTTAAAATATTAAAATATCTTCAAAATATGATTATGTTAAAAAAATATTATCACATTATTAAAAATGCTACACGGGAAATGTTAAAGGTACAAAAAGTGACAGTTGTATTTATTGGAATTCCCGTTAAAATTTTTATCTTGGGAATCTACCGGCGTTAAAATCTCAAATTTTTTTGTGTAAATCAAAATTTATCCCTTGAAAATAGATATAGAAACAGTTTTAACAGTAAAAGAGAAAATAATGTTTTATGGGCACTGCACATGTCCGCACAATTTATCAGTTAAATCTAGTTCTGCACTTAAAACTAACTTCAGCCCGTGACTAAAGCGCCATAAAGCCACAACTTGTGTATTTAAAAAACATTATTATAACAATATAAAACTTCATAATGTAATTGTCAGGTTTTGCATCTAAACGACTTAAATGCACACTAAAAGAGCAGGTGTTCCACAAGGGTCCAATATAGGACCACTATGACTGAATTGTGTTACTGAAGACAGTTTTAATGCTATTTATTATAATATTTTGTTTTGTTTACACATTTTTTTCAAGATGTATTTCAAGATACCTAACGTATTTTTTTAAATAGTGCTCACCTTATCGTTTGGTTTGACATTTATTTAAGTCAATGTTTAATTGGATACAGTATCGGCACAAATCTTCCATAACGGATCTCCGATACTTTTTTACTCGACCATTTAAAGTCTCAAACCAAATAAAGCTCGTCCTCTTATAACAAGAACGTCGCCGGCTTCTTCTTTATTTTATAAAATTGTTGCCAAAACAAGCATGCAAAATAAGGCCGGCCGCTAAAATCGTGACATAAATTTGGACCTTAAGCCCACGAACTGCAGCGAGCTGGCATTTACGTGTCGATTTTCGAAAATTTACGGCTCGGCACATTAATTAAAGACTCTTTCGAGGCGATAACGTTGAAACTGTTCGACGCATACGATCAAAAGTGAGATAAAAATGCAATTTAGTTATGCAGTAACCTTGTTTAGGTGCCTGAATATGCAATATGCACTGCTTATTCAAAAATTGCCCTGAATACGTCTTTGGTTATTTAATTTTAAGTTTTACAGTAAATATTAGAAACTTATAAAAAAACGTTCATAATACGAAATACACAGTAAAAATAGTAGGTATATTAAAGAACTAATGTCATAAGACGTCATTTTGTCGCACGCGGACAATTTATGTAATGTATGTAGGGTTGGGAAAATTTCACTTTTTGCTTGTACTTGAAATTTCACTTGAAATTTTCATGACATTCATGAAATTTATTAAAATTTCCTAAATTTCTGAAATTTCATGAAATTTATGAAGTTTATTGGAATTTATGGGTTTTATTGAAATTTATGAAATTTTTTGAAATTTATGAAATTTATTGAAACTTTTAATAAGTTTCAATCACTTTAAGTGTAATATATTAATATTGATATAAGCCCATTTGGGGACCATGGCAAATTGTCTCTCTTATCTCCTACCCCTCTGTGGGCCCCTGCACCAATAATATAAATAGTAAATACCTAGGTATGTTTACCACAAATTTCTTGAGATTTCCTTATAAAATATTTTTAAAATTACTATAACCAAAAGAGATATAGGACTTTTTGGCAAGCTAATGAGATTGTGGCACTTTCATTGTTTTATATTTATATTTATTATTTTTAAATATTTTACTGAAATTTTAGGAAAATTGAAGAAACTTCATCAAAATTTTATGAGCCAAAAGCATTTTTTATCCGTTTTCCGATGCAATTATAGCAAAAGTAAAAGTTTAAATTAATCATGACTTTTAAAAAAATTTTATAGTCTGATTTAATTTACAAATTAAATTGGTAACTAAATGAAATTATTTAAATTAATTTATGCATATAAGTAACAATAATTACTTATAGTGCATTCAAATCCAAGCCGAACTAAACAAAAACGCCCAGGCGCTTGATAACTCGTTCTTATTGGTCGATTCGGAATCTGTTGTAAATTATTATTAAAGTTCCCAGGGGAGGCCGCATGTGAAATTTATGCGAAATTTTCAGTAAATTGCGAAACTTTCAATGAAATTTCTGAAACTTTCACAGGCAATGTTGAAATTTTCGGATTAAAAAATTTATTTGAAATTTTTAAAAATTTCACTTTTCAAACTAAATGAAATATTTCCCAACCCTAAATGTATGTAATGGACGAGTGCGACAAAAGGTCTTATGACATGAGTTCTTTATGCTATTTTATCTATTTTGCAAAAATTCTATAAAAAAATTAATTTTATTCCTTAAATTTAATATGGTCGAATTTTACTTTAGATAGTTGGTATCAGTGATACCGTATCACAGTCATTGGTTTGACAGTTAATGTCAATAAAACAAACTCATGTTAACAAATCTGATTTTTATAAACATCATAAATGCAATATGATTTATCTTGTCCTTTCCAACCTTTCTTAGCATAACTGTAGAGTCATGGAGCCTACACGTGTAGGCCCCATGATTAATAAATTCGATCGAGAAGAAAAACAAAAGACTATGCAGTAGGCAGCTGTTTTGCATAGAGACCGCGCGATTCTCGTTTGTTTTGCGTTTCGACCAACCAACGAGCATTCTTCTCGCTTGGTGACAATCGAGTGGGCCGTTCTGGTTTACGTCCACGGCACACCGAGACCCATAGATCTCAGATAATAAATACAATAAAATAAATATATACCTACTTCGTTATCGTGGTATCTTTGGTATTGCAGGAACAAAAGTTTATTTTGCATTTTGACCGCCAGAGAACAGTTTTTTGATCTAAACTACGTAGGTATCAAATGGGTGTGTAACTATGATTATTTATATCAAATGCATTTAATAAAAAACACTAATTTTTGACATGTCACAACCCCAATGGGGTTTGATTAAGAATTTATATATTTTTAAAAAATTTAAATATTTCAAAAATTTTAAAAATTTCACAATTTTTAAAAAATTTAAAAATCCTATAAATTTTTAAAATTTTGAAAATTTGTCCTGCCATCTTTTAAATTTATGCCACTGTGTGAATTTGTCCTACCATTTTTAAAATTTATACACTGTGCGAATTTCCCCCCCTAATTTTTTAATTTTGAACTACTGTGCGGATGTCTCCCAAAAATTTTTAATGCATACTTGGAAGGGCAGTTTTCAATTATCCAATTTTGTTCGACTTCGTGCTCTCCTAAAACTGACGTTTAAAAGCATTGACGTCACTTCCTTCTCCTAGTAAAATTTTACTCTCAACGCATAAAAAACGATAGGTATATTTTAGCATGTGCAACTAAATTTTGTTTTAAAAGCGTATTACTCTTAAACTTGTTTTACAAAAGATCTGATAACAAAATTAAAATTCTCGAAAAATAGTGATTGATGATATCTTAACAGACAGGATGTTTTGTCGACAAATTTAATTACATGGTATTTTTTTTCGTTTTATTTGCATGTTTTAGTTTATTTATACTGTTATCCTTCTTTAATTTTACTTTTTGTATAATTGTTCTAGTTTGGCGCGTCAAGTTGGCGTTAAAAATGTCACAAATTGTGACATTTTAAACGTCAACTTGACATTTCCAAACCCAAATCACACCACAACGCGTTGCAACGACATCCTGTCAAACCAAACATCCACTACGCAACTGAAGAATTTCACGCGAGTCGAAAAATTTTAATCACCAAATACCTCGGCGAATCATTTCCGCGCGCGGCTGAAAGGTCCGTCAACTTGTCGTCGCCACGGCAAAAAACGAGTTGTTTCTCGAATTTGACCCATTTCAGACGGACCACGCAATCCCGGTTTTTCTCCAATCGAAACTCGTTTCGTAACGAGAAACACATGACGGCTAAAATTAAACGGTACGCGAAGACAGACGAGCTTTCATCATTTTCGTGAATTTTGATCGCGATGTTTTATATCACGCGGTTTTTTTCAAAAGGAAGCAAGCTATCTTGACATTTTTCGTATTTTGACAGTTATTTGACGTTTGGGAACGTCAAAAATGACAGATAGCAATAGCAATGCATTATTTTTTGAATGCATTAAGGGTTCAATACTATTCAATATATTCAATACTAATGATTAATGAGTTTAATTTTAATTATGCACTATTTTTTTGGAAAATTAGATTAATTTTCATTAAATTTTTTCCAATGAGTAAGTAATGTATTTTTTTACATTACTCATTTTTAATTTCTAATGAGTAGGTATTTTAGGATTTTCAATTAAAATTGTTTATGTTAATGAGTAACTTTACATTACTCATTTTTTATTTCTAATGAAAAATGAATGAGTATCGATTTACTCATTTTTAGTGGGCAAGGAAGATATTTTTATTGCATGACAAATTTTTTCAATTTTTGCACGGTTTGCAATATATATATCTTCTATAGAAGTGTAATTGATCTTTTACAAAAAGCATGGACTAATTTATTATTTAAAATTAATCAATTTCATTAGAAAAAAATGTTAATTTTTTATTTTAATACCCACCTTTATTGAAGGAAAAGATTAAATTTTATGAAAATTAGTAATTTTATCATGGACAATTATTTATTTCCATGAAAACCAAAAATATACTTTATTCAAGAATTTATATTGGGTGTTTTATGGAAAATATTTCATAATAAAGTCAAAACAAAAATTGTAACCCAAGTAAAGTATTTTGCTTCAAATAAAGCCTCACTTTTTTCTGAGACAATTTTTTTCTTTTTAATATTTCCTTGATTCAACTCAATTTTTTTATTCTTTTTTTTTCATTACCTGATCTTCAAAGAAGTCATTAATCATGCTGATAAAAATTATATATTATGCAGATGGGTGAATATATTGAGATGTCCCCCAAGTGAAAATGATTATTTTTTATTTTTGGTTGTTTCACTGTTAGTCTAGAATGGGGTTTTTTGAAAGCCTCCAGGTCTAGAAATAACATAACATAAGTAGTTCTGCACTAATGCAAGAATTTTAAGAAATCATACATTTTGAATATTAGAGCTTCACGGAGGTTAGGATTTTGTATGTTTTTTTGTTAATCCCTTTGTATATTTGAATAAGTTATTGCATCTTTTGACACCTTAATATTTAAAAAAAATACAATATTATACATACATAAAATATTTATAAAAAAAATCTACTTACTGAGATATTACACTTCACGGTGGATATGTTTTTAAATTGCAAATCACATGCATCTATAATATCGTAAAGAGAGGTTTTTACTTATTTAAGATGATTAAAGCGCCATCCGTTGCATAAAATGTAAAGCAAAAACAGATTCACGGAGGATAGAATCAATTTTTGTAATACCTACATAAATGGTTATACAAATTATTTACTTTTAATTTTTAATAATATTTTATATTTGATTCGATTGTTTTGGATGTGTTTAATTTACTTAGTAAACTGATATTTTTAGTATGCTTTTACTACCTCAGATATTTAAAAACCTATAGGTTAACCTAGAAAGAGTAACAGTCACGGAGGATAGGTTTTAGACTTTTAAAACATTGTAAAAAATAATTAATTGCGGTTAAAAATGTTACACATTTTTATTTTTTAAAGAGTTATGTATTGTTCGACATTACTCATTAATTTTTAAATGAGTAGGTAGTAAAAATATTTCTCATTACATTTTTTTAAATGATTATACTGTATTCAAACTTCATTACCATTATTAAAAAATGGCGATTGCATTATCATGCGTTTTAAAATATCTTTTTGTATCGCCAGTTTTGTTTCTATGCTAGGTACCTACTAATTTTATTTTTTTTTGTTACAGGAACATGCTACATTGGCAACAGAAACAACACAACTCTTTTGACGTTGGTCTTGATACCATACATCCTATACTTCACCTACGGTGTATGTCTATTAATCCTTGGTACGATCTACGTCATAAGAAAACCCCGGGTACTGGCCGCCGCACCTTTAACTTCATCGGCGCCCCGCAAAGAAGGCGACTTTTTGGGCGCCATATGCGCCCTCTACGCGATCCCAACTTTTTGCGTCATGATCTGCATTTACTACGAATACAACAATCGCGACAAGTGGATCACGAAGGAAAGAAAACCGGCTCTGTGGGCCTTCCTATTGAAATACTTGATGTCTCTGTTCGTTGGAGTCAGCTCCATATTCTGGATCTGGTCTTCGAAAGCCATCACAGCTTGGAAAGCGGTTTTAAGGCGGCTGGGGCCAAGGAAACAGCTGCCTTTGAAGGTGCAAACGATGCCTGTGTTGAGATATGTGCCAACGCATCAGTTATCCAGTAATATGAGTACTAGTAGCAGGCATTCTACTAGGTCTAACCCTCACAGAAAGCCTAGGATACATCACTTAAGAAATGGCGGAGAAACTGTCATTTAACATTATTTTGCTTAAATCGCTTTAATATAAAGCAGTTTGAAGCAAAAACTGTTAAAAATTACCTAAGTATTTTTTGGGTTTTAAACGTTAATGAAATTAACAATAAACCATTATTTAGGTAACTTTTAGAATGTAAATATTCTGTGATTATATATTTTGTATAAAAATTTATTTATTCTTTAAATTAAAGAAGCAAATTTATACACAAGCACAAAAAACCTGTGTAGTTAACACTAATTAAAGGTCATACTTCTTTGGTGTACCTATAAATAGTTATTAATGTCATTAGGCCGAGTAGTGAGTCTTTTTGTGCTGAGCTTAATATTTAAACAACAATTTGTTGCATAAAACGTAGAAAGTAAGGTTAGAGAGATCTGACAGTAGTCGAATTTTTGTATTGGTCCAAAACGATTTTTACAGACTAGAAGGTAAAAAACTTTATATAAATAAAACATAAATTTGATGACTTAAGAAATTTTGAAAATTTTAAATATCTTGCACTAAATTGGATATTAGGGGGTTTTTCAGGACGGGAAAACTAAATTTAAGAAATTTAATTTTCCCGGCCTGAAAAAAACCCAAAAATCAAATTTTGTGCACACTTTTGTTTATATCGCATTATTTTGGTCTTACCTTGTAAATTATTTTGGCATCAAAATTGTCAGAAATATTCTTATTTTATTAAATAAAAGAAACGCAAGAATAAATAGATTTAATTTAAATAGATTTAATTTTAATTTAATGTGGGCGGGATAAAAGAAGAAAATTTTTGACAAATTTAATGCTAAAATAAAATTAAAAAAAGTTTTGTGATTGGTCCTAAATGGTTTTTTACAGACTAGTAGTAGGGTAATAAAATTTCCAGAAAAAAACCGTTTTTTTCCGGAAAAAAACGAAAAAATTGGGAAAATGTAGATAAAACGGTCAAAAATAATTAAAATAAATAAAAGTTCGAACAAATATGCATAACTAACACGTTAGTTAAAATTTTAGAAATTTTGAAAAATTTCAAACGTAGAAAATTTTTATAAAATTTGTATAATTTACAAGATTTTTTCGTCATCAATTTAAAATGTAATAAACCTGCAAAACAGCAAATGACTATATTTGTCAAACGCGCCAAAAGAAGTATAACCTCAAAAATTAAATTCCCCCAATAATTATATTTTTCTAATAATCCTGCCTTAATATTTTGTACATTGTCGGTATTTTAAAGGAGTTTGTAATTTTTTAAATCTGTAAACGTATTAGTGGCTTTATGCACAATGAAGAGTTAAAATTTGGTGACTCAAAAAATGTATGTTGCATCTGGCAACACTTTAAAATTCTACATTGCCAGATGTTAAAAACAATTTAGGGCCAACAAATTTTAACAATGCTCTGTGCATATAAACATAAAAGAGACTGTTACTAAATAGGAGAGGGTTTTTATAGACTTGCTTCCTAAAAATTGCCAAACTGCTTTTGTTATTATTTATTAAAATAAAAATGTGCCATTGTTTAATAACTAAACGCCAAGCTTTATAAGAGTGTTTTATGTATAAAATTTAAAAAAAACACTCAGTATACTGCTTCAAACATAATATGTAACCCTTATGCTCCCAATAATTCAGCTATTTTTTACTATATTTTTGTATATTAAGTGCCATTTTGTACTATTTGTCTGTTTTATATAGTTTTTCCTAGTTGTGTAGTAAAAACGTAGATCTAATGTAATAATGTGATATGTCCTTAATAAGTGTAAATATATTTTTTAATATATAACATTGCAGTTTTACTTACATTCCTGGGTTAATAAAATACATTTTAATAAACAAATTGTTTTCATTGGTAAAAAATTTAACAAATTTGATATTTACATTTATAACAATTATTTTAATATACAGGGTTGGGGATATAAGGATTATATCAATATGGTAATCATTTCTTTGTTTTTAAACCCTGCTTGGAAACAAAGCAGGATAAAAAGAAATTTTGTTATATTATTTTGCTTTTAAACTTTACAAACTGCTAAAGTTACTGTAGGTACTTATTTACCCAACACTCTGTATATTTTAAGATTCAGTGGAATAAAAATAAATAAATAATCCTATCCTTATAGTTGTATGTATAAATATATATACAGTTTTCAATAGATTATGTATAAAAGGTACAAACGTGTATAGGTATGATTCAGGTACTAAGAGTTCTGGCAGTTATGATAATATTGTCTTACATTGTTCAAATAATACTCGTACACACTTCCCTCGCAGTACACACAGTTCTTTTCATAAGGAGCATGTTTCACCACATCTCCTTTAAAGTGGGTTTTAAGGCCCAACACTGTAGGTGCAAAAAAAAACTTGCATTGTTTACAATAATAGTGGTTTTCTGTCTGAAATTTTAACACGTCTTCTTCGTTTTGCTTTATAAATCTTGGATGAGCTGCATCGAATTCTGAATAGGCTTCTTTTTTTAGGAAATCTTCGGTGGATTTTTGTATATTGTTCATTTTTTGAGTATTTTATGGAATTGGCACACAAAACCAAGTCGACTATGACATTTGACAGCAAAGACAATAAGCGCAGTTGGCACTTTTACTATGTTGATTTTATATAATATATTTATATAATAATGCAAAAATAAATAATGCGTGAATAAATAATGCGTTATTAGGTTAAAAATATGTATTTTTTGCAATAAACAAGGAGTTTTTTAAGCAAAAAAGTCAAAAGAAAACTGGGTATAAAATAAATATGGCAACGTTGTGTTTAGTAGATCAGGTGTATCACCAATCCTCGACCATCGCAGTTTTCTCCAAATTAAGGCCAGCTTTAGTTACAGATGTGGGCGGTAATTCAAATAATACATCGACACCAATATCACCTTGTTGCTCGATTTCCATCTCGAAAATTTCGCGGCAAGGTTTATTTTTGTACAGGGTGTCTTCGTTATGTATACGAGGGTATGACGTTAGGAAATCGTACGGTAAATCGGCAGTTGACATTCCTGGTTTTACGCTGTTGTTAAATAATGAGGATTCGAATAATTCGGCTGCGCTTTGAAATTTTGGGCGCAGTTTTCTGATTATTGCGCCACGTTTCATTAGTTTTTGTTCGCGCACGCCAAGAACTTTACTGAATTTTGATTTTTGTAGTAGTGATTCGATTTCGAGATCTTTTTTGACCACGAATTCGGGATCTAATAGGCTCAAGATTTCTTGTTTTGTTTATCCAATTGTTTTCTTGTTTTTCGGTCTTTTAAGGTGTCTGATATGATATAGTTCCAGTACGAGTTGACTGCTTTAAGTTTTTTTAGAGATTTGTCATCAAAATATGACAATATTTTTTTTGTGATCCAAACTGGAAGTAGTTGTATCTACAAAATAAAACTGAAAAAATGTTATATTATACGGGTGTTATGTAATTAATGTTATATATTAAAATGGGTTGTTCCTTAGGGTCCATAAAGAAGCACCTGAAACTTTTTTTTTCTAAATTCCAAAGTCTAAAAATAATTTATAATAACCTTTATCCTACCAAAAAGTACGCCACTGATCGACTAGGAACTTTAGGTTAATCTGGTGGATTTATTATGTTATGGTTGGTAACAGTGTTTCCAAAATCTCTCAAAAAAGTTGACAAACATTGTTTAAATTTAGCTTAATTGGCGTTTTTATTAATTGTTGGTTATTTAATGTTTGTACTGAAGGTAAATTCAAACAAAATCTGCCAACTTTTATGACAGAATCTAGTGCATTTCTTTTAAATTTTAGGTTATGTTTTCAAATTGTAAATATCTTAACTAAGGGAAGTGCTTTTGGATTTATTTACACAAATTAAATGTTTAAAGTTTAACCTGTGAACTGGTCCCAATTTCATCTGAGTAAACAGAGAAAAAAACTGATGAAAAAATTAATTTTGTGGTTATGGATTTCAAATTTCAAAGGTACTAAATTTTTCTAATCATTGCTTAAGCTAATAGCTGGATCAGTAAATAAATACAGAAGGGTATTAGAGCTTTAAGGGCATAAAACTTTTGTATTTATTGAGTTTTTATTTATTTTTTGCAAGAAAAATTTTTAGTAACAATTTTTTACATCTGGCAACGCATAGCTACTTTGTTGGTTGGTATCTATGTACTCACAAAATACAGGTGTTCAGAGATAAACAAGTGTGTAACCAGTGGCGTATCACAAAAAATATAAAAAACTTCTAATGCATATTTTTTCTTTATCTTTGGAAAAATGTTTTTTTAAATATTTTTTCCTTTATTCCTTATGTCAAAAGGTATTCAGTATTTTAATATATAACATTAATTACATAACACCCTGTATTATATTTATATTATTACCCTGTCTATAATTTTGTCATGTTCTCCCTTTTTGCCCTTTTTGCCCTTCTTACTTTTCTTACTCTTACTCTTTTTACTGGATTTCGACGTCTTACTAGACTTGGACAACTTACTAGACTTACTAGATTTGCCTTTCTTACTTTTCTTATCATTTCCTTTCTTGACCTTTTTATCTTTGTTCTTATCCTTTTGTTTCGATAATTTGGCATGCTCAATTTCGATTTTTTTAGCGTACGCCATTATCATCTTGTTCCAATCGTTTCTGCTTTGTTCCACTTTAATATTAAATGGGTCATCTTTTTTGTAGGATTCATTTTCGATTTCGTTGTTTTGCCGCTGTTTTGACACTTTGACATCTTCTATTTGTTCTAGATTTCTTTGCAGCCTTTCAAAACAACAATCTGTATATTTGGCTTGAGTTTTTTAGTAGTGGATATACGTTTCTTTGGATTCCAGGGCCAGCAACTTGTAGGAGGCCTGTAATAACAAAAACAAACTCGTTATCTCTGTAAATATAAATGCCACGATAAAAATGCTTGTAACAAAACTTGTTAAGGAAAAAATTTCCAGAAACTTTTATTTAAAACATTATCTCGTATCATGAATATTTAAAAAGTTATATGTGTTCCGTAAGACTTACATAATATTAGCTTATATTGTTCAAAATTACTCAAATGTTGAAACCAAACAGTATCATCACTTAAAGTCATTTCAATTGCAGATTTTTCAACGCTTCTATTATGATCAGCCAACAATTTATCGTGTATGTTATTTGTATCTGTCCTAAAACCCTTATAAAACCAAAACCTATATAAAACCTTCATAAAACTTACGTGACCTTTAAATAACTCGCCAGTTTATCGTCTACAGTATACACGACACTTAAAAGTGTTGTTAAAGTTACACTATCGTTAACTTCACCAATTAGTTCCGATAAAAACTTTGTTTTTTTAATGGTTGATAGTCTCAAAAAATAGTTCTGAACAGTGTTTAAGTGTATTCTAAACATTTGATTTTGTTGGCCTTCCATTTGAACAACTCTTTCCCTTTCTTAAATTATTATTATTTTTAATTGGACAAATTATATTAGTTTGTTTACTTTTTATTGTGTCTTCTATCAGTAAATCAGCCTCCGATAAGTCGATATGGTTTGGATCACTTTGGTCGTAATTTAACTCCATTGTTAAGTAAGAAAATCTTTTAAATCCACATGTATTTTAAAGAACTTTGTAAAGTAAAAAAATGTCAAATCGACAAGTATTTTAAAGAATGTTTTTGAATACCCTCGTATCTGATATTTGTATTTTAGGCTCTAGAATTGAAAGCTTGGCGCTATGTTATTTAAGTAGTTCAAATATACCATAACAAATTAACGTATTTGGCTATTATTATTATTAATATTTTTTTATATAATATAAGGTTAAGTTCTTTGGTTACAAGGTAAGCCAAAATATTAGTTTTTCTTATAAAATAAATACATACTGCATATTTTATATATTATTTGAAATGGGATATGCAGGTGGTCATTGGGCGCTACATCTAAATAAAGCCGAAAATCGCGTTTATTTATAGCCTAAATTAATAAATTATTCCGTAAAAACAAACATCTATATTTAAAACAATATTATTTCGCCAAAAATCGCAAAAAATCGTAAGTTAAAATACAAACTGTCAAACGTCAAACTAAGGTCAACCTTATTTTATATACAAACTTCAGTTTTGTTCAAACGTTTATTATGTCGTTAAAAAATTAAAAAATATTAGGAAATCTACAAAATATAAATGAAAATGAGCAAGCACATGTATTCCACCGCTAATCTTAGCGACAAAGAGCTTAAGGAGCAGGGCAATCGTATGTTTAGCTTAAGAAAATATGAGGATGCAGTTAATTGCTATAGTAAAGCTATTGTAAGTGCTGTATGGTACTTAAAATGTTATGGGGTATTTAAATGACGGAATTTTAGATTAAAAACCCAGATGTAGCCCATTATTTCACCAATAGAGCACTGTGTCACTTGAAACTGTTACGATGGGATCCAGCCTGTACAGACTGCCGTAGAGCTTTAGATATGGATCCTAACCTTGTAAAAGGGCATTTTTTCCTAGGACAAGCCTTATTAGAGACTGAAAATTATGATGAATCCATTAAACACCTACAGAGAGGTAGGTTCTTAATAAATAATAATGTAATATTATATAATTTATTTCCTAGCTGCGGACTTGGCAAAAGAGCAAAAAATGAACTTTGGCGACGATATCGCGTCGCAGTTGAGGACGGCAAAGAAAAAAAGGTTTGCAATTCAAGAGGAGAAGCGAATCACTCAGGAAATTGAACTACAGAGTTATTTAAATAGGTTAATAAATGAAGATAAAGAAGCCCAAATAAACAAAATAAAAAAATACGTGGGCGAATTGGAATGTACGGTGGAAAAAATCGCCGAAATCGAGGAAAAACATGAGAATTATTTAACTGAGCTGAACTCTTTGTTTGCAAAAATAGATGAAAGACGAAGGGTAAGTACAAAATAGATTTGTGTTTTTACTATTTTCTCTGTAATTATGCTGTAAGATGCACAGTGTTCATAGAGGCTAAAATATTATTAATTTTGTTAGAAACGGGAAGTACCTGATTATTTATGTGGAAAAATAAGCTTTGAAATATTACAAGAACCTGTTATAACTCCTAGCGGCATTACATATGATAAAAAAGATTTAGAAGAACATTTACAGGTAATTTAATGGTTGAAAATAATTGATAAAAACGTAAAATTGTTTAAATTTTAGAGAGTGGGTCACTTTGACCCAGTGACGAGAACAAAACTTACAGCTGATCAGTTAATTCCCAATTTTGCCATGAAAGAGGTTGTCGATTCTTTTTTGCAGGATAATGAATGGGCCTTGGAATATTAATCAATCATTTTTACATTATGATTTACTTTACATTTGTTATTTAAGCACTATTTAGTTGTTCCTTCCATATGTCTATATATTTAATTTACGTAATAAACATTTTGAAAAAGATATAAATTCATTTTTTCTACTCCTATTTACTCGTGTTTTTTCCGTTTTTGATTTCCGTCAGTGATTGGCTGTTTTCATTATTTACTTTTATTTAAACCAATCAGGTTTTAATTTAGGAGAAAGTAAGGTTAGAACTGTCTGACAGATTTTATTAAAGTGTACTAGAAGTGACTATAATGTTCTTTAAAATTGGGAGAGAACATTTTTTAAAAATATTTACTTGGAGTCGAAAAAGTAAAGCATAGTATTGCACTTGAGATAATACGCATTATTTTTCGTGAAATAAAATACCATTATTGCTTAAATAAATAATTATGGTTATAAATATTTGTTTCAATGTTTGTAACTCTTCCTACTTTATTATGACGAAGCTTGGCTAGACGAATTCTTGGCTAAATTTAAAGGATAAATCTAAAGTAATCTGGGTTGTCTAACATTTTCGACGTTTCGTTTTTGTGCATTGGAAACACTTAATTTTTTTATACATTTGAACTACTGACCTATATTTTAATTTCAACAAATTTATTTAAAAATAGAGAGAAATAATAATAAATAATAATAAATACTTTATTGATCCCAAGAAACATAGATTGTTATAATAATGGGCAATTTTACACTTAATCAATATATTTGTACAAATATACATTTTTTAACAAAATTAGATTTTTAAGAATAAAATTTAAAATAGTTTAACAATAGGAATGTTAGTTTTTTCTTGAATAGGTTTGTTCCTACCGAGCGTCAGGGACATGTTCTGTGGGGACATGCGCAATACGAAAATATGGTCGCAATTTTACTATTGCGCATGTCCCTGACGTCCACTTTTAACAGTCCAAATGCTCGGTAGGAACAAGCCTAATAGCACAGATTTACAGATTTCACAATAATAAACACTCAGTATTTTATAATTTTATCGTACACGATTTTCTGTTCAAAAAAGCAGAAGTGTTAAAACATTTTTAGTTTTTTAGTTGATGTCTCAAAAACTACAATGCATCATGCAATATTTTATTTTTCTCAAGCAGTTTCTGAGAAACAAGCAATATCATACTGGTGTATTAAGTAGGGAGATTCGTTTTGAAGGAACATTTTTTTTATTGATGTAGGTACCTATAAAAAAGTACCTTCATTATGATTTAAATAACATAGGAAATTAGGGATTTTTTATTAATTTTTTATACAACCTATAATTTTGACCTGTATATGGCACCAAAATCATATTTTTAATAAAAAACAGTATTTATTGTCTTTTACAGCAAAACAATTAAAGTTACATTTACAAAAATGTATAAAAAATTTAATTTATAAAAAAAATTATATGTGTTACTGCTAATGTGCAAACTTGGAACTTGGAACTATTTTAATTGAAAATGTATTTTCAACTAAATTAGCGGCTAGTTTACAAAATAACCAAGGATCTTGGCTAATTTACTTGAAATTATTAGGGAAACTAAAATAGCTGGATAGTTTGTATACTATCCAATTCAATTTGGCTAATATGAAAACCAAAATTTCTAGTAACACAAAATAGCCAAGCTTTAGCTAGTTTGTAAACTAACCAACTAATTCTCTGGCTAATTTATTAAAAAAGTGAGGTTACGGCATTGTTTTTCGTTTTGCCGGCTTAACCGGATTTGTTTTGTGCATTTTAACGTTTTTAAAATGAATCATAGTCAAAATTTTAAAGCTTCCTTGTTAGAAAACTCAACAACACAACCCTACCGACCCCGCCCCATGGGCCCCCCCCGCCCCATTGGTCAAATGGTCAAAAATGAGAGAAAAAAACCCAAACCAAACCAAACGACCCCGCCCCATTGGCCCCCCCCGCCTCATTGAGCAAAAAACCCAACAAAAGTTGCGAAAATATGCAAAAAAATTGTAAAAAAAGACTTGTAAAAAAATTAATTTTCATAAAATCCCGCAAAAGTCAAAATTGTGACGTTATACGAAATTAGCCAGAGAATTGGTTGGTTATAACCATATAACTATAGTTTACAAACTAGCTAAATTTTGGCTATTTTGTGTTACTAGAAATTTTGGTTTTCATATTAGCCAAACTGAATTGGATAGTATACAAACTATCCAGCTATTTTAGTTTCCCTAATAATTTCAAGTAAATTAGCCAAGATCCTTGGTTATTTTGTAAACTAGCCGCTAATTTAGTTGAAAATATGTTTTCAATTAAAATAGCTGACAGTTAGGCCAGTTCATAAACTATCCAGCTAGTTTATAAACTATCCAAGTTTGCACATTAGCCGTAACATATGCATTAATTCATTCACAGTAAAATTTCGATTTACTGTATCAATAGTTGACCCTAAAATATATTAAATTGCCTATAAAAGTATTTTTTACTTTTTACCTGTACCTTTAACCGTTGTGCTGTAAAACAACATATTACTAATTAGTTCATCAATATTTGACAGTAAAATTTATTAGATGCCTTATATCTTTTAAACTATTCATTTTATTGCATTAATCCATTTGTAAGATATTTAATTTTCTAGGAAAGTTTTTTATCTTTAAGCGTTTTGCCCACAGACCTTTGTAGGTCTGTGGTTTTGCCATAAAATGAAAATATACAGTTTTTTTAATTAAAAATATGACTGGTCACATACACAAGTCTAATTTATAAATACATTAATTGTTGTAAAATTAAAAAAAAACCTCCAATCATGAACAAATAGCACCAATGTAAATTTTAGTAGCGCAAAATTGAAAAAAAATCCCTAATTTCCTGTTATTTTGATGGGAAAAATAAAATTAAAGTACAGGAGTAAGATTAGGGGCTGAAACTTTAAGGGCATTTTTTTCTCAAAATGTTCATCAATATTTTGCTTGGAAAGTGACAAAAAATAAATATGTCTGCAAATCGAATCACCCCATGGTATATACAGGGTGTTTTAAAATTGTGAACAGGGTGTTTCAAAAATTTCACACTTACACCTTACCACATGATAGATAATATTTCGATTGTAGTTTGAGTTTTGTAAAGTAATAAAAAACAAATTTCTAAAATAAAAAGTTTAAATAATAATAATTTTTTGACAATCACTATTTCAGTATGGGTTGGTAGTGCGGTAGTACGCCATTTTTGAGACACTTAATATATGCACTTAAATATTTGTTCACAATAACTTACAGCTAAACATATGGACCAAATTTCATTAATGAGCAAAAATATTTTACCACCTGCTTATGACTACACTAACAAGGAATGAAATAATTCAAAACATACAAGTCATGGTAGAGAATGCATAGATAGGAACTACAAAACTTAAAAATGCGACAATAAATAAACTACATATTTTACGTCTATAAAATAGTTCGATTAAAAAACGTTGCTCATGTTTGAAGTTTTCTCATAAAACAACATGTATGCTGTACTTTGGAGCACCTCATCCACTGTCACCTCTCTTATTTCTACGTCTGAGGTATAATACCACCTTAAAAATAAGACGTTTTTATTATCGCAAGTTTTACTCTTGATATGGTTTTTTTCTAAGAAGTCAAGTTTGACATAAAATAATTTTAATTGGGTAGGAAATTATATTGCCATCAGTGATTGGCTGTTTTTATTAGTTACTTTTACGTATACGAAAAGTGACTTAAAATTGGTAGAAAGTGATGTTAGAACTGTCAGCTTTTTGAAAAATATAATATTTGGAGTAAAAAAAGTATAGTATTGCACTAGACATAATGCGCATTATTTATCGTAAAATAAAATAATATTATTGCCTATTTTACTAATTTGCAATTAAAACCCCACAAAGGCAAAATCTAATGTAATCTGGGTTGTCTAACATTTTGGCCCCCCTAATTTAACAAATTATGACAAACATTCAAGGCTTTTTGGCATTTTATAAATGTTTTAAATAAAATTAATTAAAATTAAAAGAAAATTGAAGTATGTTTTTTAAATTTATGGAATAAATAATTTTTTGTAATTTTAATAATAAATAATAATAATTAAATAAAATTATGTCAAGTATAAATTTAATGGAAACAGATAGGAAAAATAGCGAATTATAATTATAATAATTATGCCTAGGCATAATAAATAAATTATTTTGTTAGTTGAATTAATATTTGCGTCATTTAAATTTGCTCCACTTTTTTTTTTTTTTTTTTTTTTTTTTTTTTTTTGCGTCGACTGCTAAGGTCATTGGCAATTTCCTGAGAGGAAAATCCTCATAGACACCCATAGATAAACAGGGCCCTGGGTAGTGCCGGACTCCTACCGGCTAAAAACCTCTCAGACTAGTGAATTGTATTAAGATAAACATAATAGATATTTTGGTGTATATACGGACATAACAAATAATGTATAAAAAAAAAGCCATTCTAATTAGATTTTGTGCAGATAATTTGTATCGTTCAGGTAGGTAAGAACTTTTATTGTATTTTCAGAACTATAATCTAGGAATTCATTTAATTCCAGGTTGGCTATACCATGGAGAATCCGTTTCTCGTGCAGGATGGGACATTCTGCGAGAATATGCTTGACTGACAGAGTTTCTCCGCAGCCTTCACACTCAGGTAAGTCTCCACCCTCTAAAAGATAGGACTTGGTAATCTTAGTATGCCCCAGCCTTAGCCTGGTAATAACGATTTGCTCCCTTCTTTCCAAATTAGCGATCCTAACTCCCTCTACAGAATCAACAAATTGACCTAAGAAGGTGTCCCTTTCAGACCATTCTTCTGCCCAACTGGCCAAAATTGATTTTTTTATATCTTTAGATATTTGGGTCTTTTCACTTTTTAGGGAACGTGAGTGTTCCAGGTACTCTGGTGTCCAAGGTGGATGGTCTGAGATATAAGACCTATCTTCAATTGGTAAATTTATAGACAGCTCCTCTGATTTCATTATTGCCTTTTTAAGAAGGTGAACTCTTCTCTGCCTTACTGCTACGTTGTTTATAACAAGGGGCCTAGTTATATTACTTGAACCCCATTTTCGCACTTTAGAAATATAGTTAAGAGCTAGCAGAATTCTTCTCCTATCCAGTCCCATAATACCCGCTTCTACATGCAAACTGCACGTAGGCGTGGTGTGGAATGCTCCGAGTATTAATCGGACCCCAGTGTTTTGAATAACATCTAGGGGCCGAAGAGTAGATTTAGGGGCAGATCCAAAAACTATGGAGCCATAGTCCAGCTTGGACTGAACTAGGGCATTGTAAAGAATAGTCAAGTTATCCCTATGTGCTCCCCACCTTGATCCATTAAGACATTTGAGGACATTAAGTGCCTTGTTCGCATTAAATTTTAAGGAATCAACATGCGGCTTCCATGACATACGTTCATCCCACACAAGACCCAAGTATCTTAGCTGGGGAACGCATTCAAGAGGCCTTTCCTTAATAAAAAGAAGAGGACGGTAGTGTGGCGTTCGTAGATGGCAAAAATGTATTACTTTAGATTTGGAGAGAGAGAATTTAAAACCTCTACTCTCTCCAGCTCTAACCACTTGGTTAATTGCCTCTTGCATTTTCCCATTTATATTGGACCTAATGGGTCCTGACAAAAAAATAGCAATGTCATCAACATAGATAGTACGGCATACATTATCACAGAGAGTATCACAGATCGAGTTAATTGCAATGGCAAAGAGGGTTACACTCAAGGTAGAGCCTTGGGGGACCCCATTTTCCAAAGGGCGAAGACTAGAAAAACAATTACCTAGACGAACACGGAATACGCGATCTTGCAAAAAAGATTTGACAAACAACGGCAGATTGCCGCGGTAGCCCCAACGATGCAACGTCTCTAAAATCCCATACCTCCACGTCATGTCATAAGCTTTCTCGATATCGAAAAATGCTGCAGTTACATGGTGTCGTCTACTCAATGCTGCCTGGATTGTCTGTTCAAGATAGACCAAATTATCCAGTGTCGATCTACCGACTCGAAAGCCAGACTGGCACTTGGAAATCCGGTCATTACTCTCCAGACTCCAGACAAGTCTTTTATTAATCATACTTTCGAGAATTTTGCTTAGGCATGACGTCAGGCTTATTGGACGGTACGATGCAGGGTTCGTGGGGCTTTTTCCTTCTTTAGGAATGGGGATAACAAGCGCTTCCCTCCATTGAGTGGGATAATTACCCCTCATCCAAATTTTATTAAAAACATTTAATAAATACTTCCTAAAGTTATCGTGGGCTTCCCGGCAAAAGTCGTAGGGAATATTGTCGAGACCCGGGCTGGTTTTCTTTGATTGTTTGAGAGCGTTTTCCAATTCAAACATTTTAAAGGGACCATTATATGGTTTGCTTTCTTCGGAATCAAAGCTAAGTTCGACTTCTCGCTCTGTTTTTCTCTCTAGAAACGTTAAGTCATAATTTTGGGAGTTACTTACATTCTGGAAGTAATCGGCTAGCTTCTCAGCAACTTCGTTTTTATTAGTGATTATATTGTTTCCCTCTTTAATGCAAGTTATCTGTGACGCTTGTTTACAGCCGGAGATCTTTTGAATTTTCTTCCATACCAGTGACATCGGTGTGGAAGGATTGATGTCTGAGACGTATCTTCTCCATGAAGACCGCTTAGCGTTTAGAATAGTGCGCCTTGCTTTAGCCCTTGCAATTTTAAAATGAATTAGGTTTTCTACAGTTTTATACCTCTTAAAAATGTTAAACGCTCTCTTTTTTTCTCTTACAGAATCTCGCACTTCATCATTCCACCAAGGCACCTGCTTGCTTGCCATGACATGACCAGCAGACTTTGGAACACCCTGATTTGCCGCCTGTATAAGATGGTCCGTAAGTACAGCAATATCGTTATCCACACCTTCTTCCTGCATTAAAGCTGGAGTTACTAGGTTGGACCTAAAAGTGTCCCAATCAGCTTGGTCCAGTTTCCACCTTTCGGGTAAGTATTGACGAGTTTGTCCAACATTTACTTTAATTCTGATAGGAAAATGATCGCTATCATACAGATCTTCCATAACCTCCCAACCCAGACGATACATGATTGAAGTGGAGGAAAATGAAAGATCTATACAGGAAAAGCTAAGGGATCGTGAGTTAAAGTAAGTTGGTGAACCATTGTTCAATAAGCACATTTCAGGATTTTCCAATATAAAATTGTTAATCAGGTTACCTCGGGTGTCTGATCTCTCTGAGCCCCATAAAGGATTGTGGGCGTTAAAATCTCCCACAAGAAGAAAGGGACGCGGCAGTTGAATAACTAGATTTTCGATCTCTTCGATTGTCCAATCAGCATGGGGTAAGTAAATATTACAAATACACATGGACAATGGATAATCGATTTTTACAGCGACGACCTGTAAGTTAGAATTAATGTTTATTTTATTTGCTTTTAGATCCTTTCTGATACCTATAGCGACGCCGCCGTTTGCACGAAGATTGGCTGTCGCGTCATATCTTAAAAAGCTATAATTTTTAAGGTTATAGGGCTGACCTGGTTTAAGATGAGTTTCTTGAATGCAGACACAGAAAGGGTTGTATTTATTTATGAGAAGTTTAAAGTTACAGTATCTAGTTATAAGGCCATTACAATTCCATTGAATTATGGATTCCATTGTAAAATGTTATGTATGAGAGACAATTAAGAAAATAAACAAATACAGGTAGATAAAATAAAAAAATATATATATTTAGTAAATATCACAGAAAATATCACAGATTGTTAACTGACTCCGTCGCCGGGAAAACTGGCGACTTCGAAGTCCTTGGGAGGTTTTCGTGGCCTCCCTTTTTTCCATCCTTTCTTTTTCTTTTCGTGTTTTTCGCCCTTGCTCGTCTCACTGGTTTGGGAGTTATCAGACTCGCCACCAGGAGCATCGCTCGAGTGTGAGCGCTTTTTGGATGACGTGGATGCAATTGAACTAGCTCTTGACCTAGAAATAGGCTGTGAGCTTGAGACTGGAGCTAATGGTTTTGGAAAAGATTTTTCCTCCATTAAAATGGTTTTACAGATTTTAACTATTTCCGGAATTATTTCTTGAATTATATTTTTGACATTTACAACATTTGGTTTAGGATCAATATTAGTTTTGGTAACTTCTGAAAAAGATTTTTGTAGATTGTTCTTCACGATTTTTTTTCGGGCTTCTATATAAGTAATTCTTTCAAGAGTTTTGATCTTTTGAATCGCCATCTCTTCTTGAAAGGTTGGGCAATTTCTTGACCGAGCTGAGTGCTCTCCCCCACAGTTAACACAAACCATATGATCGGCACATGGTGCATCGGCATGGGGTTCTTGGCCACAAACACAAACTTCTCGATTAATACATTTATCTGCTACGTGGCCAAATTTCTGACACTTAAAGCACCGCATTGGGTTTGGTATGTATGGTCTGACTGGTAAATTATAAAATGCGGCTTTTACATATTTAGGCAAAGTTGGTTTGTCGAAGGTAAGAATGTGATTAGCAGTATCAAAGGTTACGTTGTCTCGTTTCCTTTGAATTCTTTTAACCTCGATTACGCCTTGGTCCAGTAGACTTCTCTCAATCTCGTCTACAGTACAATTTAATAAATCCGGGCAGGTTATTAGACCCTTTGAAGTATTTAAGGTTCTGTGTCTTTGAACTGAAACATCAAAGTCGCCAAATCTTACTAAACTTAAAAGTTTTTCTGATTGTTTGTTTGAAACAGTTTCAACTAAAAGCCCATCTTTAATTTTTTTTATGCTCTTTACTTCTCCAATAAGTCCATAAAGAATCTTCGAAACTACGAAAGGATTAACTTTAAGAAAGTCTCCTTCACTTCTTTTTATTACCAGGAACCGGGGTAACATGACCACCTTCTCCGTGGCGATACGGTTATCTTTTGAAGATCTGCTTGTAGCACTATCTGATGTTGGGGCCAAGCGGAACCCCGCATCATTGCAGCCGAGGGATGACGACGACTTCGAGCCTGCTCGGTCACTCTTAGCCGCCGGCACTGAGGATCCGAACCCCTGCACCGTAAGTTTCGATCCTGTAGTTTCCTCCATGATCGGTTTTTTTTCTGGGTTTCCTCCCATATCCCCCAATGGCCCGGAGGCGGGCTTAGCTCGGGTACCCCGGGTTCGCTATACCCGTACACACCAACAAGGGTGTGCCCACTTTTATTTCGTATGAGGTTCTTTATTTTTTATTTTAAAATTAATATTGGAATTAGAGACTAATTTTTTTAACAAGATTTTTATTTTATTCTATTATTTTTTAGGTTGCAATTTCTTATTTCTCATTTTTATTTTACAATTTTATGTGTACACATAAAATTAATGCAATTAATTTTTATGTTACAATTAAAATTATGACTTAACATAACAAAAAATTATAGAATTAATTTTATCTGTAAACATAAAATTATATAGTTAATTATTTTATGTCCACATATAAAATTAATTTGGCGCTTTGGGATTCCCAAAGCGCCAAATTGGGAATGCGGCAGGAAGTGCAGTAGTTCAAATGCATCGTAGATATTTATGCGTAATTTATCTACGTCACTTTGGCGCCAATATGCGGAGAGATTCGGGTTGTGTTGTTTTATCCATATAATTATAGAAATTATTCAATTTTTCTATGTATATAATTCACAAACTAGAAGGTTCTAGTTTTGTGATATAATTATGACGTAGATAAATTAAACACACCTACCATTTGAATTACTGCAGTTGCCACTTTCGGCCGCACTTTCGCAGCGCCAAATTAATTGTAAAATTCAGTGCATTAATTTAATGTGTACACATAAAATTAATTGTATCATTTTTTATTAGAATTAAAATTATTCGAACACATAAAATTAATTATGGAACGTCGTTTTACTTTTTAAATGTACATATAAGAAGAAATATTAAGTTAAAAATAAATGTGTCACAAAAATATTGCACACAGGAAAATTTCATTTACTAAATAATTCAACATCTTATATAAACATATTTAAAAAAATAATAACTTCTTTGACATGTATAATTATAATTAATGTATTATTTTGAAGGTATTATTATTATTAATATTTAACTTAATATTTCTTATCCAATTAAAAAGTGTAATGTAAATTTAAAAAATGTCAAAACAATTATTATTGACATTGAAACCCTCAAATGTCACGAAAATCTACATTTGATCTAAGGTTTATCTATCTAGAAATAAATGGTCTTGATTATCTATATAAATGTAACTGAAAAAAATTAATAATTGAAAAAAGTCTAAACCAATTTAAAAAAGCCCAACTTTTTTTTATACAAGTATGACTTTTTCCAACCCTGCATAAAAGTTAAACATTTCTAAGTGATTTTGCAATAAAGCAAAACTGAAAAGAAGAGTAACTCTTACCTGCTATTTTGATGTCCCCTCCGGTAAGTGACGAAATGCCCCGAATGGGCATCCCCTGTGTGTACCACCACTGCTGCCAACTGATAAACGTTCCGGAACTCGTTCGCCATTTCCGACAGCGAACTTCCGGTCCAGTTCATCGGCGTGCTACTCGATAGCGGACTTCCGCCTTCGCTCGTACTCATGTACGTCTAAAAAAGCAAGTAATTTGTCGGCAACACGTTATCTGGTTGGTAGTAGTCGTGTCGGTGGTCGGGTGACTTACCGAATTGGGCATTCTTCTTTGGTAGTGCACCTGTATAAAGGTATAGGCAGACATTGACAACCTCATGGGAAACTGAACGTAGTCTTGACGTTTCGAGATGCCGCCCGGTTGCCAAGTGTTGCGCGATATATGGATGCACAGGCAAAACGGCAACTGTAAAAAATAGTATGGTACCATCCTATTTTAATAAATATTTGGTAAGTCAGTTATTTGTATATCCAAATTTTAAGCAGGCAACCCGATTTTTTGCTGGACGCCCTAATGACAAAATTTACTAAAAACAAGGTAAAATAACAAAAAAATAATAAATATTTTCACTTGCTGTCATTTTAACTTGTTATCAATTTAGCTTTTCTTTATTTTAGCTTTTTTGTCACTTTACATTTTTATCATTTTAGCTAGTTAATATTTTAGCTGATGAATTATTTTATTTTTTTTTTGTTATTTTAGCTTGTCATCATTTTAAATTTTGGTTGTTTAACGTCATTATCATTTTGTTTATGTACCCTTTTAAAATTTAAAATGTACTAATTTTGTTTTAGTTTTCATCATCTTTGCCAATATCTCAGATATGGGACCCACACCAAATTTAAATTGAAGTTTGCGAAAAAAATGTTAGTTTTTAGTGTAGCCTCACCCGCCTCCTGGCCCCCCTATTTGAGATAATTCAAATTAAAGTGGAGCAATTTATAATCTACTATAATTTATCGACAAATTTAAAATTTTATTTAAAAAATCCAAATATTAATTAATAAAATAAATAATAAAAATTTAAAATCGTATTAAATCTGTAATATTTGTATTTTTTAAATGAAATATTAAATTTGTCGTTAAGTTATAGTGGATTATAAATTGCTCCACTTTAATTTGAATTATCTCAAATAGGGAGGCCAGGAGGCGGGTGAGGCTACACGAAAAACTAACTTTTTCGCAAACTTCAATTTAAATTCTGTTATAAATTTGGCATGGGTCCCATGTCTGATAACAAAATCCAGCTGCCGCCACTGTCTTAAGCATATAAGGTTGTCGTTATTTTTAAAAGTAGTCATTGGCTTATTTTTATTTTGCTGTTATTTGAACTTTTTTATAAATTTTGCTTTTCATTTTAGTTTTTTCCTCACATAAGTTTAACATGACAGTTTGTTTTAATTTTAGTATGTAGTTTAACGTGACATAGGTTATAAAAGTAACTAAAAACAAGCTTAAATAATGACAAAACATAAAAATATTAATCATTTTCACTTGCTGTAATTTTAACTTGTTGCCATTATTTTAGCTTGTTGTCAATTTGGATGTTCTTTATTTTAGATTTCGTTATTTTAGCTTGTTATCGATGTAGCTTGTCGTCAATTTAGCTGTTCTTTATTTAGGCCTGTCATCATTTTAGTTTTTTGTCTCTTCTATTTGTAACCATCATTCAAGTTTGTTGATATTTTAGCTTATCATCAGTGACATAGCTTATAAAAGTAACTAAAAACAAGCTAAAATAATGACAATAACATTAAAATAATAAATATTTTCATTTTTTGTAATTTTAACTTGATGCAATTTTAGCTTGTTGTTATTTAGTTTGTCGTTATTTTAGCTAGTCATCGATTTAGCTTGTCGTCAATTTAGCTGTTCTATATTTTAGCTTGTAATCATTTTAGTTTTTTGTCTCTCCTATATGTTACCATCATTTTAGCTTGTTGATATTTTAGCTTGTTGATATTTTAGCTTATCATATGAGTTTAACGTAACATAGATTATAAAAGTAACTAAAAACAAGCTAAAATAATGACAATAACATTAGAATAATAAATATTTTCATTTTTTGTCATTTTAACTTGTTGCCATTAATTTTAGCTTTTTGTTATTTAGTTTGTCGTTATTTTAGCTAGTCATCGATTTAGCTTGTCGTCAATTTAGCTGTTCTATATTTTAGTTGTCGTCATTTCATTTTTTGTCTCGCCTATATGTTACCATCATTTTAGCTTGTTGATATTTTAGCTTATCATGAGTTTAACGTAACATAGATTATAAAAGTAACTAAAAACAAGCTAAAATAATGACAATAACATTAAAATAATAAATATTTTCATTTTTTGTCATTTTAACTTGATGCCATTAATTTTAGCTTGTTATTTAGTTTGTCGTTATTTTAGCTGGTCATCGATTTAGCTTGTCGTCAATTTAGCTGTTCTATATTTTAGTCATCATTTTATTTTTTTGTCCCGCCTATATGTTACCATTATTTTAGCTTGTTTATATTTTAGCTTATCATCAGTTTAACATGACAAAGCTTATAAAAGTAACTAAAAACAAGCTAAAATAACGACAATAACATTAAAATAATAAATATTTTCATTTTTTGTCACTTTAACTTGTTGCCATTTGTTTTAGCTTGTTGTTATTTAGTTTGTCGTTATTTTAGCTTAACGTCAATTTAGCTGTTCTTTATTTTAGCTATCGTTATTTTAGCTGTTCTTTATTTTAGCTTGTCAATCACTTTACGTTATCGTCATAATTTTGTTAATATACCTTCAAAGTTGAGTATAAAATTGACTAATTTGGTTTAGGTTTCCATCATTTTTAGCATGATCAGATTTTAGGTTGTTGTCATTTTTGATAGTAGGTCATTATTTTAGCTTATTTTTATTTTACCTTGTCGTTATTTTGGCTTGTTTTCATTTTAAGTTTTCGTTATTTTACGTTTTCATCATAATTTTGTTATAAAGTTAAGTATATATTTAAGATGTTGAGATTTTAGGTTGTCGTTATTTTTTAATGGTAGTCATTATTTAAGCTTGTTTTTATTTTTATTTGCTGCCATTTTAACATGTAATTTTAGTATGTCCCAATTAAGCTTGTCATTACTTTATCGCTATTTTATCTTGATGATATTTTAGCTTTTCATCAGTTTAATGCGACGTATTTTACGTACATTTTAGTAATTATTTTATCTTGTCATCATCATCATTTTGTGTACATACCTTTCCAAAGTTAAGTATTTTGATTTGTTTGGACAAGATGGCGGGCATGGCGGGGTCCCTTCCGTTGTTGCAACCCTCGCACATCACGTCCACGACCACTTCCGGCGTGACGAAATTCGTCAGCAGCTGGTGCAGCTTGTGGCGCCCCCATCCCAGGTCGCCGGCGCCGCTTGGAAGCGCCAGCGACAGGCTCTCGAACTTGTCGTAGCGCACGGCCGACTAAAAATTAATCAATAGAAAAAATGTACGCCGTTTTTTGGTTGCGGTTTTACTTTAAATCCGCACTCGGTGCACCTTAGTTGGCTGGTTAGCGTGCCGGTGAACGGGTGGGTCACCGGTTGAGCGGGTGGACCTGACATCTGTAGGGCCCTACACGATCTAATAAAAATCGATAAAAATATGTTTCATTAAGGGTACAATTTTTTAATATCACAAAAAATCCTTAAAAAAGCGTTATATTAGGTATATTTCAAAATTTAAAAAAACGATTTAGATCTCAATTTTAAAAACACAAAACTAATATATAAGATTTTTAAATTGCACAACATTTTCAAGGTTCCCGGTTTCCCACTGGTCTCTTTTGTTTTTTAAGTGGTTTTATTGTGCTTTTGAATTCTATACAGATTTTTTTAAACATTTAAAAAAAGTAGGTACTCTTGATAAGAAATATTCAAGTATTTTCACGGTAAAAAATTCGCCGATCGTTTAACTAACATATCGGCAGGGGTATCCCCCAACTTTAAAATTAAGTTTTTTTATACACTGCGCGTCAAAATTAACGCATAACAAGTTAAAAAAATCCAACTCTAAAACACCTTTACCAATCTTCATAAAATTTTGTATAAAAATACTTTAACTTATATCTCAGTTTACGTGTTCAAGGGTTTTTCGAAAAAATATTCTTAGAGCCCTTTTATTTAATAATAAAAAACATTCGAAAAAAACTTTTATAGGGAATTTTTTTTTAAGTAAATAAAAAATATTCTGTGAAAGACCGTATTTTTGTTAGTATCCCCTAAAAATTTTGTACAAATCAAACAAACAGTAACAAAAATACAGCGCTTCAAAGACGTCAAAAATTACCACTTTTCAGCAAAATAATCAAAACGGGGTCATTTTAATAATAATAATAATAATAATAATAATATATTTATTTGCCCAACAGATTACAAAATCCAATCACAGGACAAAATTATAAAATCGTGCAAACTTAACAAATAATTATAAAAAAACCTACTTTAACAAAGTTTACAATAAAAATAAATAAATTATTCTAAGCTAAAATTATTAATAATGTTAGTTACGATGTCACCCAAAGAATCAAAATAAATATAACAGATAGACTGTATTTTATTATAATTATTGCACATTATAAAAGTTGGAGACATAAACATAACATTGGTTTTTGCCAAACCAGTACTAAATGCCAATTTTTGGCGAGAATTTAGTCTGGGAACATGAAAATTAATTGCAGATAATAATTCAGTACAGTCAACTCTATTTCTAAGTAGATTAAATAAAAATTTAATTGAGTAAATAAACCGTCTATCCCTTAAACTTACAAAATCAAATTCAGTTAACAAAGCATAATAATCGTAACCTCTAATTGGATAGTTACCATGACTCTTAAAATTTCTTTCTTTGTATTATTTCAACCGACTTTGAAGCGATGTATCTTCGTTAGTGTTCGTTTGATTTGTACAAATTTTTTTTACGGTCTTTAACAGCATATTTTTTATTTAGTTAAAAAAAATTCCCTAAAGTCATTTTCGAACGTTTTTTATTATTAAATAATAGGGCTTTAAAAATATTTTCTTAAAAAACCCTCGAACACGTAAACTGAGATACAGGGTGTCTCAGTTGGTTTTTCACTTTTTGTGGCCCTGTAAAAAAGTTGTTAGGTGGGTTGGAAGAGTGGGGTTAGTCGTAAACAAACGCTTGATATTGGGAAATTTAGTCAACATGCAGCGTTACACAGGAGAACAACGCGCTTTTTGTGTGCGCGAGTTTTATAAAAATAGCAATTCTTGCACTCTCGTTCGACGTTTGTTTAGACGCCATTACAATTTACACGACATTTAACAATGCCCAGGCATTAATTTAATTAGGGCATGGGTTCGTAAGTTTGAAGAGACTGGTTCAACGACAAATAAACGCATAACCAACCGTTTAAGAACAATAAGAAGCCCTGAAAACATTGAGATGGTGAGAGCGTCTGTGCGGCAGGAACCAAACTTGTCGGTTCGCAGGCGTTATGTCGACATGATACGTGATTTTTTTACACCTGCTCTTCAAGAATTTGAATAATTTGACCAAGAAAGCTGGTTTCAACAAGACGGACCCACAAGTCACACTTCAAATCGATCTTTTCCCATTGTTCAGGCGTTTTTTCCTGAAAAACTGATTTTCCGAAGAGGTGACATAAATTGGCCCCCCAGAAGCCCGGATTTGACTCCATGCGACTTCTTTTTAAAGGGATATCTTAAAAGTCGAGTTTATCGTAACCACCCTGCCAATTTGGAGGACTTGAAGCACAATATTCGGGCAGAAATGAAAGCCATAAGTGAGCAAACTTTTCGGAGCGTGATTGCAAATTTTAGAGCTCGACTTCAAGAGTGTCAGGAAAAAAATGGGCAACATTTGGACAATATAATTTAAAACAAATAAATTTCCCAAGTTTTTTCTTTAGTTTAATAAAAAATTTGTCAAAATTGATCGATTGGTTTTTTTAAATTTTAAATTCAAAAAGTGAAAAACCAAATGAGACACCCTGTATAAGTTGAAGTATTTTTATACAAAATTTCATAAAGATTGGTAAAGTCGTTTTAGACTTAGAATTTTTTTACTTATTATGCGTTAATTTTGACGCGAGTGTAGTTTGACTAGCGTTTTATGTCGATCTTCTTTTAGGTTTTAGTTAACCAGTTTACTGTATTAGACTTGAGTTTTTTTACCTAGGAATGTGTTATGTATTATGTTTTATTTTTTTACAAAATACAATAATAAAAAATGTATACAGAGTTAAGTTTAAGAAAAAAGAAAAAATACCATTACAAAAACAAAAAAAAATGTTTTTTTTTGGGTTAACTTCTGAGCAGCCAACCCTGGTTTTGGGTCCCAAGAATTCCGCATTGTTAGCGATAACTACACTTATGACAAACAATTTGCTGTCATCTTGTCTGGCAAAAATATTAAAATTTGACGTTCCCCGACTTTTCCCTGGCCAACCTGATTTAGAAACTCTTGAAATTTGCTGAATACTGTTTGTTTTAATATTTATTTATCTGCACTCAACAAAACAAAGCCCCAAAAATATTTCTGCCAAGCTAATTTTATGATAAATTTAAATGGTATTTTAAAAATTTGTAATGGGATTTAAAAAAAATGGTCTTTATACAGTTTGGCTCTGGAGCACAGGTATACATATTGCAAGAACTTTTCTAATATTTTATCCTCTTCAAATCCATTGCGTGTAAATTTTCATATTCCATATTTACATAAATATTATATTTTTCTATACATAACAAATCCTTCAATTTTACCAAAAAAATGACTTTTACATGCTACTAACAATCTAACACTCTAAAATTTAAATTTATCATAAAATAAGCTTTGCAAAAATGTTAAATTTTAAAATGTGTTTCAAAATTGTGATTATAACATTCTAAATAAAACAAATTTATTAATTTACATTTTTAAAGTTGTTTTGACATTCTAAATTGTGAATGTTGACAAGTTCTTTTGACAGTTAAGAATGTGTAAAAACTTTTAATATTCTAAATTGTGTTTGATAAAATTTTAAAATAATTTTTGACCTTCTAAAATTGAATTAAACTAACTTAAACATGTGTTTTTGTCATTCTCACCTAGAAATCCACCTGTTTCTTCTAATAGCCCCTCCCCTCCAAGACAAACTGGTAGGTCTGCACAATTCATTCAAAGACATCACACTACCCAGTGAACTAAAGTCTGGAGGTTCCTCCTCTGTATTAAAGTCTATGGGACCCAACTCGTTCATACCCAGGGCATCAGACAAACAACCAGCCTAAAAAATGGACCATAACATATATTTTTATGACTTAAGGGGGTTTAAAAAATACTTTTCTGCCGATTTTCTGTGTTTCCTCGTCGAGTGTAGTCAAAATTACATTTAAAAGCTCGTGAGCATCCTGTTCGCCGGCTGGTATAACCCAGCCCAACCTTTTTAGAGCATTTATTACAGCCGCTGGTGCAAAACTATCTTGCACCGACTTATTAGTACCATTAACAACTAAAAACATATTTATGGTTTAAGCAAAAATATGATGTATATTACCAACCTGACAACACTGTTGACAATGTGCTCCTTAAACTAGTTTCCTTAACATATGTATCTTTATCTAGCCACTGTAAAAATAAAGGACAAGCAGCCAAAGCGTGTAAAACAGCATTCAAAAAGCAGGTTTTCCCCAAATTTACTAAACCAGCCAATCGACCACGACCTGACCCAGAACCAGTCGAAGGCCCCCAAAAAACAAAAGCACCAACCACTGCGGCAGCAGTTAAACCTGCCGCCACCAATATTCGTTCACCTTCCATGCCTAAAAATAAACCTCTATGGATCAGCTACAGTTTATTATTAAAAAAGTATTTTGTCACCTTAATTTATGTTTCTTAAAGTAACAGCCATCTAATTATAGTAAAATACGATTATCACGTTGTATTTTTATGCTTCATTCATTGATTTTCACAATATTTTCGCTCTCACATTGTTATTTTCTATTATTTAAACATTATTTGACATTGATGATATATAAACGTCAATAATCAAAGTGGCCAACACAATAATAACAAAAGCTAAGACATACGTACATAAAAGTAATAATAGGCAATCCAGATAACATTCAAATGTAACAGTTGAGGTTATGTTATTAATAAAATGTTCTCAAAAATAATAAAAAACATAACTTTAACATGCAGGACGATAAATATCAAACAAATAAGGTTGTATAGTTTAGAAATAACGGAAAATGTGGCGAATACGTTTAAACCGCCGGAAATATGCGATACAAAGTTGTTGAAAGTTGCTATTATTGGATGTCCAAATGCAGGAAAAAGCACATTTATTAACAATTTGATGGATAGAAAAGTAAGGATTTAGTGGGTTGTAATTTATTATTAATAAGTTGTTATTTTAGGTGTGTGCCACATCTTCAAAAGTTCATACAACAAGAAATAAGTCTTTGGCTATTTTTACTGTTGGCGATTCTCAAATTGTTTTTGTGGACACACCAGGATTAGTAAATGATAGAGAAAAGAAAAAGTTCAATTTGGAGAAATCTTTTACGAAAGACTCAAAATCCAGTTTATCTGATGCTGATATTATTGGTGTAATACACGATGTTGCAAATGCTTACACAAGAGAAATTTTAGATATAAAAGTAATTAGATTGTTGGAGTTGCACAAAACAAAGCCAAGTTTTTTGGTTTTAAATAAAGTGGATGTTTTGAAGTCCAAAAGAAAATTATTGGATATAACAAGAGTTTTAACTGAAAATAGTTTGGATGGAAAAACTATACCTGGTAAATTTAAGAAAATTGAAACTGAGAACAAGGGTTGGCCTTTATTTAAGGAGATTTTTATGGTGTCTTCTCTAACAGGTAAATTTTTACTATGTTATTTACTTAAAGAATTGTTGCTCCTTAAGATATCCTCAACATATTATGGTTGATTTTTTTTATTTTATTTACTTTTAAAATGTCTGAAATTGGACCTAATATTGTCAGGAAGTACATGTATATATTTGCATTTTCATACATTTTTGTAATTGTTTATTTTTATTTAAACCTTGTGTTTCAAAGGAAGTGGCATACCTGAAGTCAGAGATTATCTAATAAAAAATGCCAAACCAAACAAATGGATGTTTCCAGAAGAAACATGGACAAATGAAACCCCAGAAAACCTAGTTTTAAAAGCAGTTCAAGCAACATTACTCAACTTTTTACCACAGGAAATACCATACACACTAAAACCGGAACTGGAGTTATTTGAACAAAACAATTTAACAGGTAAAAAAAAATGTTATACCTATCTTCATTAAAAATCTTTATTTTAGGTGATATAATTTGTTCGGTAGTGGTAAAATGCCCTTCACAAAGAATAGCAAAGCTAGTAGCCGGTGCAAGCGATGGAAAATTAAAACAAATCACAGAAACTGTCCAACACGACTTACAACTGGCCTTCCAAAATTTTGTAAGGATACACATTGTGATGAATTCAGAAGAAAAAGAAAAAACTTAAGTATAAACTAGGCTTGTAAATAAACTAAATTATATTCAATACAAGTTTTATTAAGGTTTTATTTGTTGATATGGATAGGCCTCGCGGAAACTGGGGATTACTGGCATTTCACTGGCAATTTTGTTAGGTTAAATGAAATAATTTTATGAGGCTGATGGCAAAATACGAAACGTTTTTATTTTCTGCACAATACAAAACGAATCGTTTTAAAATTGAAATAGGAGTAGATAAAGAATTTTTATTTAACATTTAATTAAAATTGTGGCAAAGCGGCACCTGAATCGCTCGAAACTGTCATTTTATAAATTATTTTGACAGTAGTTCAAAAATAAATTATAATTTTTAAATTTGTATTGCCAATGCATTAAAAGTAAAACAGGTCCTGTTTTCATTTTAATACGCATGTCTTAACAAGTTTTCATTTAAATGCATTGGCAACACTGATTTAGAAATTTAAAATGTACATTTGAACTACTGTCAAAATTTTTAATCAAAATTATCGTTTTTCACTATTGACTATTGTATATGTTTTTTACTTTTTATATAGCCTATATATAATACCCTATAATACCCATAATTGACGGCTGCGAGGGTGAAGGTAAAACAAATTTTTCTTTATAATTTTTTCGAATTTAATCCCAAAACTTCAAATAAACACTGGATAGAACAGAAATACTGCGCTTTTATTGTCTGCTTTAAAAGTTAAATAACTCTTGCAATTTTTCAAAAAAATGGAAAATTCGTCTTGCAATTTTGGGCCGCCAATTGTACGACACCCTGTATACTGGTTAAAAATCAAACACAATTTTAAGTAATGAAAATTTTATTAAAAGTACAAAAATATAACGATTTTATTTATTTACAACTATTCTACTCTTATAAATAAATTTTTTTACATGTAAGGCCCCCATCCAATATACATTTGGCATAAATTATCAACACTTATAGCTTCATTTATTAAGTTATTTGTTTGTCCTTCAACGGAGAGGGGTATGGAAAACGACCTGTTTTTAGTTTTAATAATACCCTGTAGTCTTAGTTCAATATTTTTTACGTGTTCAACAGCCTAAAAATATTTTTAGAAGTCAATATTTTAATATTGTTAAATTTTCCAATTATTGTTATTATTTATGAAATTTGGCTATATTATATGACTATAAAACAACTTTTTTAAATTTAACTTTTTTCTTACCTGTTCGTTGGTTCTTTCAGCATTACTGTGGCTTGAAGCCGCGTTTCTTGGCCACGATACCAATGGGTCGTACACAAAAGGTGTGACAATAGACATTAATGTGTTTGTGTTGTTTCTTAGTACTCTTAAGGTGCATGCGCATGATTTTCTAAATACACCTTCGACCCCTAGAGGGCCCATGGCTGACACCATATTTTGCGTCAGTCTAAATGGGACGCGTTCTGGCCATTCAAAAGCTTCACCTAAAAATGTTGATGTACAAAATTTGTTGGACAATCATTTTGTAATTTTCAAAAATATCTGATTATATGCAAAAAATAAACATAAAAAAACGCACAAAGGTGGTAAAAGAAAACCAAAACAAAGTTTAAAAAATCGAAAAATCGTTAGGATTACCTTTGTTAAAGAGGCAGTTAAAATCGACATGAACTGTATCTCCACACGTGGAGTCCAACTGTATATTTTCCCCATGTCTGTCCCCCAAACCCAGAATATACCCAGCTATAGACATAACGGCTGTAGTACGGGTATAGGCTGTTCTTGCTGTCAACCAGTTCTAAAAAATAGCACCCACATTTGGTAGTAATTGTTTTTGTAACTTTGGATTATTTTGCGCGTTGAAAATAAAAATAAAATTAGTTGACTTACCTGGGTGTCTGGAAACGTTTTTCTGAACCATTCGCCTAAAACTGGGGGATGTTTTGGTAACAAAAGTTTTAAAAATACTTCGCGTTTTTTCACCAGAGAATCTTTTAAGTTGCATTTCATTTCGTTTAGTTCCTTGTTTCTAACTAACATTCCTATAAAATTAAAAATAATTGCAACAAAATAAAACATATAAGTTTATAATTGTTAAAATTGTATTTTTTAATAAAATGGCGACGATTTTTATGAATTTTAAGATAATTATTAATGTTTTTCCAATTTTTCATGACTTTTTTGTATACTACACTGCGCGTCAAAATTAACGTATAATAAGTAAAAAAATTCCAACTCTAAAACGACTTTACCAACCTTTATGAAATTTTGTATAAAAATACTTCAGTTTACGTGTTCGAGGGTTTTTCGAGAAAATATTTTTAAAGCCCTTTTATTCAATAATAAAAAACGTTCGAAAAATAACTTTTAGGGAATTTTTTTAACTAAATAAAAAATATGCTGTTAAAGACCGTATTTTTGTTAGTATACCCTGAAAATATTGTACAAATCAAACGAACAGTAACGAAGATACATCGCTTACAGTAGGTAAAAATGACCCCTTTTTGATTATTTTGCTGAAAAGTTGTCATTTTTGACGACTTTGAAGCGCTGTATTTTTGTTACTGTTTGTTTGATTTGTACAAAATTTTCAGGGTATACTAACAAAAATACGGTCTTTCACAGCATATTTTTTATTTACTTAAAAAAAACTTCCATATAAAAGTTTTTTTCGAGCGTTTTTTATTATTAAATAAAAGGGCTATAAGGATATTTTCTCGAAAAACCCTTGAACACGTAAACTTAGATATAAGTTAAAGTATTTTTATCCAAAATTTTATAAAGATTGGTAAATGCGTTTTAGAGTTTAATTTTTTTAACTTGTTATGCGTTAATTTTGACGCGAAGTGTAAACAATAAAAATTAAAACTTTATTGTAAATCGCTAAAATCAAAAAAGCCTCATCATTTTTTTTAAATTTTACTAACTTATAATACTGAAGTTAAGAAATTAAGCTCATAAGAAAGCTCGATTCTTTTGCTTTAAAACCATAAAAGTTTAAATAATGTGATGCTAATTATTTTTAGAGCTGTTGCGTTAAAGCGCAGGAGTGTGTCATCTGTCATCTTGACACCTGTGAAAGTAGGTATTGCTTAATGACAAATGACAAATAACACACTTCTGTGCTTTAACTCATCAAACAGTTAAAAGCCTCTAAAACAATTTTTATCCCATTACTTAACTTTTTTGGATTTTTTCAATAAAAACTTGTAATTTTCCTCATTGAGAAAAATATAATCAGGGCTAAAAAAACCTTTCTTTAAATATTGAATTTTAAAGACTTTGCACCCCTGTAATTGGATAACCAAAGGCAATGAAGCAAAATTTAGTAAAATTTGAAAAAGATTGTGAAAGTGAACTTTTTTTTTGGTGGTACACTTAGGAAATTTTGCCCCATATGTGAGTTCATCATATGAAATTTGTAAAGCGATTTTAATGATAGTTTGCAGTTTCTTAATTTTTTTACATTTTGATAATTTTTAATTATTGATAAGTGTCAAATATAAATTTTTAACATTTACATGTGTTTTTGAATAAGGAGCCTTTCCAAAGTAGGAGGGCGCCACTGTTCTGTTTCAGTAAAAAATTGAAATAAACGCCGCTAGTGGTGAAAAAATAAAACGTAACTTTAGTTTATGAAACTCCATAATATTATGTTATGTTATGTTATCTATGATAAAACTCATTAAATTTGCGACTTTTTTTACTAATAAAGCAAATTTGATGATTTTTTAATTTTTTAAAATTTTACACACATTTATAACTTAATTATTAAAGATTGAAATGAAACCCAATTTAAAATAGCAAAGAAACAAACATTCAAAATGTGTTATTTTAAAAAAAAAATTGATTTTTTAAACACATTGACAATTTTTAATTCATTCTAAACAAAACATTCCAAATTGTTTTTCTGCCATTCTAACCACATAATTGGTGTTTTTTTGTGATTCTTATTAAGTAAGTTTTGTATAATACCCTAGCAGTTTCATGCTTTAATATTTACCATTTAAAAAATAGTGTTTTTTTCGCGATGTAAATTTATAAGGTGTCCCTAAAATGTCTGTACAAAATGTTGCCACATATTCCTTAGACCGAAATAATGCGATATAACTAAATTTACACCTATACAAAAGTTGATAATAGCTGAGATACATGGTGTCAAAGTTAAAAGTTCATTTTAGTTTATGATGTAATACTAATAATATTCACCCCACTTCCAAGCAGACAACTTTTTTACCGTTCAAACACTATAATAAAACCCTTGTACTTGTATCAAGCGATTTTGATCATGTAATGGGATAGACAATTAACCATTGAACTTCTTACCTTTTTGCTTGTACAAATTGACCAAAATGGGCCTCAAACCGACCAAATTGTTAACCCATTCGATAAGACCGCATTCCTCATTCAAAGGCGCCACAGAATACAGCCTGATGTTCAATCTTCTTTGTCTGGCCTCCGGTTCCCGAGACAATAACTGATTGACGATATCGTTGAACTCCATCAATCGAAAATCCTTGCGTAAGTCGTCCTTGGGCTTCAACATGTAAATATACCTAAAAGGAAATAGTTATTTATGTCATTAGGTTCAGAAGTAAGGCTTTTTGTGCTAAGCTCAAGGTTTACAATTGAGCGAAGCACAAAAAGACACTTCTTGGCCGAATGGCATACACAACAATTTTATTTTTTATTTTCAAAGCACTTTATATAGGTCAATTTAATTCAACATCAAAGCGGCCTAACCTCACTTTTTTAGAATCTCATTTATTTATTAGCTAAAGATTACATTAAATGTACAATAATTATTATTGCTTTTAGAAGCAGTAATAGTTTGACAATACCTAGCAACATGATTTAAGTAGTAATTGATTTATGCTATTACATTGAATTCAATTAATTGTTTAATAAATAGGTAGGTATGTAATTTCAATTTGTTTGGATTTTTATTTAAAAAATAGGTAGTTTGGAATGTTTAAGCTGTGTTTAACATTTAATTTCACTGAAAACTTAAAGCAAATTAAAACTTAAAGATAATTTAAATCGTAGAAAAAGAATCGTGCGTTTTCGTAGTTGCCTAACCTCACTTTTTGTTTTATTATTCATATTTAATTTTACAATAATTTAATGAAAAATATTAAACATTTAACAGTAAAACAAACAAATTAGTGCTTATTATAAATAAATTAAACCAGTTTAGTACGTTAATTTCTTAGAAAAAGATTAATTTGTCAAAACAATACCCCTAGCGAGAAAAAATCGAACTAATTACTTGCCTCATAAAATTTTTTATCGGCCTAGGCCATAACAAGGTATTTCTTTATCGAATGTTGACAACGATAAAGTTTAAATTATAGACCGCGTGGAGATAAAATTACTCGTAATATTAAAACTACTTTTAACATTTTCTCACCCTTTTCCGTCGGATCCTCTAAGGGTGATTTTCCTTGGTCGTTGCAGACTGGCTAATACGGACACTTCGTCTTCTATCCCGGCAATGTGCACGTAAAAATTCGGGAACGGGTTGTGCTGACTGCTTTTGAAATCGGGATTCGGAAGGACCAGTTTGCGGAACTTCTGCGTGGGCATCATTATTTCGCTGAAGTCGCTTTTGGTGAGCATCCTATGGGGAATTTTAAATGACATCTGGACCCAGCAAACGAAACCGTAAAGGTTCTATAATGGCCCTTTATTAGACTGGGCCAAAAAAATTGACTATTTTTTTTTTGAAAAATATATCGAGAATGTCATTCAAAATGACAAAAAAAAAATTTCGGAAAAATTTGAGCCCTTAATATTAATTTTAAGAGGTCTATCAACGCTATTTTTGATTTTTAGTCATAATATGATGTTTTACGTTAGAACTGTCAAAACATTAAAGTGAAAAAATTCCTTTTCACTTATTTTTATATAAAATTAAATTCTCTACAAAAAAGGTCTGATTGAAAATTTTCGTCAGACGAGCCGTTTCCGAGTAATTGAGCTTAATAAATCGATGTGTTCTTTTCGATTTGCCCTTTTTACTTTGAAATTTTGTAAATAATGAATCGATGAATATTTAAAAAAGCTCACGTCGGATTCTTAAAGAAAATTTAATGTTCTACAAAAAAGGTCTCTTAACATTTTTGCCTAAATTTAAATCTTCAAAAGTTATTCACGAAGAAAAAATTTTTTCTTCGATTTTAATCGTAAATAACTTTTGAAGAATTAAATTTAGGCAAAAATGTTTGGAAAACTTTTTTGTAGAGCATTAAATTTCCTTTAAGAATTCGACGTGAGCTTTTTTAAATATTCATTGATTCATTAGTTACACAATTTCAAAGTAAAAAGGGAAAATCGAAAAAACACATCGATTTATTAAGCTCAATTACTCGGAAACGGCTCGTCTGATGGAAATTTTCAATCATTCCTTTTTTGTAGAGAATTTAATTTTATTTAAAAATAAGCAAAAAGGGATTTTTTTGACAGTTCTAACGTAAAACATCAAATTATGACTAAAAATCAAAAATAGCGATGATAGACGTCTTAAAATTAATATTAAGGGCTCAAATTTAAACGAAATTTTTTTTGTCATTCTGAATGACATTCTCGATATATTTTTCAAAAAAAAAATAGTCAATTTTTTTGGCCCAGTCTACCCTTTATAAATGTGCCTTTAATGAACTAAAGGCCCTATAAAGGCTAACTCTAATGGAACTATACATATTATGTCGCGTTCACCTTTAATTGGCATGTAACGGCAGTCAATGGCACTTACAAGAACCATTCCATTTTTTGATATCACGACAGTCTTTATCAAAATTAATATTTTTATTAAAACATTCCCTTAAAGGAACAGTACAGTCCGTTCAGGCTAAGTTGAGCGCTTTGGTGGGGATCATGTGGCCGTTGATTAAATTAAATATCGAATCGTCGCGAGATTTTGGTAATAAGAAGATGATTTATCAGTGCCGCGGCTTGTCGTTTGTTCGTACAGAGCGGCTACCGAAATACATGTATTTAATTGTGCCTGAAAATAGAGATGATGAACTGGGTGACATTCCTTAGACCGCTCAACTTAGCCTGAACGGACAGTACAAGGAAAGCATAATCAGACTTTTGTGTTTGCTGGGTTATAAAGTAAATAAAAAAAACCTTTTACCTGGGCAAAGCCCTCAGCAGCTGACTGACTTTGGTGGAACTGACGTCTGCGGGTATCTCCTTGTTGCACAATTCGATCAGTTTTTCGGCCAAACTGGTGAAATCTTTGACCAGTTTGAGCATGGAACCCGTTTTGAGGTTCGAGTCGTTCAGAATTTCCATGCAACGCTTCGATCTGATCGCGTAGCTGGATTTTACCACGGAAATTATCATCCACAAGCACTGTTGAGGGTAGTGCTGCAGAAGTTTTATTATTATGGATTTGAGTTCTTGGTGAACCTTGAAAAAGAAACGGCAAATTCTTATTATGGTTTCATCGTTATAAAATGTGCTGAACAATCAAAATTGTGTTTTGGACATTCTTAAATTTATTTTGACATTATAAATTGTGTTTTAGACAAACTCTAAATTGTGCTCTTGGCATTCTAAATTCTGTTTAGGATATTCTAAATTGTGTTTGGGTGTTCTAAAGTTTTGTTTTCGACATTCTAAATTGTATTTTGGATACCAAAATTTGATTCTTAATTGTGGTTTTAATATTCTAAAATTTGTTCTGAGTACTCTAAATTGAATTTTTGATATTCTAAATTATGTTTGGACATTCTCAAATGTATTCTCTAATTTTAAATTGTTTTTTGGACAGCAAAATTTGTTTTAGACTAATATTCTAAAATGTGTTCTAAATACTCCAAATTCCGTTTTTGGCATTTTAAATAATATTTTGGACAAAAATTATCGTCGTTTTGATATTCCAAAATCTATTTAAACACTTTAAATTGTGTCTGGACAAAAATTTGTTTTAAATTCTAAATTGTATTTTAGACACCAACATTTCTTTTTAGACATTTTTGATTCTTAATTGTGACTTTAAAACTTCAAAAAGTTTTTTTGGGCACTTTAAATTGCGTTTTTTACATTCTAAAGTAAAAAAAAAAGCAATTTTTCAGTAGAGCCTTAAGCGTATTCGCATTAATTCAGGAAACATATTTACGATTAGCGGACATACCCTTTTGTTAGCACATATAATATGCTAATAAAAGCGTATACCCGCTAAACATAAATATATTTCCTGAATTAATGCGAACACGTTAAAGGCTCTATTGAAAAATTGCTTTTTTTGACTTATCCCCCTATGCCTTTTACCCACAGAAGTATTGTTTTTGAGATTATAAATTGTATTTTGGACACCAAAATTTGTTTTTAGACATTTTTTATTCTTAATTGTGGTTTTAACATTCTAATTTGCGTTTATGATATTTTAAATTGTGTTTGGACATTCTAAAGTTTTGTTTTTGACATTCAATATTGTATTTTGGATACCAAAATTTGTTTTTAGATATTAATAATTCTTAATTGTGGTTTTAATATTTTAAAATGTCTTCTTTTGTTTTTGTCATTATAAATTGTATTTTGGACACCAAAATTTATTTTTAGACATTCTTAATTCTTAATTGACGTTTTAATATTTTAATTTTCGTTTAGGATATTCTAAATTGTATTTTGGATACCAAAATTGTTTTTAGAGATTTTTGATTCTTAATTGTGGCTTTAATATTCTAAAATGTCTTCTGGACATTATAAAGTTTTGTTTTTGACATTCTAAATTGTATTTTGGAAATTTGTTTTTAGACATTCTTAATTCTTATTTGTGGTTTTATATTCTAATTAGCGTTTAGGATATTCTTAATTGTGTTTGGACATTTTAAAGTTTTGTTATAGACATTCTTAATTGTATTTTGGAAACCAAAATTTGTTTTTAGACATTAATAATTCTTAATTGTGGCTTTAATATTATAAAATGTCTGGACACTTTAAATTGCGTTTTTAACATTCTAAATTGTGTTTTCTAAAGTTTGTTTGGACATTCTAAAGTATTGTTTTTGACATTCTAAATTTTATTTTTGACACCAAAATTCTTGATTCTTAAATGTGTTTTTATTATTTTAAAATTACTTCAAATCTTGACTTTTTACCTCTCGAAATTTAATTTCATAAGTTTGACATTCTAAATAAATACAGTGGATGGCCAAATTATTTGGGACAGAAGCAATTTCTTCAAATTTCGAGGTTTGGATAGATTTAGTTTCAGTTAACCCTTCTTGAGTTTTTTATTTTGTATATTTGCTGTTGGTAGTATATTTTTTAGAAAAATTATACCTACAGGATATTTTTATACCCTGTAAAAAATGGCGGTTTTATATATTTGTGGAATGTAATTTTTAATATAAGAAAATACATCACAAAAAAATATCAGATATTTCATTTCAACAATTTAATTTTTTTAACTTTCTTACCTCCTTTTGTGGATGACAAATCCTGGAAATAATCTGCGAAAAGGCGGTCAAAAAAATATACGCCGGCAACCTTTTCAGAGAATCATCAATCAACTTGGTCATTTTGAACAGCATATTTTTCCGTTCTTCCTTTACAGTATTGGAAGTGACGTCCAACAATCTCGTGCCAAAATCGAACCAAATCGACAAAATCCTCGGCAGTGATTGGTAGATGAACTCAGTGCCAAACTGAAGGGATTTCAAGAAGTAGTTTATCATGTGAAGTTGAATGCTTGCGCATTTTGTATCGCGTTCCTCGTCAGAGTGAGTTTGGAATATACGGTCATAGTATTGTGCCAAGCATACCTAAATATACAAGGAAAACATTTGTTGTGTTTGAGCTTAATAAAAATTAGAAGATGTATAAAAAACATGTCATATTTATATGGTATACTTACCAAACTCTTTTCCCATTCCTTGTAGGTTTCAAATGATTCCTTATAATACTGAACATTGATTTCTGTATCTACATTTGATATTGAATCATTATAGGAAGCTGTTAAAAGCATGGCCTCTGCACATATTTTTCTAAAAAATAAAAACCAGACGATAAAATGACAACAACCGAAATTAACCACAAACTAACAAGACCGGATAAAATGACAAAACTAACAAACTATAGGTTCATAAAACTTACTTTTGTTCTAGAGATAAGGCAGCCATGGCCTGCGTACTTCCGGTTTCGGGCATAACTAGCTCCAGACCTCGCTTCAAAGTTGTCAGGGCCTGCTCATGTTCTTCCCTTAACCAATGAAGCTTGGCCTTCTCTAAGAACAAACGTTGAGGAGCGTACTCTTCAGCTTTAATTGTGTAAGTGTAAGCTTGCTGATGAATCTGAAAAAGGAATTTTAAATTTTTTAATATTTTTAGAAAGTGTTCGAGTAAAACACGTTTGACTCAAACGTGTTTAATTAATCAAACTTTGCTGAAATCAACGTCTGTTTATTTTATCAAATTTTGAAAAAGTTTTGTATGAAATTGCATTAATATTATTTAAATAATATTTTCACTTGAAAATGGCAACTGCTTTGTAACGCTTTTGCATTTCCAATATTTTAAAAATTTAAAAGATTTCTAAAATTTTCGAGTTTTTCAGACTATGAAACTTTCTAAAAATGTTCACATTTGCTAAAATTTTAAATTTATTAAAATTAAAAAAAATATAATGGGACATTTAGGGGCGGGATTACATACCCACGCGCCTTTTACAGCCAAGCACATCACTACATTACGGCCCTTATTTTTAATTATATAATTTTATATTGAAATAAATTTGATTTGATTTTGCCTGGCCCTCACCCTTGAGGCTCGGGTTCGATTCCCTTTTTAATTAAAATGTGACAAATTTTTTCATATTATCCATAATACGAATCGCAATTTTTTCAATTTTACAAATTTTCAGAAAAATTGATTTTTTTTGCTTTAAATGCAAAAATTTATTTTATTGAATAAATTTTATTCTCCTATTTTTTTGAGAGTTTAAAACTTCACAAGTATTTTAAACAGAACAATTTGCAAAAAAAATTTTCATTATTTGTTACAGATAATACGAAAAATACGTTTAAAAAGCTTGAGCTGTTTTAAAGGCTTGAAAAAAATTTTTTGCTGCAAGATACATGTGTATTTTCGGAAAAATTGATTCAAAAAAAGTATTTAATTATAAATAACATAAAAATGATCGGGTCCATACCGGGATTCCAATGTTTGTTTGAAATTTGTAGACAATGAGTTCATATTTTTTGAAACTTCTTGGACTGACATCATCTAAAATTGTTTATTAACACGACGTTTCGATTGCTAGTGGATCTGCAATCGTTATCAAGTGAATACAAATTTCAAACAAACATAAAAATGCTCATTTTATTAAAATGTGTTTATTTTTTGAATTACCATAAAAAATCAATTTTTCCAAAAGAGCCATTTTTTCAAGGCCCGGAAAAAAACAGGTTGTTCCCCCAATTTTTCCAGTTTCTTTTGACGTTTTAAATCGCTATGTTTTTACACTCTAAAGTTTGTTTGGACATTCTAAAGTATTGTTTTTGACATTATAAATTGTATTTTGGACACCAATTTGTTTTTGAACATTTTTGATTCTTAATTGTGGTTTTAACATTCTAATTTGCGTTTATAATATTCTAAATTGTGTTTGGACATTCTAAGGTTTAGTTTTTGACCTTCAATATTGTATTTTGGATACCAAAATTTGTTTTTAGACATTAATAATTCTTAATTGTGGTTTTAATATTTTAAAATGTTTTCTGGACACTTTAAATTGCGTTTTTAACATCCTAACTTGTGTTTGGACATAAAATTTTGTTTTTGACATTATAAATTGTATTTTGCACACCAAAATTTGTTTTTAGACATTCTTAAATCTTAATTGTGGTTTTAATATTCTAATTTGCGTTTAGGATATTCTAAATTGTGTTTGGACATTCTAAAGTTTTGTTTTCGACATTCTAAATTATATTTTGGGTGCCAACATTTGTTTTTAGACATTTTGGATTTTTAATTGTGGCTTTAATATTCTAAAATTTGTTCTGAGTACTTTTTTTAAATTACCAAAAAAATTCAATTTTTCCAAAAGAGACATTTTTTTCAAGGGCCGGATAAAAACGAAAAAAAAAGTCCAGTATGATTAAACTTTGTTTATTCGTTTCTGATAGTTTAGTTAAATTTGTGTTATTATAAATTTTTAAGTAATTTGACATATTTTAATATGGTTTTGTCATTCTAAAATTTGGTTTTGACCTTAAATAAGTCTGTACATTATTTTGATGTGTCCTGGAAAATTGAGCGTAACGCGTCCTGTAGATGTGACGACTGCGTCAGTGTGTGCGTGCGAAAATCGAGATTAGAGTGGGGATGCGTAAACGTGATTATATTAGAAAATTTCTTTGTGGCGTAAGAAATTGGTGGCATAAGTAAGAGAAAGAGGGAGATAGAAATAAATTAATCCAATATGTAGGCCGACTTAAGATGGTTTGCCTATTTCTTGATAATAATAATAATAATAATAATAATATTTAGTTCCAAAAGCGACAATTCACAAAATTGTATAGGAAAACGTCTAAAATATAATATAAAAAACATATAGAATTGTAAACATTTACATATTGTTTAAAAAAACATATATTAGCATAACAGGATAAAATTGTAGTTATTGTTCAAAATATTCTTCAATAGAATAAAAACTTCTTTCTTTTAGATACGAGGATACAGCATTTTTAAATTTACGAAAGTTATTTAATTTTATAATATTACTAGGTAACTTGTTATACAATTTTATCGCTGTTATTATTGGGCCTTTGTATACTTGCGTTAAATTATGTGTGGGGACATAGAGTTTGTTTGTATTCCTTGTTTCGTATTTGTTTATATCACCGCACTTTTTGAAATCTTTAATATTAAGACGGACATACACTACACATTCTAGTATATAAATACATGGGACGGTTAAAATTTGATTACATTTAAAATAAGTTTTACAATGACTATTATAGGGTAAGTTTAACATAGACCTTAAAATGGGTATCAAATGAAAGAGTTAGTAGAAACAACGAGGTGGGTAAACATTTCCAAAATTATCAAAATTCTTAAAATTTCCAAAATTTTTAATTTTAATTTTTAATTGGAAAATTTTAAAAATTTAAAAAAATTCATTTCATTTTCAAAATTTTCATACTTTCCACAAAAAATATCATTTAAAATAAAAAAATTACAAAACAAACATTTTAATCTAAAAATTTCTTACCCCAGCAGATCTGGCAGTTTTGGCGCTCATCAGCCAGCTCTCCCCCAAAAGGGCATTAAAAAATTTCACACCGACCGGAGCCTTCTCCTCAATAATACTTTTTCCCATGTTTAGAGCCGCCCTTCTCAAACACAAAACCGGCTCTATGATCCTTATGGACTCCTGCACAACTTTAATTCTCAATTCCCATTCCATGGACAACTTCTTCATAATAGCTTCTGCATAGTTTTTGTCGTTAGGTTTCAATAGCAGTTCGTTTATGCACTTTTCGACCTGCTCCAGTTCGTTTATAGCGTGGAGTCGAGATATGTAGCTGTAGCCTCTTTGGTAGACCCCCATTTCCATGCTGCTAGCACCCAAGGATTCCACTTGTTGGATTTTTATTTCGTCTATTACTTGGTTAAATAGATCTCTCTTGCCTAAATTAATTTTAATGTTTAAATATTTTAAATAACACGAGATTGTACATTAATATATTTTTAACAGTATATTCATTATAGGCAAGCTAAATTTAGAAAAAGAAACTTGAAAAGAAAAACAAAGACTGTAGAAAGAAAAACATTGTTTTAATTCTGTAACTTTCTCCAAAGAATTTTTTTTGGATATTTAACTTTTATTTATATCGATTATTTTTTAAATAAGCAATTTTTTTTAAATATTAAGCCGTGTACTGAATACGCCAGTGGCGTAGCTAGCCTCGAGGGGGCCCCGTATCAAAAATCTGGTAGGGGCCCTTAAGCGGGAAAAGTCTATTTTGGGCAAACAAAAAAATTTTTTAGTGTATAATTTTTTGCATTTACCAATTTTTAATAATTTAATAAATAATATCACCCCGCGGGTGACCTTTTTATGAAAAATCTTCTTGCGCTCGATACAATTAACATTTATAATTTGTTGGTCTAAACCTGTCAATTGAGCGATTCTAATAGAATCCCATTTATTTCTTTAAAACACTGATTTTTCTGTAATATAAACTCAATAGAATCATTTTATTGAGTTTATATTACAGGAAAATCAGTGTTTTAAAGAAATAAATGGGATTTATTACACTTTAAAATTGTTTAGGAGGTACAATTTCTATAATGGGCGAAATCCTTTGGAATGATGATCCTTGGTTAACTACAGGTCGATTTTTAATTTTTTTTATCGGTAATCCCTTGCAATGACATATAGCGATTGCAAGGGATGTATTACATACCTTTATTATACAGGCTACATATAAAAGTTGTTAAACTACTCAAAATAGTGTAAATATGTAAATATAAATATTCTCTTATTGGCGACACTGCTGTGCAATGTTGCCATCCCGTAAAAGATGAACAATACGAAAACTGTTTTGTTTATAGATTTTCCTACGGGAATCTATAAACAGCACTACGGTTATCGTATTGTTCATCTTTTACAAGAGGAAGGAAGGAAGGAAGGCATTCTATAAATCAGACTGTAAACGCATCGTTTTCAGTGCAACTCCTAAAAATTGGGTACCGCTTGCTACTCCAACTCGTATTTATTATCTATGATTGACATTTCTTTCCAGTGCTGCTAACTTTTTGTTTCTTGGGGACCACTCTTGCCAACTGTCGGGTTTGTTCCCCACAAGCTTTAAAAAGGCATCGAAATTAGGGATTTTTAAAACAAATATTCGCTTATTTTTAAGTTTTTTTAACTAAATTTCTTCAAACTTGTTTAGTCCACTTTTATTTATAAAATCGCCTTTGATTTTAACTTTTAGAAAATTTAAATAGTTTTTTGTTGTTTAAAATCAAAATATCAATATATACATATGTATATACAATGTATATAGTATACTATATAGTTCATTGATTTTAAATTGAGATGAAACTTGTTCTTTTTTAAAGATCAGTTCGTTTTTGTAAGGGGTCGTAGGTCAAAATTTTGTTTAGATTTTTGTAATTTTTAGTTTAATATCTATAATTTTTGTTTTAAATATTTTCAACAAAAATATCAACCGATAAGGATAAAACAGTTTCTTATTTAAGATTTTATTTTCAAAACGTCTTTAGAAAATAACACAATTTTTAAACCCTAATTACTCAAAATGGTGCGTAATATTTGGAAACTATAATCGAAATTAAATTATTTGATTATTAATTAATTAATACAATAAAAAATAACAAAGATATAATATAATTAAGAAACTCGTCACGCTTAACGTAATATGTTTATCGCGCAGGTCTGACTCACCCTCTTTTTTGGTTGTTTTTTTTTTAATAAGAAATAATTATAATCCCTACAACGTAATCAAGCGTTCAGTCGTAATTTGGCTTTTATGCGACGAACATGCTCATTTTTTACTTTTATCTACATCAACAAATTGCTAGGTATTATTAGAATTCTAACGCATCTATTAGGTCAAATAATACTATAAATACTATAAATATTTTTGTTATTAAAAAAAAATAAAAAACAAAAGTTGCAGTCCTTATTAGTCCTATTAGGCAATGGATATTAAGAAATAAGACAACCATATATATAAGGATAATGGGATTTAACCAGAACTCATCAATAAATTTGGTAACAATTTATTATTTTTAAATTTTTTGACTAAAATAAAAGTATTTACCTATTTATTCGCTAATTTTTAAGTTTTTTTAAACTAAATTTCTTTAAACTTGTTTAGTCTACTTTTATTTATAAAATATATATATACAGTGTGACCCATTTGTTTGCGACTCACCCCTGTAAAATCTTTATTTATTGTGCGATTTTAACCGGATTTGTCTTAAAGTGTAGATCTTGATAAACTGTATTTTTGGAGCAAAAGACGCCATATTAGTACAAAATACAAGGCTTACTATGTAAGTTTTTTAGAGTAAATTTTTAAGAATTCATATTAGCGATTTTTTTAACATTGAACAAAATCTAAGCACGGCACTGGATTCACCACCCCTCAAAACGACCATTTACTAAATTTTATTGAAAAATTTTAAGTAGAAAAATGCACAATATTAACCACAAAAATTTATTATGTCAAGTTATCTATGAAAATAACATTTAATTAAAATAAAACTTATAGTAAAAGTACCATGATACCTACTATTAGTTTAATTTTATTTCAATGTTTTTCATGGATAACTTGACAGAATAAAATTTTGTAGTTATTATTGTTTTCAATAAAATTTAATGTAGGGTCGATTTTAGGGGTGGTGAATCCAGTGCCGTGCTTAGATTTTGTTTAAAAAAATCACTAATATGAATTCTTAAAAATTTACTCTCAAAAACTGACATAGTAGGCCTTGTATTTTGTACAAATATGGCGTTTTTTGCTTCAAAAATACAGTTTATCAAGATCTACACTTTAAAACAAATCCGGTTAAAGTCGCATAATAAATAAAGATTTTACAGGGGTGAGTCGCAAACAAATGGGTCACACTGTATGATACAGTCTGTATATATAATTTTTGTGTTAAATATTTTCAACAAAAATATCAACCATGGTTGAAATAAGTATAAAAAGTATACGTATAAAAATGATTCTTATTTAAGTTTTTATTTTCAAAACGTTTTTAGAAAATAACAAAAATGAAAATAAATTTTTAAACCCTAATAACTCAAAATGGTGCGTAATTTTTGGGAAACTGTTTAATCGAAATTAGATTATTTGAGTATTAATAAAATAATAAATAACAAATATATCTATAATTAAAATTTGTCACCCTTGACGTAATATGTTTATCGCGCAAGTCTGACTCACCCTTTTTTGTTTTTGTTGATAATAGTTATTTATGTATTAAGGGCATAATAAGGTTTTTATGGTCCGAGGCGCTATTTCGAGCCCGAGCGTGTTAGCGCGAGGGCTAGAAAAGCGTCGTAGGACCATAAAAACCAGTTATGCCAGCAATGCATACAAAACTTTATGCACGATTAATATATTATTATTTTTAATATATTATTGTTTTTAAAGACGTTTACGTCAAAGATTTTTGGTTATAATTGTCATATTATAATGTCAACTGACATCAGTCAGTTTTAAAGTTTAAAGATGAATGAAATTGAGGAAGCAGCTGAAAAGGCAAAAAATTGCGGCCTGCTGCCGGAAAAATCAAAATCTTTATACGAAAAAACTTACTTCGAATAAATCAAATGGTGTAACATTGATGTTTTTAATTTTTGACGTTTCATTATAGCCCGCTGGGTCATAATAACGCCCGCGGGCTATAAAAAGACGTTTACGTCAAAGAATTTTTGTTATAATTGTCATATTATAATGTCATCGTGCATAAAAATAATTATAATCCCTACAACGTAATCGACCATTTAGTTGTAATTTGGCTTTGATACGACAAACATGCTCATTTATTACTTTGATCTACATCTATAGATGTATTTGTATACAAATTGCTAGGTGCCTACCTATATACGTATTATTAGAATTCTAACGCATCTATTATCTCAAATATTACTACGATTTTTTTTTATATTTAAAAAAATAAAAACAAAAGTTGCAGCCCTTAAATCGTCTAATTGTATTTTTTTCTAGGTACAACATGTTATAGCATTAACCCATGGATAATAAGAAATAAGACAACCATATAAGGATAATACGATTTAAACAGAACTCATCAAGGAAACCCATGGATAATAAGAAATAAGACAACCATATAAGGATAATACGATTTAACCAGAACTCATCAAGGAATTTGGCAAGTACCTACCAATTAATAATTATTATTTTTAATTTTTTTGACTAAAAGTTTTTATTATCGAAATTTCTTTAAATATCTTTTCGTCGGGTCAAATATTGTTTAAGTTGGAGATGGAACTAATTCAGATCAGTTCTTTTAGTTCGTTTTTGTTAGGGATCGTAGGTCAAAATTTTGTGATTCTTTTTGTCAGGTCAAATCTTGTTTAAGTTGGTTAAGTTGAAAATGAAACTTATTCTTTACTTAAAGATTAGTTCTTTTTTGTGAATGGGTCGTGCTTCAAAATTTATTTTAGATTTTTTTATCAGGTCAAATTGTGTTTATTGGGATATTTTTAAAGATCAGTTCTTTTTTTTTGTCAGGGGTCGTAAATCAAAACTTTTTTAGATTCCTTTTGTTAGGGCAAATCTTGTTTAAGATGGAGATGAAAATAATTCTTTATTCAAAGATAAGTTCTTTTAGTTCGTTTTTGGTAGGGGTTGTTAGTCAAATTTTCATTAGTTTCTTTAAGTTGGATATGGAACTTATTCTTTTTTAAAGATCAGTTTTTTTTGTTAGCGGTCGTAGGTCAAAACTTTTTTAGATTCTTTTTGTTAGGGCAAATCTTGTTTAAGTTGGAGATTCTTTATTTAAAGATAAGTTCTTTTAGTTTATTTTTGTTAGGGGTCGTAAGTCAAATTGTCATTAGTTTTTTTAAGTTGGATATGAAACTTTTTCTTTTTTTAAAGATCAGTTCTTTTTCTTTCTTCTTTGTCGTAAGTCAATACTTTTTTAGATTCTTTTGTAAGGGCAAATCTTGTTTAAGTTGGAGATGGAAATAATTCTTTATTTAAAGATAATTTCTTTTAGTTCGTTTTTGTTTAGGGTGGTAAGTCAAATTGTCATTAGTTTCTTTAAGTTGGATATGAAACTTATTCTTTTTTTAAAGATCAATTCTTTTTCGTTTTTTTTTTTGTTAGCGGTCGTAAGTCAAAACTTTTTTAGATTCTTTTTGTTAGGGCAAATCTTGTTTAAGTTGGAGATGGAACTAATTCTTTATTTAAAGATAAGTTCTTTTAGTTTGTTTTTGTTAGGTTGTAAGTCAAATTGTCATTAGTTTCTTTAAGTTGGATATGGAACTTATTCTTTTTTTAAAGATTAGTTCTTTTTTTTGTTAGGGGTCGTAAATCAAAGCTTTTTTAGATTCTTTTTGTTAGGGCAAATCTTGTTTGGGTTGGAGATGGAACTAATTCTTTATTTAAAGATCCGTTCTTTTAATTCGTTTTTGTTAGGGGTTGTAAGTCAAATTGTCATTAGTTTTTGTAAGTTGGATATGGAACTTATTATTTTTTTAAAGATCAGTTCTTTTTTTTGTTAGGGGTCGTAAATCAAAACTTTTTTAGATTCTTTTTGTTAGGGCAAATCTTGTTTAAGTTGGATATGGACCTAATTCTTTATTTAAAGATAAGTTCTTCTTGTTTGTTTTTCTTAGGGATTGTAAGTCAAATTTTTATTAGATTCTATAAGTTGGATATGAAACTTATTCTTTTTTTAAAAATCAGTTATTTTTCTTTTTTTTGTTAGGGGTAGTAAGTCAAAACTTCTTTAGATTCTTTTTGACAGTTCAAATCTTGTTCCTTGGTGATATGTTACCGAAACAAAAGACAAAGTGCTTAAAGTACTTTTCGCCAACAATGTTGGCATCTTCAGAAGCGAAGTGTAACTAAATCTAAATGCTAAATCTACCAAATTTATACTAATTATTATAGTTTACTAAACCCTGGACCGTCATCGCTTCAGTGAACACGTAAAGAGAAACTAACAAACTCTAGTTGGGTACCGGTCCATTATCGATATTTAAACATTTATTTCTATTCTTATAGATGTATAAACTTTTATAACTATCTAGTAGGCATAAGTTTAAGGTTGCCAAATCCTATTCTATGACCATCATCAAGTATGTGTTGGGCAACACTCGATTTCTCTGTCCTATCATATCTAGCACTTGGCGCATGCTAGATTTGGTAGTACAGAGAAACCGAATGTTGCTCAACATCCGCTCGTTTTCTCTGTGCTACAAAATCTAGCACTTGGCCAATGCTAGATTTGGTAGGACAGAGAAATCGAGTATTGCCCAACATATACTTGATGATGGTCATAGAATAGAATTTGACAACCTTAAACTTGTTAAGGAAGTTAAAAACCAAGTCTGCTAGATAGTTATGAAGGTTTATACGTCTATAAGAATAGAAATAAATCTTTGAATAGCGATAACGAACCGGTACCCTAGTCTAGTTTGTTTAAATTAGTTTGTTTCTCTTTACATGTTCACTGAAGCAATTACGGCCCAGTGTCCGTTGACGGTTCAGTCAACCTTAGCTTATAATTAGTATAAATATGGTAGATTTAGCATTTAGATTTAGTTACACTTCGCTTCTGAAGATGCCAACATCGTTGGCGGAAAGTACTTTAAGCAATTTGTGTTTTGTTTTGGTGTTGGGGAATATTTCTAATATTTGTTTAGGTCAAATTTTGTTTAAGTTGGAGAAGAAACTTATTCTTTATTTAAAGATTAGTTCCTTTACATCGTTTTTGTAGGTAACGTAGGTCAAAACTTTTTTAGATTCTTTTTGTCAGGTCAAATCTTGTTTAAAGTTGGATATGGAACTTATTCTTTATTTAAAGATTAGTTCTTTTACTTCGTTTATGATAGGGGTCGTAAGTCAAATTGTCATTAGTTTTTTTAAGTTAAATATGGAACTTATTCTTTTTTAAAGATCAGTTATTTTTTTTGTTAGGGGTCGTAAATCAAAGCTTTTTTAGATTCTTTGTGTTAGGGCAAATCTTGTTTAAGTTGGAAATGGAACTAATTCTTTATTTAAAGATAAGTTATTTTAGTTTGTTTTTGTTAGGGTCGGAAGTCAAATTGTCATTAGTTTTTTTTTAAGTTAAATATGGAACATATTCTTTTTTAAAGATCAATTCTTTTTTTTTTCTTAGGGGTCGTAAATCAAATTTTTTTTAGATTCTTTTTGTCAGCGCAAATCTTGTTTTAAGTTGGAGATGGAACTAATTCTTTATTTAAAGATAAGTTCTTTTGGTTTGTTTTTGTTAGGGGTCGTAAATCAAATTGTCATTAGTTTTTTTAAGTTGGATATGGAACTTATTCTTTTTTAAAGATCAGTTCTTTTTTTTCTTAGGGGTCGTAAATCAAATTTTTTTAGATTCTTTTTGTCAGCGCAAATCTTGTTTAAGTTGGAGATCGAACTAATTCTTATTTAAAGATAAGTTCTTTTAGTTTGTTTTTGTTAGGGTCGTAAGTCATTAGTTTTTTTAAGTTAAATATGGAACTTATTCTTTTTTAAAGATCAGTTCTTTTTTTTTCTTAGGGGTCGTAAATCAAAATTTTTTTAGATTTTTTTTTGTCAGCGCAAATCTTGTTTAAGTTGGAGATGGAACTAATTCTTTATTTAAAGATAACTTATTTTAGTTTGTTTTTGTAAGGGTCGTAAGTCAAATTGTCATTAGTTTTTTTTAGTTGGATATGAAAATTATTCTTGTTTTAAAGATTAGTTGTTATACTTTGTTTTTGTAGGGATTGTAGATCAAAATTTTGTTTAGATTCTTTTTGTTAGGGCAAATATGGAACTAATTCTTTATTTAAAGATCAGTTCTTTTAGTTCGTTTTTGTTAGGGGTCTTAAGTAATATTATAATTAGATTCTTTAAGTTGGATATGGAACTTATTCTTTTTTAAAAGATTTGTTCTTTTAGTTCGTTTTTGTTAGGGGTCCTAAGTCAAATTTTTAGTAGATTCTTTAAGTTGGATATGGAACTTATTCTTTTTTTAAAGATCTTTACTTCGTTTTTGTAGGGATCATAGGTCAAAATTTTGTTTAAATTCTTTTCGTCAGGTCGAATTTCAAGTTGGAGATGAAACTAATTCTTTATTTGTTCGTTTTTGGGTAGGACACATATTTTTTAAATTCTTTTCGTCGTTTTAGTCTGTTTTAGATAGTGATTATCCTATGGAACCAGGCGCCCAGGAGTTTCCTATAAAACCATCCTTTTTATTCCTTCCATTTAGACCCATTTTAGTTCAATTTCACAATCTTCAGATTGTTGAATTAAATTAAAATGGTAGATGGATCTTGAAAGTACTTTCTGGATTTTGTCTCGGAACATCGGTAATCCGTGCTAACCCGTTTTTAACGTGGAGCATGTTGTTGCGCACCGGCGCTAATCTATTTGTAACTTAATTATCTGTCGTTTTCCTTTTCTACCCTTCCTATTACCCTAATTCCTTCATTTGGACCTGACATGGACATCTTGGACTTCTTGGAACTTCAGGGTGCAAGTGAATCTCATATGCGAGTATGTATACGACCAGTAAATTTGTTTTTTGCGTGTTTTTGTTTATTTAAATACTTTATCTGTTTTAGGAAATTTTAGGTACATAATATGATAAGGAGGGTGGAGGGTAACTCCGCCAGGTATTTTTAACCTGCCGGTCCCAAGCCCGGATAAAGGAGGAGGGCCCTCACTCTTTTCTATTTTTTTTAGATTGTTTTCGTCGGGTCAAATCTTGTTTAGGACCTAAACTTTAGGTTGTAGATGAAACTTAGGTGGTTTTGTCAGGTTGGAACTTTTTCTTTTTTAAAGATCAGTTATTTTATTTCCTTTTAGTATAGACTTCCCATTTAGCACCTTGTTTAGGTAGGAAATTGAACGTTTTCATATTTTAAAGATCAGTTCTTTTGGTACGAACTTAATACTATAAAGTACATAAGTCAAATCTCTTTTAGGCAGGGTTCCCAGACAGCAATATGACGTCTTAATTAAGTCTGCATAAGCTCTATTTTATAATTTGGACGCCAAATACAACATCAGAAAGAAGTTTTTAAGAAGTTCTTAAGACTTCGAATGCGCCATCTATTGAACTAATCAAGACTTCTCAAAAAAGAACTCTTGAGGAACCCTTTTCTTTGACTTCGCACTTAAGCATTTTAAAGAGTCCTACTGTATAAACTTATAAAAAGACTTCTTTGGAATTTCCCGTTTTGGTACTAGTAACTAGGGTACTGATGAAAAAATTACATACTGGATCGTTGCTTATTTTGACATGTCAAGTTTATTTTATTAATTTTATTAATTTGTTAAATTGATTTTATTAAAATCATTTTAATAATTTGCTCGTATTCGTAGTAGTAGTGCACGGATCCTTGAAAAAAAAACCAGATCCGGATGTACCTATCCGTATGCACTGTAAATATTTTGAAAATATTTCCGGATATTTTTGTGATGTTGGGAAAACATTAATAAAATATAAGGTAATGTATCAAAAACATTTACAAAAATGTTTTAAAAATGTTGTAAAAAATATTGTATAAATATAAAAAGTGGGAGATCTAAATGTTGTAAAAACATTTTAGTTCATTTAGCAAAAATATTCATTCAATATTTTAAATATATTTTTGTTCTATGTTATCTCTTTGGTCAATTTAAATAATTAAACATTTAAAAACTAAATTCTACTTACCATTTTTAACATGCAGCAAGGATCTACCGATATTAACACCCCAACTGTTGTTATTCACCATGTCGTCCTTGTTCAAAAATTTGTCCAAATCGTCGTATCGGCCCAAACGCCATAAAGGTTCGGCCTGCATTTCCAGCAGCATATTACCGAACTCCGGCTGCAAATTTACGGCGCCCTGGGCGAAATTCAGGGCCGTATTGACGTTGTCCAAGTCGAGGTAACATTGAACGAGACCCTAAAGATTAATTGTGGAGCAATCAGACAAAAGCAGACAAATCCAGTTTTGTTAAAAAATGAGTATGAAATAACAGTAAATGAGGTAAGGTTAATCCATTGGGGAATTGAGCCAAACCAAGTAATTGATATAGAATACCGGTCTCGAAACCTAGCAAATCCAGCAAAAGCGGATAAATCCAAATTAATACAATTTAAAGTCTTGTTTCAATAAAAATAAAAAAAATCACATTATTGTTATTTTAAATTAACATTTTTCAGATTATTCCTGGTCCACCCTGTATAGGTCAATGGATAAAACGGTTTTTTTATTCCTATTTCAAGCAAATGATAAATCCTGTCAATTCAAGCAACACTAGATAAATCCATTTTGGTTTTTTACTATAACACATGATGCAGGACAAAAATAAAAAAATGAATTTTAAGGTCTTATAACACTATACTCTATAGAATTCATGGGTTGTTCTTTGTGAAAATGTTGCAGAACGAAAAATATTTGTTTTTCGCTGATAACTCGAAACTGCTTAAAACGGATTTATCTGCTTTTGTCTGATTACTCCACAATTGTGGATGTCGATGTGAGACCAACGCGAAGTTTTGAGTATTGTTACCTGCAAATGGTGCAATTTTAAGGGGGGAGTCATTCTTTCGTAGCACGCAGCTGCGTCGGCCAATTTTCCCGCAACCTCCAACGATAAAATTCTTTCCTCTACCGAAGGTTCTTTTTGTTGCAAGGCTGTTACGCCAGCCACGCCATCCGGTTCATCTAACTGAGCATAGATCTGCAAATTTGTACTTTTAGCAAAAAATGTTCAGTTTAATTTTGAGACATTAGATATTCTCCCATATCTTCCCAAAAATGTAAAAAACAACAGTGATTTTTTTGTTTACCTCTGCAAGGAAACTTAAGTGATTGTCTTTTTCTTTCGGGTTTTTTGTTATGTAGTCTTCTAGGTACATTAGGGCTCTCGGGTATTCTGCGCAGTGGTAGTTGCATTTTGCAAGGTGTAAGTTGCAGAAACGATTTTGAAAGTTCTACAAATAAGGAAAAATATTACAGAAATAAATATTTATAGGTGTTATTATTTTTATATTTTATACTATTTTTGTAGCATTTTTTACAATTATGTACAATTTTCTTTTAGAATTTTTTACAATATATTCACTTACATTAATAATAATAATAATAATAATATTTATTGGGCAAAAAGAAATACAAAGAATTCTTTTACACAAAAGGTCAGGGTTCGCATATGCGATCTTCCACCCTGCCTGATATAAGTATAAATACACATGCCAGAAAATTAACAATTCCAATAGAAAAAATAAAAATAAAAAGAAAATCAAACATTCTGTAATAAATTTTTTAGTGTTTTCTTAAAATTAATTTCAGATAATGATAATATATTAAGTGTCATATTAAGTAGCAAGGGGGCATTATATTGAAAGGATGATTTAAATTTGGTGTATAGATGACCTCAATATCAATATGTCAAATAAATAGGAGGGAATTTTATTTTTTATCAATTTAAAAAGAAAAACGCAATACAAAAAGGTAACTAGTGACAATCCATATCAAATCAACCAATTTAATGTATAAAAAAGCTTGCTGACAAAATGTATTTATTTTTTTAATGTTTGTACTATACTCAGAGAGTTAAAAACCGGTATTCAGTTTTTGTTTGTCATTTTGTATTGTTGCGTCAACCTATTTTGCATTTTAAAGACTTAGTTGCGTAGTTTTTAAATATTTTTAGTTCAATAAAAAACACGTTAAAGAGCATAAAATATACAATATTTTCTATCCAGATAATTTTTTATAAAAAATAGATAAATTTTCTAAATAACAACTTCCTCTTTTACAATAAAAAATGTTTTTTCTGGATATAGTCTTTATAGTATAAAACTTTAGTAAAAAGTCTTAAAATATTGCAATTTATCTAAAGTAAGGTATTTTCAATTTGAAATATTTCATATTTAGAAAATATTCTTTTATTGTGTAGTAAAAAGTTTATCGGTTTTTTAGTTGGACACGCTTATACTACGGGAAAATTGAGAAATTGTCAGAAAAATTGACTACTGCATTTTTTTCATTTTATTTAAAGGGTAATATGAAAAAAATGCAAAAGTCAATTTTTCTGAAAATATTTAAATTTTTACGTATAATATCCGTACACTGATATCGAGAAAACTTTTATTAAAATGTTTTGTATTTTCCAAAAAAAAACAATTTTTCCGACAAAAAGGTAATTTTTCCAAGGTCTGGGGAAAAACCTTTTCTCCTCAATTTTTCCGTTTTTTTTACTTTAAAACCCTTATAAAAAACTGAACATCTAAAAAATTGACGATGTATCGCGATGGTACTAGGAATGGCAAGAATGTTTCTTTTTTATAAAAAAAAAATCCAAATATAAAAGTTGTAGATCCAAAAACAACAATAAAAAATATAAAAAGTGTTACCGTAAACACGGGTGGCTTTAGCTCACTTTCAAACTTAATCTTATCATTTTTGTAGTTTTAACAATCATAAACATTAAATATTGTATACCAAAATTTGAGATTTGAGTTGCTCTTTCATAATAACTATGTTATAATCTTACATAGGGCTAAGTTTCAAAAATAAAAATTAAAAACTGGGTGTGCAAAGTTACCCCTTGGTTGCAGGTTACTTTGTCTCACAGTGTATTTTCCGTATAAAATTAACTCAATATTTTATTTTATTTTTATTAGACATATGTTAGCAGCGACATATAGCAATTGCAAGGGATTACCGATAAAAACAATAAAAAATCGACCTGTAGTTAACCAAGGATCATCATTCCAAAGAATTGCGCATAATATAGAAATGGAAACGCGTGTATTTTTAGTTTTGCACTAATGCAATATATAAAACTTTAAAGTGTAATAAATCCCATTTATTTTTTTAAAACACTGATTTTTCTGTAATATAAAATCAATAGAATCGCTTAATTGACAGGTTTAGACCAACAAGTTATAAATGTTAATTTTATCGAGCGCGAAAAAATTTTTCTTAAAAGGACTAAAGTCACCTGCGGTGAGCAAAGTCACCCGTGTTTACGGTATATCAAAATATATATATAAAAAAGAGAATGTTTTGCTATAACTATTACATTAAAAATTTAAAGCTCTACATTTTTTGTTTTAACTCTTTTTTTGTCCGAAAAATAGGAAACGAAATAAAATAAAAGTTAAAAAACAGGGGGAAAGCGGTGGAACACGGAAATTTTACATTTTACACTTTAGACCACCAGAAATGTCAAAAATACAGAATCTTTTCGATGTACCCTCTGATTTTTTGTCAGATCTAAAATTCTTGATAAGCTCAATAGAAAAATAAATAAAACGAAAATAGGAAAAAACATTTAAAAATTTAGCAAAGCAAGTCTTAGAAAAGTATAAATAAAAAAAGCAATTTAAAAAGAATCAAAGAGTTTACAACAAAAATTAAATTTATTAAATATTTAATTTTATAATGTACTCTTTTTGGTACTCTCTTACCTTAAGTGCCTGATAATTCTCATTACTGTTCCCAGACTGACCCTTGAGCCACATCCACTCTCTTAACCAACGGTCAAGAAAATCCAACAGCAGAAACACAACTTTGGTGCATTCCAATTGCTTCACTTCTTCGGGAGTTATAACCTGAGGAATAACCTCCATACCTGGTATAGGCAAAGGCCTCGCCTAAAAAAATTAAATATATTATATTATTAACTGAGAAATTGGATATTTTCTTACATTAAGAATGCGATGGTTCAGTTCTTTCTTGATTTTGAAGGCATTTGTAACAGCCTGAAATTCCACAACGCATTTTTCTTGTATATCGTTTGAGCCTTCCAATAATGAATGCAGTAAAATGTATGGTAAAAAATGTATTAATATTCTATGGTCCTGTTTCATACTTGGCGAGCATGCCAAAAGAAGCGTTTTTATTTCGTTTGGAAGGCTTAATATTAAACTATATGTCCAACTGTAAAGGAAAATCAAAAGTTATATTTTAATTTTGATTCATTCTGTCTTTGATACATGTATAATATACATTGTATATATTGGAAAATTTTCAGAAAAATTGACTTTTGCATTTTTTTCATTTTATTCAGGGGACAAATCACAAAACTTTTCTTAAAAAAAATTGTAAAGTATTTTTTTTATAATATTGTGGTATCAAAATTGTATTCTTCTTTTATTAGGCTATACATTAAATTAAAAAACGCAAGAAATATTTTATAAAAGTAGAGATAATTTTAATAATTTGATGCCAAAATATTATATAATAAATTATCTAATTATCTACAATTTTTTTTTATAAAAACAGTTATGTAATTCGTGCGTTTCGCGCGCATGAAATGGGCAAAAGGGTAATACAAAAAAAATGTCAATTTTTCTGAAAATTTTAAAATATCTGTACACTGATATCAAGACAAAATTGAATTTTTGACTGATTATAATCATATAATAGAAATGTACATAATATATTATAATTATTATATTATTATTATATTATGATTAAAATAATTATTCTTATTATTATAATTGTAAGAATATTCCAGTGGGTAGCAAAAAAAAAATTGGTGCTGTATTAACATAACTATCGTTTTATTTGACACATAAATTTATATAATTATAATTTTGTAATTTAACTCTATAAATCATTCATTTTTTGTAAATGGATATTTTCAATGGACACTCTTTTGCAAAAAGAACCCAACCGACAGTATAATTAACGTTTACGTTTATTTTCTTAAATCAATTCAATTCAATGTTAAGTTTTATTTGTTTTTTTCTTTAATAAATTTATTATCCTTAAGTATTTTTTAAATTAAAATAATGTTAAGTTGTTGATTGCTTTGTATATTTTTAGAAAAAAATCAATACTTTCAAGGTCTGGGAAAAAAACGGAAAAAACAGTTTTCCCCAATTTTTAACTTAAAAATCCTAGTCGTTTGGAGGAACATTTATTTTGTATTACTCCCCAAGCAAAATACTGATGTCATATTGAAAAAAAAATGCCCTTAAAGTTTGAGCCCTTAATCTTACTTCTAAGCATCTATAGTAAATTGAAATAAAACTCCTTAATTTCCTGTTATTTCAATGGAAATCAAAATAAAAGTACTTAGGAGTAAGATTAAGGGCTGAAACTATAAGGGAATTTTTTTCTTGATATGTACATCAATATTTTCTTGGGGAATGACAAAAAATAAATGTTCCTTCAAAAAGAATCACCTTAATGTACATACTTGTTTAGCCAAGAATCAAACGACATCCCAACATTGGAACCATAAATGGGATACGTAAAATTCGGGTCCTCAGAGGGCGCCATCATGTATCTAGAAGACAATAAGGGTAACATCAACTCTTGCTGCGACTCGGGGAATTGTCTCCACAGTCTGGATTTTGCACTGTTTTCCTCTGGTGAAATTTCGTACGACTTTAAAATTTCCTGAATTGCCAGGGCAAACCTATCCATACTCTAAAAAGTAAATGTCCAGGAAAAACTAAACCTACCTATATCTAGGGTTGGGAAAATTTCATTTTTGCTTGTACTTGAAATTTCACGACATTATGAAATTTATTAAAATTTCCTATGTCTAAAATTTCATGAAATTTATTGAAACTTTCAATCACTTTAAGTGTAATATATTAATATTGAAATAAGCCCACTCGCCCCTCTGTGGGCCCCTGCACCAATAATATAAATAGTAAATACCTATGTTTACCACAAATTTCTTGAGATTTCCTTTTAAAATATTTTTAAAATTACTAAAACTAAGAGAGATATAGCACTTTTTGGTAAGCTAATGGGATTGTGCCACTTTCATTGTTTTATATTTATATATATTTATTATTTTTATATATTTTGCTAAAATTTTACAAAAATTGAAGAAACCTTATCAAAATTTTATGAGCCAAGGGCATTTTTTATCAGTTTTCTGATACAATTATAGCAAAAGTAAAAGCTTAAATTAATGACTTTTAAAAAAATGTCAAAGTCTGATTTAATTTACAAATTAAATTGGTAACTGAATTAAATTATTTAAATTAATTTATGCATATAAGTAACAATAATTACTTATAGTGTATTCAAATCCAAGCCGAACTAAACAAAAACGCCCAGACGCTTGATAACTCGTTCTTATTGGCCGATTCGGAATCTGTTGTAAATTATTATTAAAGGTCCCAGGGGAGGCCGCATGTGAAATTTATGCGAAATTTTCAGTAAATTACGAAACTTTCAATGAAATTCCTGAAAGTTTCACAGGCAATGTTGAAATTTTCGAATTGAAAATTTCATTTAAAATTTTTAAAAATTTTACTTTTCCAACTAAATGAAATATTTTAAGTTTGAAAACTGTCCCAACCCTACCTATATCATACTGACCTGTGTATTTTTTTCAGCTTGGAATGCTTTAGTGAGCTCATTTAACGTGTTGACAATAAAACTGTCTTCATGTATGAAAAAACTAAACGACTTGCTGTCCTGAGCATATCTAAAAAACGCAGAAAGTGTCATAGAATGGAGTCCTATACGCTAAAGTATCGGGTTTTCGCAACGCGCGCGCCACCTGATGGACCTCAAAAGCTTTGCCTTATTAAGAATTGTCAACAATACATTTAAAGCACAGATTATACATAATTTTTAAATAAATAGGTAGTTTTTTCACAAAAGAGAGGAAGGCAGAAGTCTTACTCGACAAATTTTGTTCAATTGCACAGCTAAATCGTGCACGTTATTTGTGTTCGTTGCAAGGAAAAAATAAAAAAAATTTTTAGTACTCGATTTTGATTGATTATTCCTTATATCATTGATTAAGAAACTCAACGCTTAAATGCTTACATAGTTACGTTAGTGTGTGTATTTTATCTATCATGGTGAATTATTGTGTTTTTAATTGTAAATAAAATTCAAGAACTAAATCGTTGCATTTTCATGTTTTGCCAAAGGGTCCAATTCGGTAAGTACATTTGTTGGTGCAGAATTAACTAATGATAACTTTACCTAATATAATTTATATTTAAGTTTGGACATTTTTAAGAAATTATTAAAAAATAATTTTTACATATATATAACCTTAAAATCAACCATTTTTATATTTGAGTTCTCGGCCATTTCAAGCGGATGGACGGGACAAATCACAAAACTGTTTTTATAAAAAAAATTGTAGGTAATTTATTATATATTATTTTTGCATCACAATTGTCAAATATATTCTTCTATTATTAGGCTATACATTAAATAAAAAAAATCGCAAGAAATATTTTATAAAAGTAGATATAATTTCAATAATTGACAGGGGTGGACGGGACAAGATAAATCTTTTTTTGTCCCAACCACACCTTTCAATTATTAAAATTATATCTACTTTCACAAAATATTTCTTGCGTTTTTTTTAATTTAATGTATAACCTAATAAAAGAAGAATATTTTTGACAATTCCCATATTTTTTTACATTTTCCGGCTTTATTCTTAAAAACACTCGTTTGTAACTTAAGCGTCTGACAGCTGATTATTACGTCAAGTTTTACTTTTGTTACGATAGCCGAGTGGTGGCGCTACTAGCGATACTTCTTTAGCGTATAAGCACAACATGTTTACCTTCTGGGCAGATGACTTGGCTCTACAGCCCCCAACTCAGCTATAACGTTCCCGCACGCCAACTTAAGCGAGCTATCCTTCTCCCTGCAAGCCAACATCAAAATATCTATCAGATCCACTATAACCTGGTCTATGCCGTTATAGCCCAGTATCATTTGGTCTAGCTCCTCTCTGTTTTGCTCCATTAACACCTTTAGATGCTTCAAAGCTTGGATTCTGACTTCGTTGGTTTCGTGCTTGAGGTATTTCAAAAATCGTTTGATTTTTTCTTTGAGATTCAGCTGTTCCAGACATTTCAGGTGCTTTTTTATTTGGCTTAATATCGGCTTATCTACGTTGGCGTTGTTGACGAAGAACAGGTCTGGTATGTAATCCCTGGTGTAGACCTCATTGTCTACGATTAGGTATTTGAAGATTTCGTTGACCTTTTTCGGGCACGATTCAACCAAAGGTAAAATGGAAACGAAAATGGTCGCCAACTGAGGCCCCAGAGATTCTATATCGCAACTGCTGATGAAGGCGTCCCAAACCTCGCAGTTCAGTTTGGGCGAACTACTGTACTTTCCACTCTGCAGCATGGCAATGATCTTGAACTTTAGAGGTGTTATGTGTTTGGAACCCATGAACTTAAAAAGTTCCGCCAGGCTGAGGAGTACGTTGTCCTTTTTCGATAGCAATTTCACATCGAAATACTGCAGAACGCCTAGGAATAGCGATTGGAGATAGTCGGGTATGTTTTTCGATGTGTTCTCATTGTCCTCCATCGATAGTAGACGTAGTGCTAGCAGAACGCGTTCCCGTTTTTCGTGGAAATTCATCAGGAGCTCGTTTAAAATGACCTATAATTAAACAGTATTTGCTCGTTTTTAAATAGACACCATATACAGGGTATCCCAAAAGTCAACGAGGACTGATAGACCAACTCATGACTAAGCAAAAAATCAAAATATAACCTTAGTAAAAAATCGTTAGTTTTTATAAATTTTCTTGACACCTTAGATCAGTTTTTCAAGTGCCACAGCTACAAAATCTACTATTAATTTAATTTTGAATTGAATTAATGGCAGTCCCATTCAGTAGGGATGCACCGGAGTTACTGCCCACCTACTGCCTTCGGCCGATCCGGCCTATGCGGCAGCATATCCGGCTCCGGCCAAATTTTTAAACTGATCCGGCAACAACGGCCGGATTGTGGCCGGATTTTTTAAATTAAAAATAAAATATTTTTTCATATGTTTATTATAAAAAATATATATACAACAAACAATTTTTTTAGAAATAATTTAAAAATAGATTAAGGATTAAACTACATGATTTAAGTGAACATAAGATAACGAAGTCCTTAAGTTATAGTTCAAAAATTCGAGTTGTTCACCTTTCTCGGGAAGAAATCGGCTATGCGCAGTTAACAGGTGATCGTATCTATGCGCACTAACTAACAGACGCCGTACGTATGCGCAGTGGTTTTCAGATGGTTGTATTATACCTATTTTAATTATTGTACCTATGTTTTTTAATTGTTATAACTTTTAGATTAGGTATATTAATAAATAAAATTTATTTATTTTTATGTTACCTATTTATTATTTTTTAAACGTTTTATAAAGATATACTTTTTAATATAATATTGCAATATTGCAATATTGCAATATTAACCATGGTTTTAAAAACTTTTATTTATTGATAAATAGGTATATATGATTTTGTTTTTTCCCCTAAAACAGCTATTTAACGAACTCATTTGAGTCCGTAAAATAATTCTTTTTTTGTACTAGTACGAAAAAGTTGCTATGGAAACTTTTGCAAATGGTTCTTAAACCATTGCAATACAACAATTAAAAATAAAATTCGATAACTGTCACTGACAGTGACTCACTGTCACTGTCAATAACCTTAATTTCGAGAAATAGGCATTTACTCTATTTAAAAATTTGAATATATGGACCTAGAACAAAAAAATGTTGTTTGCAACATATGTACCTAAAAATCATGTTTTTTAGGACGAATCGTAGCTGTTTGCGGTCGAGGCGAAGCCAAAACCAGAACAGCCGATGTTACAAAAATAGCTATAATAATACGTATACGTATTTAATACGTACTCTCTAAAAGTGAAACAGTGAAATTTTCACTATTTCCGTCAGTGAGTTATTATTCACTGTAAAATTAGTGTTTTTTATTATCACTACTTTTCCGGAACTCTCGACATAAAATAGTGAAATATTAACTTTTTTGAACTAAACCTATTTCACTAATTTGTACAGTGTAATTTCCACTAAATAAATTAGTGCAAAGAAATCGCTACATGAAAAAGTGAGTATTCACTAATTGCTAGTGGTATACATACTTATCACTGCGGCAAATAGTTAATATGAACTGTCAATCAGTGAAAATCCACTGTTTCATTTTTAGAGAGTAAATATATATCTATAATTTTATTACTTTTTAACTTATATAATATGTATGTATATATATATATATACATATTATATCAGTTTTAACGCGCCAAAATAACAAGTAGGTACATGACAAAAACCTGGTGTAAATTTACACAAGACAATGCGCCACCTAATAATGATTACTTATAAGGTGGGCAGGTACCTAAAATATAAACACTTGTATTTAATTGTAATACGACTAGAATGCATGCGTTAAATGCAAGGTCTGTCAATTTTTCTCCTTGTTTTAAAAGACAAATGTTAATTTACTTGTATTGTTGGTTGCCTGTTCGGGAACAGGATCCCCACATACCACATCAACACGTAATTAGTAACTAATTGCAAGATTTGCATAATACTGAAACAGAAACTGCACCTGCCTGTGAAAAAACACTCTAAGATCCGGCCGACTCCGGCGAAATCCGCCAAAATCCGGCCGGAGTTAATCCGGCCGATTGCGCCGGATTACTGCATCCGGTAATCCGGCCAAAATCAAATCCGGTGCATCCCTACCATTCAGGGTTATGCAAAATAAAATATAATCTAAGAATATAGAATGTTGTAGTTTTGGCACTCGAAAAACTGATTTTATGTGTCAAGTTTCACAAAATTCATAAAAATGCCAATATCTTAAAAACTAATGATTTTTTACTAAGGTCATGTTTTGATATTCTGATTAGTCCTGAGCTGACCTATTAGTCCTTCAAAGTATATCGTTGACTTTTGGGACACACTCTTTAGTAAAAAGTTAAAACAATAAATAATTAAAAAAGACAAAAAAGTAAAAAAATAAGTAGCAAAAACACAAAAAAGTCAAAAGTGCAAAAATGCAAAAAAGTAAACAAAGGTTGAAAAAATAAAGATATTTAGAATAAAAAATCAAAAAAATTAACAAAGAAAACAAAGGATTTTAAAATTTTTAAAAATTACGAATAAAATTGTTGCATAAATTTATCCAAATTAGAAGAAAACTAGCTAAAAAAGGCAAAGAAAACGTAAAAAATTGTTATAGAAGTATTTTTCTCCAAATTACAAGAAAACTAGCCAAAAGTTTAAAAAAGTAAACTAAAATAAAAAAAGTTAAGGAAAAAGTCGAAAGCTTAACAAAACAAAAAGAGTTCAAAGAGGTTTAAAAAAGTTAAAAAAATTCCAAGAAAATCATAAAGTAAAAAATAAAAGTAAAAAATAAATCAAGTGATTTTAGAATTATGAACAAAAATTTTTGTATTTTGTACTCATGAGTAGAAGACTTCTTCTACTTAGTATCTTTTTTCAAATTACAAGAAAACTAGCTGAAAAAAGGCAAAGAAAAAAGCTTTCGACTTTTTCTTTGCCTTTTTTCAGCTAGTTTTGTTGTAATTTGAAAAAGGTAAGTCAAACAATATAAACAAAGTTTAAAGAAGTTTAAAAAAATTCTGTTCACTTTTTTTTCTTTAGGTGTAAATTGTAACTTTGGTACATGTCAATAAATTGACAGATGTTGACGCAATATTTGGGATATATTTTTCCTGAATTTATATTTGCATAAACTATTATGCAACATTCCAAATTTTTTTGACATTTTAAATTGTTTTTAATAATTTAAAATGTGGTTGAAAATTCTTAAGCATGACATTCTTCTTTTATTATTTTTTATTATATTTTTTTTATTTACATGATTTTTTTCTTCTAAATAAAAAAAGTAATAAGATTTTGACATTCTTATTAATTTTTTTTATTTAGAAGAAAAAAATCATTAAATAAAAAAATATTAAGAATATCAATATTTTCTTAAGAATGTCATGGTTAAGAATTTTCAACCACATGTTAAAATATTAAAAACAATTTAAAATCTCAAAAAAATTGTAGAATGTTGCTTAACTTTTATTGCGTAATAATTTATGCAAATCTAAATTATATACAGTGTGTCCCCGGATAGGTAAAACCGAGGGGTAAACCACTTTAAAATCTTAGAGGCAACCGTTCAATGTTAGTGGACGTTGTGTTGAGATTTTTTTTCTTATCAGTCGATATCAATAAGGAAAACTTGCTTAATCTCTTGGGATGAAATAAACGATTTGATTTGAAGACGTCATTTTGTCGCACGCGGACAATTTTAAACGAGCGACGAAGGAGCCAATTTTGTAATGGACGAGTGCGGCAAAAGGTCTTATGAGATGAGTTATTTATGCTATTTTATCTATATTACAAAAGATCTATAAAAAAATAAATTTTATACCTTTGGTAATTTAGTCGAATTTTACTTCAGATAGTTGGTAACACATTGGTTCGACAGTTAATGTCAAAATCGATTCGGCATTCGTCTTTAATTTACTTATTTACAATAAGCGGCTGTTAATGTTAAAGAAGAAAAAAAGGATTTTCTTTGGTGTTAAACTAAATTTATTGCCAAAAAACTCTCGAAAATACTAGGATAATCATAAAAATATAACCAATATGCAAAATATTATGCTGTTTAAAGTGTAGCCAACCTATAAAATCAAAATTTTGGGTGAGATAATAGTATATTAAAGAACTAATGTCATAAGACGTCATTTTGTCGCACGCGGACAATTTATAAAACGAGCGACGAAGGAGCGAGTTTTATAATGGACAAGTGCGACAAAAGGTCTTATGACATGAGTTCTTTATGCTATTTTATCTATTTTGCAAACATTTTATAAAACAAATTAATTTTATACCTTATATTTAATTTGGTGGAATTTTACTTTACATAGTTGGTATCACAGTTTGAAGTTTGAAAGGTCATTAACCTTTCAAACATTATCACATTCTTTCGCTATGGCGTCGTTAATTTACAATAAGTATTTACAATAAGCGGCTGTTAAAGAAGAAAAAAGGATTTTTTTTGGTGTTAAACAAAATTTATTGCACGAAAAGTCTCGTAAGTACTAGAAAACAAATCATAAAAATATTATAACCTATAGGTATTCAAAATTGTATTTTACCAGTAGCCAACCTATAAAATCAAAATTTTGGGTGGAATAAAGTACCTCATTAAAGAACCAAAAGCGGTGTTATAATGAAGTCATTATGAAACCAAAATAGATAAAGTATCTTATTACAGCACCAAGCGGTGTTATAAGTAATGATGTCATTATGAACGCAAAATAGATAAAATAGTTTTTTTAATATTTCCAAGATCAATTGAAATTAAGTTGAAAATTAATCGAAAAGGAAAATTGAATGCATTTTTTTCTCACCCTGAAATTCCTTTTCCTCAACGCCGGCCCGGTAGATCCTGTGGTCCGCTCCAAGTAACTCGAAATCTCCTCGAAATGATCGCGATCGTTCAAAAAAACGTGCAAAAAAATGTTGCCGTATTTGCTGGCCAGCAACTCAGCCACATCCATGTCGACCATCTCGGCGTACTCCTCGATCAACCTGGCAACCTTGGGAAACTCGACGACCTTGGCGACGACGAACGGCAACATGTAGCCCAGGCTTTGCGACACGAAGTCCTTCGGCCCGCAGAAGCCGAACATCACCGAGCACTTGCCCAGCGACGACGACAGACTGGAGTTTATTAAGGCCTGGTTCACACAGCACAGGTGGGCTACGACTTCGCAGAACTCCCTTTTGTTTTGGGAGAATATGGTTTTAGTTGTCTCCCCGCGCTTTTCCGCTATTTTGAAGCATTTGTTTATCGCTATGAGGGATAATCTTGACGTAGGCACTATTATAAAATACAGTAGGATTTTTAATGATTCTATTTGGACATAGTGGGTTTTAATATTAGATATTTCGTCTATGGTGTCCAATAGGGTTTCTTGCAAGTCCAAGTCCGAAAATTGTAAAGATTTCTTACTAAATTTCAGTATAACACTAAATATTATCTCCAATGTTTCTTTTTTGATGTCATCCGATAGAACAGTATTATCCTTAAATAATAATAATAATAATAATTTATTGGTCAGCTATACAATTTTTTTTTTAATTTATAAAATAAATAAAGAAATTCAAAGTAAGTACATACAAAAAGTTGTATAAATAAACAAACAAAGACATCACTGTTTAAAAACAAAAAGGCTTTTAAAAAGTAGAGCCAAGATATTCCTCAGTTCAATAAAAACATTTTTCTAATAAAATGTTTTTTATTGTTGATTTAAAGCGTTTGGATGTTACTTCCTTTATTTTGTTAGGTAAGTGATTATATAAATTGACATTTAAGGTGTTTTTAATAGTTTTTATCTCCACGCGGTGTTATGGCCTAGGCCGATAAAAAAAATGTCCACTCCTATTACGGAATTTGACCGTTCTAATATTACTTTTGTCTATGGAATTACATATATTCCGTAAAGTGCTACAGAATGAAATATTCTATCATCTGATTACAGAATAAACACTCGTGGCGACATCTCTGTTTTTAATATCTAACAAATTTTAGACCGATCCAACCTCACTTTCTTCCAATTAAATTATTTTTCTATGGTACTTTTTGGAAACGTAGAAAAAGTATAGTCTGAAAACGTTTGGAATTGCATATTCCGCTCTCGTGAAACCGTCAAACTCGCCTTCGGCTCGTGTGACAAACTCTTCACTCGAGCGGAATATGCTGTATTCCAAACTTGTTACAGAATATACTATTTTCTACTCCTATTATGGAATATGACCGTTCTAATATCACTTTTATCTATGGAATGACATTTATTCCGTAAAGTTTTACAGAATGAAATATCATAGACAAGGGATTGGTTGGGTGGGCGGGGGGTTAGTGAAATATTCTATCATCTGATTACAGAATATACACTCGTGGCGACATCTCTGTTTTTAATATCTAACAAATTTGAGACCGATCCAACCTCACTTTCTTCCAATTAAATTATTTGTCTATGGTATTTTTGGAAACGTAGAAAAAGTATAGTCTGAAACACGTTTGGAATTGCATATTCCCCTCTCGTGAAATCGTCAAACTCGCCTTCGGCTCGTGTGACAAACTCTTCACTCGAGCGGAATATGCTGTATTCCAAACTTGTTACAGAATATACTATTTTCTACTCCTATTATGGAATATGACCGTTCTAATATCACTTTTATCTATGGAATGACATTTATTCCGTAAAGTTTTACAGAATGAAATATCATAGACAAGGGATTGGTTGGGTGGGCGGGGGGTTAGTGAAATATTCTATCATCTGATTACAGAATATACACTCGTGGCGACATCTCTGTTTTTAATATCTAACAAATTTGAGACCGATCCAACCTCACTTTCTTCCAATTAAATTATTTGTCTATGGTATTTTTGGAAACGTAGAAAAAGTATAGTCTGAAACACGTTTGGAATTGCATATTCCCCTCTCGTGAAATCGTCAAACTCGCCTTCGGCTCGTGTGACAAACTTTTCACTCGAGCGGAATATGCCGTATTCCAAACTTGTTACAGAATATACTATTATGAGGCAAGTGATTAGTTCGATTTTTTTCTCGCTAGGGGTATTGTTTTGACAAATTAATCCTTTTCTAAGAAATTAACGTACTAAACTGGTTTAATTTATTTATAATAAGCACAAATTTGTTTGTTTTACTGTTAATGTTTAATATTTTTCATTAAATTATTGTAAAATTAAATATGAATAATAAAACAAAAAGTGAGGTTAGGCAACCAAGAAAACGCACGATTCTGTTTCTACGATTTAAATTATCTTTAAGTTTTTATTTGCTTTTTTTTTAAGTTTTCAGTGAAATTAAATGTTAAACACAGCTTAAACATTCCAAACTAACTATTTTTTAAATAAAAATCCAAACAAATTGAAATTAGAAACCTACCTATTTATTAAACAATTAATTGAATTCAATGTAATAGCAAAAATCCATTACTACTTAAATCATGTTGCTAGGTATTGTCAAACTATTACTGCTTCTAAAAGCAATAATAATTATTGTACATTTAATGTAATCTTTAGCTAATAAATAAATGAGATTCTAAAAAAGTGAGGTTAGGCCGCTTTGATGTTGAATTAAATTGACCTATATAAAGTGCTTTGAAGATAAAATGTTGTATGCCATTCGGCCAAGAAGTGCCTTTTTGTGCTTCGCTCAATTGTAGGCCTTTGCTACGCGTCGGCCTTCAAACCCTGAGCTTAGCACAAAAAGCCTTACTTCTTAACCTAATGACATAAATAACTATAACTAACCTGTCCATATATAAGCGTTTTGTATATAATATCCTTAAATTTTAGCCTCACTTCCTTACTGTGATCCCCACAAGTTTCAAGCCATAATTTAAAAACATTCACAGAGTGAAATTTGACAACGTGGTTGGAAAAATTCGGTAAACTCCCTAAGGCGCCCACTTTTAACTCGCTTGTACCTGTGGTGAGCAGTCTTATAACGTGTTTCAACAGGGTACCAGTCACAGAACCAATATCAACTCTGTTTTTCTTGAAACATATCGCCTCAGAATCTTCTTTGAAACGATAACTAACAAAATCCTTGATTCTAACACTTTTTTCTTCGATATTATGGTCCAAATAACATTTTTCACAGTATATTTCAATAGATAATTCATCTACATTATCATTCCAGTAGATAATTTTTAAATAATCATGGAAACATTCGCAAAAAATGTTTGGCAAAACGTCCAAAGTTTGTTTTTGTGCATTCTTATCTGTATTTGCTAATATAGGTATTACTATTGTTAATAATATTTCTTCTGCATTGCTAAATAGTGAGAAAATATGTGGGATAGCCTTTAAACACTAAAATTAATACAAAAAAAAAACACAAAAAGCCTTTAATTTATGGATAACAATAAGGTATATACGCTAAAGAAGTATCGGGTTTTAAAACATACATTTTTAACGTTGCGTTGCAAGGAAAAAACTAAATTTCGATAGATTATTCTTTATATCATTGATTAAGAAACTCAACGCTTAAATGCTTTCATAGTTACGTTCGTGTGTGTATTTTATCTAAGGGATCATGGCGAATTAATGTGTTTTTAATTGTAAATAAAATTCAAGAACTAAATCGTTGCATTTTCATGTTTTGCCAAAGGATCCAATTCGGCAAGAACATTTGTTGGTGCAGAATTAACTAATGATAACTTTACCTAATATAATTTATATTTAATTTTGGACATTTTTAAGAAATTAGTAAATAATTTTTGCACAAACATAACCTTAAAATCAACCTTTTTTATGTTTGAGTTCTCTAAAAAACGCCGACAACTGCATTTTAAACAACAAAATATACCTACGAATTCATGGCAACATAATATTATATATAATACATAATATAATGGTATTTTACCGTTGAGTGGAGACTTTAAAGATACGTTAATCATTACTAAAATATGTATTTATTGTATCTAATAGATACAATTTATATTTACAGGGACTGTATTAAATTTATTTCTTCAATCGGATTAACACTGTTTATTGGAAAACCGATAAAAACTCAACCCAGGATTTTCTCTCCAAATACACCCAACAACACAAAAAATCGTGCCACGGTTTTGTTTTCGAAATTTTCAAACATTTTCTGGCTTTATTCTCAAAAACACTCGTTTGTAACACACGCGTTTGACAGCTGCTTATCAAAAGTTGTACTTTTGTTACGATGATAACGGCCGAGTGGTGGCGCTACTAGCGATGCTTCTTAAGCGTATATGGCACTGGCTCCACACATCAAAGTCCCAACACATGACTTTAATAGAAATAAATATCTGTCAGTGTCAAGATAATTTCGACTTATTTTGTAAATATAATACAAAATAAGTAATTTAGAGCCCAAAAAATGCATATATTATATTATATTTAGAAAATAAGATGAAATTAGCTTGACAGTGACAAAAAAAGTCACGTGGTGGGACTTTAATGTGTGAGTACCAATCAGAAGATATGTTTAACATAAGCCTTCTTAATTTATAAACTTAAACAGCTTCTGATTGGTTCATTTAAAGCAGCGCCATCTGGGTTTGTAAACAAAACTTACCAAGGCGATGTTAGGATCATTATTTTGGACCATATTCTTCAAAATAACGGCGTAGTTTCTTTGAATGTGTTCCACTTGAGAATCATTTAAATTTCCAACCATACTGCTAGAGAGGATTGTCAAAAAATCGCCCAAATAAGTGAGCGCCAATGTTTTATCGACGTCTTCTTTACCCAAAAAAACGTAAAATGCTCTTATGCCCTTCTTGAATTCGTTTATATCGGCAACACCGATGAAATTATCTGGTAGATTGTTGTCGTTTTTGTATACCAAGGGTTTTAATAAGGGGTGGGTTATCATTGTGAATATTATGTCCAAGTTGTTTGAATTGGTGGCAAAGAAAACATTGAGTAGATATTTTAGGTATACATTTTGATCCAATTTCTGTGTGCAACCTTGAGAGTGGCGTGAAATTGCATTAATTATCGGCAGAAATATACGTTTTTCATCAAAAAATATTATAGTTACATTCTTGAGAGTCTTCAGTGATTTAATTTTTATTTCTATTAGCATATTACAAATATTGTTGAAAAATGTTAAAAACCTTGTTAAGTTGCACAAATTCTTTGTACAAGCTGTTTTATTTAACTTTTGCAGTATTAGTTCTTGCAATAATCCTATATAAGAACAATTTTCATATGCCTTCAATGTTGTTGTGTTTCTTTTAAAACTATCTGTTATATTGGCTAATATTATATTTTTTAATGGCACAAAAGCATAATAATTTAAACCATCAACCAATTTACCTAATAAGTCCTCAATTTTCCCAAAATTAACTGGTAAAGACTTTATATTTAACACACACGATTTTAAAACATTATCTGGAATCAAATTTTCTTGATTTTCCAAACTTTTCTTGTACACAAACATACTTATTCTACTCTTATTGTCTATTATCACATTATCAAAATTATGGCATACATTAAAATACTTTTCTACAACTTCACCAAACTTTTTCAAATCATTTTTATTAATATTTGTTTTATTTTGTACATTATATACATCATATATTGTTTGTTCGAATAGAGATGCCATTTCCATGACTTTTTTCACTATGATAAAACTGTAATCATCATGATATGACTTTGTTTTTTCTATAATGCTTACATAAGTATTAGAAATTAAAGTTTTTATGCTAAATGGTCCCATACTTAATAAATATGTTAAATTATGTAATATTTTTGTAGTAGATTCATCAAAACTAAAGAATGTAAAGCTTTCAACAAGAATATGATCAAATATACCATATAATTTTTCTATAATTACAACAGAAGCATTTTGGTTAACTTTTATAAAACTAGGACTCAAATTTAACTTTTTGCTTAAATCATCATGCACCTTTGGTATAAAAACCTCCAACTTATTATTATTTACATCACTTATACAAATATTAACCAGCAATTCCAGGGTTTTAGCATATTCACTTGCCAATTCCGAATAAACATTTAAATGAGTTTTCGATAAACTATCCAATATTGTTAGTTGGGTTTTAACGATTAAATCGTGTATTTTCGAGACTTTCTCGCAGCTTATTACGTATAATAACTGCCCTAGTAGCCATGTAGTGAAAGCTTTGTATTTGTTTATTATATCTTCATAATTTTCATAGCTTAGGTTAGGATCTTTATCATATATAAAAATGTTGGAATGTTCCTTGGACTGTATGATGTTTGCTAAACGCTTTAAACTGCCTTCAGAGCAATCTTTTAACAAATCCGGTACTGTTTCGTTTATCATTTTCCATGTTGAAAATGCGGGGATTATTTCTTCTAGTGTTTGAGGCATTTTAAACTATTAAAATTGTATGTTATGTTTGGTAAAATTATTTTTTTTTAAACTCACAGCTGTGACTTCATTTGTGCACTGTAAAAACAAAACATTTATTTAAACACAGAATTGGCGGGATTATTTAAGGTTATGTTACATTTTTGCGCGCTGGAACTACTTTTGAATTTGCGACGAACAATAAAATCGGTTAGCCGCCATTTTGTATTGCGCATGCGCATATTTGTTTCTGTTTCCTGAGTTCGGCATCTAAAAGAGGCCGGGTTTTTGAGTTATTTAAGTAAAATTAAAGTAAATAGTTGAAATAAAATGCCCAAAACAAAGAAGGAAGAAACCTCCGACTCAGACTCAGGACCTGATGATGTAAGCTATAAAAATTGTATTATCTATGCTAATTTGTGATTGTGAACTTTTTTATTCAGAGAGCTCCAGTCAAAAAGGCAAAAACCAAAGGATCCTCCGACTCAGGCTCAGAATCTGATGTAAGCTATAGGAATTTTATTATCTATGCTAATTTATAAGTGCAATTTTTTTCCAGAAAGCACCAGTAAAAAAATCAAAAACCAAAGAAAAAAGCTCCAGCAAACCCAAACCCAAGGAAAATGATGATAATTCCTGGACAATTGGTAAAAATAGACATGTTAAACTTACTGAATTCAAAGGAAAATGGTATGTGGATATCAGGGAGTTTTATATAGATGCAAGTGGAGAGGCCAAACCTGGTAGAAAAGGTATTATGTTAACAATGGAGCAATGGCAGAAGTTCAAGGGTTGTTTGGATGAAGTAGATGATGCCATCAAACAAAATGTGTAAATTATCAGTCAATACTTGTTTGTTACGGTGTTTTTTTAGTTTATAAGTTAATTTTTGTAATGTAAGCTTCACCAAATAAATTACTTTTGTATGGTAAATGTTTTTATTATTTAAGAAAAAACATTCCAATTTTAAATACAAAAAAGTTTAAAATAAAAACCTTATGATTTACAAAAAAAACTGTTGGATTATCCTAGATAATGATAATGTAAAATGATTATTAGTCTACCTATTTAAACTAAATGGTTTTGGTCCCAAATAATCATTTTTATAAATAAAAAAAGATATAAAATATGCAAAACTTTATTTAAATAAATCAAAACGACAAATCAACTTAGATTTTGTTGAAAGCAGCAATATCAACTGATTGTACAAAATCTTCGAATTCCTGGATTTTCTCTACCAATTCGTCAACAGAAACCTTGACATCCTCAATGACACACATAATTTGCAACTTGTTGATGCCGTAGCCGACTGGTACGAGTTTTGAGGCACCCCATAAAAGACCATCCATAACGACAGTCCTGACTTGTTTTTCCAATTCTTTCATGTCGGTTTCGTCGTCCCATGGTTTGACATCCAAAAGGATGCTGGATTTGGCGATGAGCTCAGGTTTCTTGGATTTCTTCTCGTTGTAGGCCTTCAAACGTTCTTCGCGCACTTTGGCAGCTTCCGCGCTTTCTTCTTCGTCATCGGAAGCGAATAGATCGACGTCGTCGTCGTCATCATCAGCGGCGGCCGTGGTGGTTGTGGCCGTTTTCATTGGGCAGGCTCCGCTGGCACCGAAAGATTTGAGCTCTTCGGCGGAGAACGACTTGATGTGGTTGTACCATCTTAAAGCGTTTGCGTGCTGCGCTGCCGGGGCCTTTGCGAGTTTGTTCAGTGTGTCTACGTCGGCTTGGGATGGGGTGTACCTTAAAAATTAACATATGTTACAAATAAATTCCTTTTTACAGGTTATAATCATTACCCTTGGATGTAGCTGTGGTCAGCCAAGAAGGTGTTGAGTTCTTGGACTCCTTTTTCGGTTTTCAAGTCTCCAAAAGCCATTTTGTGTTGTTTTTTTACGTAATTTACCGTTCGAAAGTCACTGACAAACTGACTTCAGCAATGTCTCGACAGGAAAGGGGTTTTTAGGTTATGTTCAGTTGGCATTTGACAACGACGCATTTCCGGTATAATAAACGCCCCAAAAAGCTACAAATGGCATATTTTGCTTGTATTTTATTTATGAAAGCCCTTATATGATATATAATAGTTTAAAATTGGTTAAAACGTTAAAAAATAGCGGTTTTGTTTAATTAGAAGTTCAAATGTACCATGTAAAATGGCAACACTGCAAGATTTAAAATGTTATATTATACCAAAAAATCGACTATTTTTTAAAGGATATCGAACATATCGATGGTTATTTGACAAAACATCGTAAGCGACAATTTTGTTGAATTACTTTTTATATTATCAAAGTGTCAGTTACGATAAGCTGCACATGTTAACATAATAGTTATTCTAATTTTGGAATCTAATATTGGTCAGTTTGAATATTTTTTTTATTGTAAGCGCCTCTTCTTTTTAATTTGTTACCGATTTATAACGTAAGCGCCTATATGTTCCCGACAAACAATCGTAAGCAACTCCGAGACATGGCGTTTGCGATTTAACATTGTGTCGCTTACGATAATATTGTGCTCCCTCCTTGATCTATCACCTGCATCGTGGTGATTGCTACCACAATTCACAATGTGGATTGTGATTGCTACCAAGTTTTAAAACAATATTTTATTTGATCAAAAGCATATAATTCCTTTTTATCATTGCAATATTAATAGTTATCCTAATTAGAATTGTTTTTACATTGGTTCGTTAAAAGTGGTTTTTTGTAGTAATTGTATGTTGTTATAACGTCAAATAATTTGACTCAAATTTATAACGGTACAATGACGGCCAAAAAATTTCGAACGACCTGTCATTCAGTTGATTTTAAAATGTAAAACTGCCTTTAGTGACAACTAACCTTACTTTCTGAAAGTTGTCAGTTTGACGTATTTCATTGTTGATTGTATTGTTTTAAGATTAGATTCTCTGTCTACTTTTTGAAACTGCTTGTCATCTTGTCAAAAATGTCCCTAAGGGTTGGTTTGCACAGACATTTTTTTTAAATGACAGAAGTTTGATGTTCGAAAATGTAACTTAAGCGACAAGACTAATTTTACATTTTCCTAAAGATGTTCTTATAAAATATCGTATGCCACAAAATTTAATGAAAATTTTAGATTGGATTCGATCTAACTTAAATATTTGAATTCTACATTAATAAAATAATGCCTCACCAGTTTTCAGATAAATAACTTTAAAAATAAAGCTCCCACACAAAAAAAATCTCTCCTGTAAAATTTAGGTTTTGTCGCTTACGATGTTTTGTCAAATAACCATCGATATTGTTTGGGGTGACAAAAAAAATTATGGTAAATTTTAGATTTTTTTTCCGAGCGAGCTTTTGTGTCAGAACTCCCAAAGCATTGAGTTTAACAAAATTTTTTGAAGAAAATTGAATGCTGTACAAAAAAGTTTTGATTGGACAATCATGCCTTAAAAATTGGTATAGTTTAACAATTTGATCTTTTAACTTTGGAATTTTGTAATTCATGTAAAGGTTAAAGTCAAAACGAAATTCTTGGTTTTTCCGCTCGATTTTTTTTTGGGTCAGTTAAAAACTTGAATTAATTCAAGAATTCTTTTATCGATGATAATCTTTATGTTACTGATAAGATTACTGAAAATTAAAAAAAAATAACACAGAATTTTTTCGCTTCAAGAAGCTATTTTCTTTAGAAAATATTATTTTCACTGTTACCTATTTAATCGTTTAAATAATAACAATCATGTTGTTTTTTATACATTTATAAAGAAAAAAAATCAAATTATCATCCATATAAAGATAAATCTACCTTAAATAACTTTTGATTGAGTGAATTTATCCAAAAATGTTAAGGGCCCTTAAAGCCCGGGCTTTTTTCTGGGTACTGATTTTAAATGAATTACAAAATTCCAAATTTTAAAAGATCAAAATGTAAAACTATACCAATTTTTAAGGCATGATTTTAAGGAAACGGTTCATCTGACGGAAAATTTCATTTTAACCTTTTTTGTAGAGAATTTAATTTTCTTAAAAAAATATTTCTGTCAATTTTGTTAAACTCAATGGTTTGGGAGTTCTAAGACAAAAACTTGCTGAGGAAAAAAAATTAAAATTGCGATGATAGACCTCTTAATATTATGTACTCAAACTTTCACAATATTTTTTTTGTCACCCAAAACCATATTTTCAATATACTTTTCAAAAATAAAATAGTTTATTTTTTTGGCCGTCTAATATATTATACAGAATAGGTGGATATAATAGCATTAGATCAAAAATAGGATACAAATAAAACAAAATGTTAGTATTTCAACGTTTTTAATGTATTGTCAATTATAATGTTTGAAACACTAATAGTAATATGATAACAATTCACCAAAATATACAAAATAATTTAAATTATATTACCTATAACAGCTTCTAAACTAACTACAATATCACAGCAAATGTGTTTAGAAACTTTAACAGACTTGGTTGTAAGTAAAATTATTTAACGGACAATTTAATGTAATTGATTTAAAAAAGACTGCAACCCACAACCAATACATTAATATTAATAAAAAATGTTAAAAATAAAATTTAATTCACACTTGTACTAATAAAAGTTGTGCATATTCTATATAAAAAAATATATTTATTATCTTTTTCTTTTGTTCAACTTCCAGGCATGCTCATCCAGTGATTGAATTTGCTGTATTTTCTTTTTTCCCCAAGCATACAACCAAGTAAAACCAATGACAGCACTTAATACTGTTAGAATATAAAAACCATCTAAAGTCGTCTCACATTTACCACCTTTGCTTGTGCACAACTAAAAAAATAACAAATTGAACCAACTTAATTTTGAACATGGTATAGATATAATACCAACCTCTTTTTCAAGGACGTTTCTACAGGTGTTATCAACGCTTTCTGGACCCCCAACGCATTGTTTTGAGGTGAGGGGGTCGACAAAATACAGAGCCAAAATCGTAGGCCAATTTCCACCCAAATTAGTTACTGTGTTTAGTAGCGTCATGTATGTTCCGCCTACTGAAGAATCGCTTATTTTCGCGAAGAATGCCATGATGGAGACAAACATACAGTAGACACAAACCTAAGAAAAATATTGGTACTAGGTATTATAGTAAAATCATTTTTTCAATTCCACCTATAATAACGAACGCGTGATAGCCATGCTATTGCTCAATTTTCGATAAAACTTTCGACCAATAGCATGTGTGCATTGTGTTCTAGAGAATTGGTAAAATGAATATATCATAGTTTTATAATTTAAATAAAGTATTTTATGGGCAATATTTGAACATTTACCTGTTGCAGTGCATAACATGTGATCAAAAATACGACATAGAAAAATGGTAGGCCCTCTTTAGGGTTGGGGACCAATATTGGGGTGACCCATACCATAAATGCGGCCACAAAACCAAAGGCTAGACGGTATGGAATGGCCTTTACGAATACATTTAATGGTTTTGGTCCTTAAACAAAAGAATACAAGCTAAATATTTTAATAACATACAGGGTGTCCCTAAATGGCGCACAAACGGTATACCGTTGGTTATTTTACTAAGTATTGGATTTTTTTACATACGCACTTAAAAGAATATATCTGTCAACCATCTTAATGCTAGCTGAACACCAAAAAAAACCTTTTTGGATGTTTGATAAATGGGCTTAATAGGAAATCACAGTTCTTTAAACATATGCTTAATAACTCAAAAAACGTTTGTAATTTTTGTATACTTAAAATATTCTCTCGTGTGGCGTTAGTGCGTAATTTTTGGGACACCTTGTTTACTATTTTGGAATTTAAAACATGTCTTTAAAATGTCTATAAAATAATAATTTAAATTTTGAAAAAAAACTTCTTTTATGGTAAAAAATACCTATATAAAAGGTACATGAATTCCTAGCTGCAGAAATTGGGACATTAATAAATAAAATTTCTATGCCATTAAAAAAAATGGATCATAGGAGCATTTGGTTTAGCCGAAGTCCATTGAGTAAATAATTTACTTTAAAAGATAATTCAGTTACTTAAAAAGTTGGGATGCACTCGGTCTGTATACTTTTACCGTGAAAATACAATATAAGACTGTGGATTTAAGTATTAAAATTGGATTGCCCAACTCGTTTAATAAAAAAAGTACTCTTGATTTACGGTTTACTATAATATTTATGCGGGAATTAAAAATTGATGTTTTTTGTACAGTGAAATTTACTAACAAGCTTGATTTTTCAAACCCATTAAAATACCAATTTTACAAAACCATGATAAAACAGTATACCTATAGTATAGTAAATAATTTGGCAACCTAAATTTCATACTTAAAAGAAATTTTATTTTCACTGGCAAAGAAAATTGATATTCTGACATTTATTATCGCGCTATATCACGGCTTGTATCAACATTTTTGCTGGGCAACAATCAATGAAGGTGTTTTTGACCTAACTAAAAGCTTCCTATCTGTATTTTTAATATCACAAGAAAGATATATAAATAAAAATACATTAAATAATACAGGGTGTTTCATAATATATGCGCAGGACTTCAGGATGTGATAGCTCATCCCAAAAGATAAAAAAAGTCGCTATTAACTTACCCTCTAAAATGCACAATTTTCGAGATACAGGGTGTTGAAATTTTAGAAAAAAAAATCGTTTTTTTTTAATATCTCCGGAACCGTTTATCGTAAAAAAACAGCTTTTTCTTACTACCTCGACTGAAAATACGTTGTTTCGTCCCCGATTTCACGGCAGAAAGTTTACGTTTCTTGCATTGGTCAAGCTATACGCGCACACTCTATAATAGCGGAAGTAAAATTTTTTTAGTCGTGTGTTCAACATATGCAACTCTGATTACGACACTAATATAACCTCAAAATTTGTTTTCAATTATTATTTTCAGTCGAGGTAGTAAGAAAAATATTATACACTACACGGGCAGAAAGTGTGAGAGCCCTGCAGGAATCTCACACTTTCTGCCCTTGTAGTGTAATATACTATTGTAAGCATTTTCTACTCATAATAAGCTACCTATATTTTGTGCCAGAAAAAAATTTTTTTTACTCATAATTGGTGGAGATTTTGAAGTGGTAGCGGGTGTTTTTCTCTTCAACTTCTACGCCCCTGAAAAAAGTACGGTTTTGAAAGGCCCATTCGAACCGCCAATGTTTTCTACACAAAAAAGGTACTCTTGGTCATAAGCTCTAAAGTTGACCGTTTTCGAGAAAAATCGACTTTTATGTTTAAAAACATGGTCAATTTTTTGAAAAAAAAATATTTTTACTAATTAAACAAAATTTATTTTAACGTTAGAACAAGTAACAAAACCAAACGATAATTGCAGAATTAAAAAAAAATAAAAAATGATTTTTTACACAAATGCTGAAATGAGCGAAATGCGTTACCTTTACGGTTTGGAGAATTTTGCAAAGACAACTTTTGAATCATTTTTTATGGTTTTGTTACCTGTTCTAACGTTAAAATAAATTTTGTATAATTGGTAAAAAAAAATTTTTTTCAAAAAATTGACCATGTTTTTAAACATAAAAGTTGATTTTTCTCGAAAACGGTCAACTTTAGAACTTATGACCAAGAGTACCTTTTTTGTATAGAAAACATTGGCGGTTCGAATGGGGTTCTCAAAACCGTACTTTTTTCAGGAGCGTAGAAGTTGAGGAGAAAAACACCCGCTACCCCTTCAAAATCTCCACCAATTGAGTAAAAAAAAAATTTCTAGCACAAAATATAGCTTATTATGAGTAGACATTGCTTACAAAAGCTGTTTTTTGTACGATAAACGGTTCCGGAGATATTCGAAAAAAACGATTTTTTTTCTAAAAGTTCAACACCCTGTATCTAGAAAATTGTGCATTTTAGAGGGTAAGTTAATAGCGACTTTTTTCATCTTTTTGGATGAGCTATCACATCCTGAAGTCCTGCGCATATATTATGAAACACCCTGTATAGACAATACATTTACAAAAGATATGTAAAATTGTAAAACTCACCTGTGGTATATTTTGCAATGACTAAAGGCATGGCTAACTGCACTGGTATTAGAGGTATAGCCATTAAACCTAACCTCTCTTTTGGAATGCCAGCTTCAACCAATTTTAGAGCCATCACACTATCTGTTGAAGCAAAACCAATCTAAAAAATCATGTGGGATAAAATATTTAAATTTATTGAAGATTTTATTATTGACCTTACCTTACAAGTTAATAAAACAAGTACTAAACCCTGTACTGATTTCAACTTAAGAATGTCTCTTAATGACTTATAGGCAGTTTGCAAATCTCTTTCAGGCACTGACTCATGATCTTTATCATTACATTCAAGTTCTTTTTTTATTAATGCCACCAAAGTGGTCGACACAATGAAAATCCACCCCCAGAAGGTCAAAAAACCAGGCAAAGTAACAATACCTTAAAAAAGCTTTAAATTACAAAAAAACAAAATATTGTAAAATTATCACCTTCTTCCTCAGGCTTGTTTCTTAGATACATGTTACAAAAACTGGCAGATTCCAAGGCCATAAACAAAATATTGCCTAGGAAAAACCCTGCAGTTTGTCCTATACTATTGCAAGTTGAGGCATGTCCAACATTTCTCTTTTTAAGCATGGTTAATGCCCAACCATCTACAGCTATGTCTTGTGTGGCTGCCAGAAAGTTTAGAGAAAAAAATAGGAGAGTTAATATTCCTATGTTGGGTTCTTTCCCGTCGGAACCCAACCAAGTGTCAACATGTTGTCCCAAGATTATCATGAAAATACCAATAAAATATTGTGTTGGTACCATCCATGTTTTACGTCGCCCCATTCTGGAGGAGTAAATGGAGTCCACAATGGGGGCCCACAGTAACTTGAGGCTAAATGGCCAAGTTACAAAACTGAATTCAGCCTAAAATGTTTTTTAAATTACATTGTGCTTAGGATGTTGAAAATGCTTACTTGTTGTTTATACGTCGCCCCCTTGTTCTGCAATATCATGGGAATGGCAGCGCTGAGCCCCAAAGGTATTCCTTGTAAAGTATACAAGAAAAACAGTAATGCTATATTCCATTGATCACCTTTAATATTGCTGCACAATTCTGATTGTCCCAATAAAGGCGTATCGCCGTTTTCCATTAGAGAAGACTCCATTTCCTTCTTTTTCGCTTTCTTTCTTTCCATCGCATTCATACAAAATTATTTCATACACGACAGTTTTGCTAAATATTGAATTTTTAGGTTAGGGCCACGTCACTTCATCAATTTAGCGAATAATGTTAATTTGAAATTTGTTCATTACTTTATGGTATTTTAACGACTAAATCGTTTGTGGTGATTGTGCAAATTAGTTTTATACTTAATTAGGTATTATTTATTTGTTTTAAAAAACCGACGGCGATGTATTATTTTTGACGTTTAGTAGTTCAAATGTACCCAAGGTTTTTCCACAATCCAATTGTGGGTTTTTCTATGAATGCATGGGTATAATTCCTTTTTTCTACTCCCACCTTTAAAACGCCCTTTATCGTACATGTTTCGATGACACTAAGTGACCTTTTAAATACACATTGACAAGTTGTGGCTTTATGACGCTTTAGTCACGGGCTGAAGTTAGCAACAGGTTTATAGTCATGGGCTGAAGTTAGTTTTAAGTTAGTTGACAGTTGTCAAATGTCATACAATCGTTAAAATAAAGTGCCTTTCTTCTAAAATAATACTAAATGTGAAAATTATTTTATTATCTCAATACAAAAGTATTAAATAGTCTCAACGCCAATATTTGAAAAGTTTAAAAAACATTGTACTGACCTTTTAATTTCGCCGGCAGTAAACTATAACTTAAATTCGGGCACGGACTGTACTGTAAAGTCCTCATAAAACATTTTCTTTTCTTTCACTGTGAAAAACTGTCAATGTTCAAGATATGTACATTTCGAATTATACCTAATTGTGTTTATAAAATGTAAAAATGTGACATTTGAGAGTTTCCCCTATTGTTTCATAGATGGCGCTCTACACAAATTCTTTTTTAAGATAATAATAAGTATTTGTCGTAGAAAAAGTATAGTATGCACCTCGTTTATAAACTTTTCTATACACTCATTAATTTAAGGACTCGCTCGCAAGCTCGCTCGTGCCTAAATTAAATTCGTGTATAAAATGGCGTTTATCAAACTTGATACATAATATACTATTTTCTTCTTATAACTTATAACGGATCGTGTATATAAGTTATAAACTACCCGTCGGTTGGGTTTCAGAATTTTTAAATATTTTCAAGAATAAAACAAGTTTTTAATGTAAGAAACTTTATTTTCTGTATTGACACTATAAAAAAGTTGCTGCAGTATGATGTATTGATCGAATTTGATGGTAATGTATTACTCAATAAAAAATATTAAAAAACAGTTAACAACTAAAAACCAGTGACTATTTTACTTTATTATTAAAAAAATAACAATATAGATGTTGAGGATTTAAAATTCCCTGTACAATTGAGGTATACAGGGAAAAAAACAGCGGTGGAATTATGTCGTCTACTCGACGATGGTTACTTCCTCTTTAATAAAGAATTCAACAATTTCTTCTTCTACGTTTTCAGTGTCAGCATCAAGCTCATCAGTATCGACATCTACAACAAAAGAAGCGTCAATAAAAAGCACCAAAGCAAGCTCTGAAACTCACTGTTTCTGAGGGCCAATCGCCTGGCTTTGTTTTCCACGTACTGCTTGATCCTCTTCTGCCTGATGTCGTTGAATTTGTCCATAAGCGCCGCCCTCTTCTCGATTAATTCCTTGGAGGCCTTCGATTGGCGCATCCTGTCCTTGCTCTCGAACTGCGCGTAATACTTTTTGAGGTTCTTTTTGATTTCCCTCTGCTTTTCTTCGCTCAAGAGCGTGGAAGGCCTTGGACGCCATAGGAGCTGCGCGAACTTTTCCAAGTTGATGCGCTTCAGGATCTTGCCCTGGAACGACCAGATCCAGTAGCCCGTGTCGACTTTTGTTTTCCAGTACGAGACGCCGGTTACAACGTATCTTAAAACGAGTTTTAGCTTATTTTTTATTTTTGGCCATTTGAAGAGTTTCCATTAAATGTCTTCAAAATTTAAAATATGATTTTTTGATGCATCAGACACATTCACAAATAATTTCAGATTTTTTTACAGCACAGATTCCAAGAAAATAATTTTTAAGTTACATTTGTTTTCATACACCAAATCTCTGGAAAATGACTCTTTTGAACAAGTGTTATTTTCCATAGATTCTTTCAAAAATTCGTTTTTAAACTCTATCAACCAAACAGTATATTTTTATGGAAATCTAATTTGAAATTGTGTGCTGCCAACATAAGAAAAAAATATATAACAGTTTTAAACCTTAATTTTGTCATTATAACAACAAATTAACAATTTACATTCTTATTTATTTACTCTTTATGTTGCTTTTAGTTTTTAATGATACTTTGTAATTTGTAAACCCGTAAAAGATGAACAATACAAAAACCGTAGTCCTGTACGGGAATCTATAAACAGCACAACGGTTTTCGTATTGTTAATCTTTTACGGGAGGAAGGTAGGAAGGAAGGAAGGCAATCTATAAATCAGGCTTAATACAGTATTAATTTGTTAATTAAAATACGTTTTATTTTTACTACGTTGGTACGCTGAATTTGCTGTCATTGCATACTGTTATTTATTTATCAAACTCTTCAAATAGAGATACCTACCTACTAACTTAAAGTCAGCTATTTAAAAAAAGGTTTATGTTTCATTATAAAGGTTTTTTAATGAAATCTATACAAAATCGTTGTGTTACCATTTCTTTTTATAATAGTTAATGTTAAAATTTTCTATTAATTTCATTTGAAATGGTTGTTTTATTTTCCCTAAGCGTATAACTAAAAAAGTATTAAGAACTTTTAAAGCAAAAAATCAGGGTTTTTGTTTTTTATCTATTAAAGGGTGTCCTAAAAATGGCATACAACACTATACTATGTGAGATAATGTTATTTAAGATACATTTAGTGTTGCAAGGTCCAAAAATATAAATTACCTATAAAAAATATAATTTTTTATAAAGGTAACATTTTAATTGGTGCAACTTAAGTTACATTATATTCTACTACACCTTTCTGTATGTGTCCCCAGAAATTTTTTCTGTAATTTTGGAAGTTTATGTTAACATTATTGTCTTCTATTGGATTTTTTAAATTCTTTTAAAAGCTTAATTTTTCTAAATTTATCATTTTATCAATACAAAAGATTTTTTTTTAATACTTTCTAGTAGAAAGTTTCTAATAAAATTTAATCTGTCCACAACATTTTATGTCCTTCTGTCTGCCTTCTTTGTAGTCCTATAAAAGTGTGATGAATGCAACTGTCAAATTGGTGGTTAATTGTCTACTTTATCTAATCTAAGGTTGTCTATTGTTTGAAAGAATCAGGTGCTTTTGTTAAAGAAAGGTGGTTTTAAAAAATAGTTGGAAAATATAGGTTAATTATATAATTAGTCTTTCCTGTCCAATTTATGTATTTTTGTTGATTTTAAATAGTAAATTTATAGTCTAAAAAACACAATTTAACTACAAATTAGTTGTAGTAAGAATGGGCAGAAGGGGCAGATTTATTATTATTTTGCCATTTTTTTTGTTTTTTTAATATAAAATATGCGACAAATCAATTTTAATTTTAGTTTTTAAATAAAATAAAGATTCAAAATAATTTTAAAAAGGTTTTGCAAGCCGCAAAGAAAACCTGAAATTTTGTGCTCACGATTTTTAGGGTCGCTGATCACAAATGTGGACTCAAAAAGACAGAATTCACAATTCCAAAATAGCGAACTTTTCTTTGTTTTTAGCTTAAATCATTATTGCAGGTGTTTTTTAAAAAATTTAAAATTGCTTTTCACTTTTTAAAACGTTTAAGTTACAAAATACCACGAATGATATTTTTTAAATCCTTATTTTTTGCTGCAATTATTTTTATAGGGTTTTTTGTTTTTCCAATATAAAATATGCAACAAATCAATTTTAATTAAAGTTTTAAAAAAATAAAAGGTTCAAAATAATTAAAAATGTTTTGCAAGCCGCAATGACAACAAAAATTCTGCCCAAAAAGGGGGCATCCATTAATTACGTGAGGTGTTTAGGAGGGGAGGGGGTCGAGCCAAACCCAATCTCACGTGGGGGGAGGGTGGTCTCGGCAAATATCACGTAATTTTTTCTTTTTGAATGAAATAGTGTAAAATTGCGAGAAAACTGGGTTAAATTAAGTAAACAATTATAAGCAAATTGTTTTTTTTTTAATAAATCTAATGGAATCAAGCACTTATTTACATTAAAACTATGCATTTAAAAAAATCTCACGTGAGATTAAGGGAGGGGGAGAGGGTCGAGCAAAATCTCACCAAGGGGAGGGGGGGGAGTCGAAAAATCGCCAAAATTGCCTGACGTAATTAATGGATGACCCCAAAGGCTGAAATTTAAAAATAAATAATACGCTGCACAGTGGGCTAAAATCCCGATAAAACTCCCAACGTAATTTTTTTACCCGAAATTTTGTGAAATGTGGACTTATTATTATAGGTGTTTTTTGAAAAATTTAAAACTGCACTTTTCAATTTTTAAAACTTTTAAGTTTTAAAATACCACGAATGATATTTTTTAAATCCTTATTTTTGGTTGCAATTATTTTTATAGGGTTTTTTGAGTCCTTAATGCAATTAATACGGAAAAAAGTTGAAGTAACAATTATGCGATTTTTTACACATAACAAATTAAGTTTAAAAAAAAATTATTTAAATAATTAAAAATAATTTTTTTAATAATTAACTAACTTCACTCTAAAACTAAATTGGTTTATCGCCGTATGTACAGGGTGATCCCCTATAATGTCGCCCCCCTTTAACTTTTTTATTTTAAGTGTCCCAAAAAATTTTAAAGTGTGGTTATGTAGGTACTAAAAAATACTTTTTTTCTATGTATAAAGAAAATTGGAAAATTTATCAATATACAGAGAAAAACAAAAAGTTGACTTTTTTTCAATGTATCACCCTATATATGTATTTATTTTTCGATTCCTTCTAAAATTCTAAGCATATTTCATATAACATACCATATGCCTAAATTCAACTGTTTCTGAAATATTTAAATTATTTTTAAGATAATAAGTTGAAATAGTTTGTCTTTCTCTGTCTGAGTACGTCATTTTTACTTATTTACATAATGCAACTATAGTAATTAATTTTTAATAAAAATTTTGGGATACTGAGGCTTCTTGATTTCTAACAGTTTAAAAAAATATTTAATGATAACATTTCGAATGCGAATATTTCAGAAATGGTTGAATTTATGTATATGGTTTGTTATATGAATTATGCTCAGAATTTTACAATGAATAGAAAAATAAATTCATATATAGGGTGATCCATTGAAAAAAAGTATTTTTTAGTACCTACATAACCACTTTTAAATTTTTGTACTCCTTGTTGCCGCGCGTTTGACATTCATTATGTTTTTTTTTTAAATTACATTGAAGTAAAAAAAAAATCGCTGGATTGAATTAGTAAACTCTTAAAAAATTCTTACCTTCCGGTAGGATCCCATTCGACGTCGGACATCTGGAAATGATCGGTGGTGTTCATCACCAAGAACTCGTGCGTGTCGACGAACTCCAACGAGCCGCCGCCGTTGGTGCCCACCCCCGCCAGGACGATGTACTGGCCGTTGGGCGACCAGTGCAGCCTGTTGCACGCCCTCTTGTCGAACTTTTTCAGCAGAATGGGCGCCTGACCCTGCCTGACCTCGTAGAAGCTCACGTTGATGCTGGGCGATTCGCCGTGGATGATGCCGAACTTGGAGCCGACCGGCTCCCACGCGAAGCACTGGATCGGCTCCTTGCTCTCGACGCTGTCGACCGGGATCTGCTTCTCGCGCATGTGGAATATCTCGAAGTTGCAGTACATCCCCGAGTACTTGATCTCGTTCTTCTCCTTCCTCACCTTCAAGATACATTAGGGTTACCAGACAACTCTAGAGAATTCTCACCAAACATGAGCTCTTAATTTTGATAACAAGGTCCTCCGCTTTACAATTTTCCATTTTTTCCTTAGTATTAGAAACAAAAATTTATATCTCTTCGACAACTGTTCGTTAAAAAATAACTCCCCTCATATTCTTGTAGGAAATCAAACGCTCTACAAAAAAGGTCTCTTACAATTTTTTCGTAAACCTCACCGTTAAAAAGATATCGAAGGTTAAAGATTAATTATTTTAAGAGAAATTTCTGTTTTGCTTATGAATTTTATAACTCGCTTACAAAAAATTTTCATGAATCGCGCAACTCATAGTTTTGTAAGAAATTAACTGCTCTACAAAAATGGTCTCTTATGATTTGTCGATTAAATTAAGCGTTTAAAAGATACTCAAACTTCAATGTATACTAATTTTAACAGTTTTTGATGAATAAATTCGAAAAATTTCAATTTAATTTTTGAGTTTTACGAAAATTTATACAAATTCGAGTTTCTATCGTAAAAGTAACTCTTATAGAAGTTTCCCTTTCACAAATTTATTTGAGACTTTTTTATTTTAATAATATTTTCATGAAATTTATCTTTTTAATAACTTAAAATCATAAGCAATTGAAAGTTGTTAATGATTCGGCAGAGCGAGCTGTTGCATTAGTCGATGATTATAACCAATGCTTAACAAAAAATGAAGAGCAATTTCAATATTTATTGCAAGTTATAAAAGAACATCGCAAACAATACCCAAATTGTAATAAAGAAAACTTTTTATTTCAGTTGATAAAATTAAATAAAGAAACTTTTTAATAACAAATAGAACATTTTTTTTTCTTTAAGATCAATTCTTTTTATATTAAATTTATGACAAAAACGTTATTTTTTTCAAAATTTAATAAATCATTGACTGAGTTAGAAATAATGCACTATTTTTCTTTTCAATATAACCAAACATATGTAGAACTAAAAAAAACGAGAAAAATAGTTTTTTTTTTCATAGGAACTCAAATTTGTATAAATTTTCGTAAAACTCAAAAATTGAATTGAAATTTTTCGAATTATTCATCAAAAACTGTTGAAATTAGTATGCATTGAAGTTTGACGATGAATATCTTTTAAACGCTTAATTTAATCGACAAATCATAAAAGACCATTTTCGTAGAGCAGTTAATTTCCTACAAAACTATGAGTTGCGCGATTCATAAAAAAATTTTGTAAGCGAGTTATAAAATTCATAAGCAAAACAGAAATTTCTCTTAAAATAATTAAACTTTAACCTTCGATATCTTTTTAACGGTGAGGTTTACGAAAAAATTGTAAGATACCTTTTTTGTAGAGCGTTCGATTTCCTACAAGAATATGAAGAGAGTTATTTTTAACGAACAGTTGTCGAAGAGATATAAATTTTTGTTTCTAATACTGAGGAAAAAATGGAAAATTGTAAAGCGGAGGACCTTGTTATCAAAATTAAGAGCTCATGTTTGGTGAGAATTCTCTAGAGGTGTCTAGTAACCGATTTTTCAGAGTACAAAGTAAAAAAAAATAGTCGGTTTTTTTGACCCACCCTAAGATACATACACCTTAAGATAGGATGGTGCGCATGTTGGGCGGGGCTTAATGACGTCACTTGATGAGTGTTTTTAAATCTTTAACGTGTTTTTTAATTATCTGCTGCTAAAATTCTTGTTTTTGCGATGCTTTTGGATGTTAACTTGCTCTACTTTTTGTTTAACTTGTCGTTTTTGTGTTAGGTAAGGTTCGAATTACTTTTCAGCGTTCAAATTATTGTTATTGCGTTAGGTTAACCTGTTAGGTTTGTTTATTATTGTTTTTGTGTTGCGTTAACTTGATTTGTTTGTGTTTTAGATTGTATAGTGCCATATGCATTTATTAAAATGCGGTGTGGCATATTTGGATGCAATTCGGACAACCAGTCCAAGAAAAACCCTTTAAATAAAAACATTAAATTTAATCGATTCCCGAAAAACTTTGATTTGTGGAAACAGTGTTTAAATGGCACAAAAATAATAGACAATATTTACGTGAAGACCGCTTCTGTTTCCTATAAACATTTTCTGGACAGTGACTATAAGTTTAATTTAAAAGACCAACGCTTAAACCACAGCCCTAAATGTTATCAAGGACTGAAAGCATTTATTATCCATATTATAACACTTTCTTCAATATTAAGTTTAATAAAAACGCACTATGTCCAGAAATTTCTCTATTTTATTTGATAATATTACTATTATTCGTCTATTCGCACGGCAACTACTAATCAAGAGACATACACCTTAAGATAGGATGGTGCGCATGTTGGGCGGGGCTTAATGACGTCACTTGATGAGTGTTTTTAAATCTTTAACGCGCTTTTTAATTATCTACTGCTAAAATTCTTGTTTTTGCGATGCTTTTGGATGTTAACTTGCTCTACTTTTTGTTTAACTTGTCGTTTTTGTGTTAGGTAAGGTTCGAATTACTTTTCAGCGTTCAAATTATTGTTATTGCGTTAGGTTAACCTGTTAGGTTTGTTTATTATTGTTTTTGTGTTGCGTTAAATTGTTTTGTTTGTGTTTTAGATTGTATAGTGCCATATGCATTTATTAAAATGCGGTGTGGCATATTTGGATGCAATTCGGACAACCAGTCCAAGAAAAACCCTTTAAATAAAAACATTAAATTTAATCGATTCCCGAAAAACTTTGATTTGTGGAAACAGTGTTTAAATGCCACAAAAATAATAGACAATATTTACGTTAAGACCGCTTCTGTTTCCTATAAACATTTTCTGGACAGTGACTATAAGTTTAATTTAAAACACCAACGCTTAAACTACAGCCCTAAATGTTATCAAGGACTGAAAGCATTTAGTATCCATATTATAACACTTTCTTCAATATTAAGTTTAATAAAAACGCACTATGTCCAGAAATTTCTCTATTTTCTTTGAAAATATTACTATTATTCGTGTATTCGCACGGCAACTACTCATCAAGTGACGTGATGCGCGGGACGAACCAAAACTCGTACACGGGAGCATCCAGCCCTGACTCACCTTTGAATAGCGGTCGACTTTGACGCACAGATAGTCGCCGGACTTCTGCCAGTGGATCTTGCAGTCGGCCACGTTGAACAGGTTCTTCTTGCGCGTCTCGTTCCTGTTCGGGATCTCGAGCAGGGTCACGCTGGCCGGGACGTCTTTGTCCTCGGCCACCCAGTAGGCCACGACGTTGTCGGTGGGCGACCAGTTGAAGTCGCGGATGCCGTTGATTTTGATCGACTTTTTGTCGAGAAGGCCGAAAGACGGCGTCTCGTAGATGGAGAGGACGTCGTTGCCGATGCGCGCGAAGTATTTGTCGTCGTGAGACCAACGGAATATCGGCCACGCCGACGGGCCTTCCGGATTGAAGGAACGTTTTTCTTGGCCGGTTCTGGGCAACAAAAACAATTTAAACGTTAAAATGATGATTTTACATTTTGACATGACAGTCGGACTGTCAAACGGTTTGAACATGGAGCCTACACAAGGAGTACGAACTCAATAGAACCTGCCTACTAAAGCTTAATTTTCATGTATCCGTTTGTCCGTTAGTCCGTTCATCCGAGAGCGATCTTATTGGTCCAATTATAATTCGAAAATTATGACATTTTATCGGTCCGTCAAGTTTCAACTTCGTAAGTCTGACAGAGAAAGTTAAAATAATTTTAACTTATCCGTCACTACACATCTGTTTTTAACGTTATTTTAAAATAATTTATTTTCAAATATTTTTATAAAACAGAAATATTACGTTCGTTATATGAATAATGTTCTACTGTTATGTTTTCATGTATATTCTTTTTATAAGGTATATTTACCTACCTTTAAATTTATTAGACAGCTAACTGTTAAAGTTACAATTGTTGACATAATTGTAACTATGACAATTAACCATTAGGTAAATTTAGTAAAGTGAATATAGGTACTGACACTTAATTTCTATTTGTCGCCAAATCAATCCGTTAAACGTCATTAAAAAACGTATGCATGAAAATTAGAACATTTCTTATCGGACGATTTTATTGAAAAACGGACAAACGGATGACGGACAAACGGATACATGAAAATTAAGCTTAAATCGCACAAATTCTTTTTGCCCAATAGAGGCGCTCATTTCAATTTTGTACTGACGTCTGCTGTTTGGGTACAAACCAAACAACAAACAAAACACTGGCGCCCTTTTATTTTGGGAAGACATTTCTATAAATGTAGTTAGGACTCTTTGTGTAGGCTCTAGGGTTTTTAAATTTCCGGAAAAATTAAGTCGGCGGAAAATTTTAAATTTTTTAGAAATATTGACTTTTAAATTTTTGGGTAATGCAAAAAAATGCAATAGTAAATTTTTCTAAAAATTTACAAATTTTTACGGATAATATTCACAGTGATTTCGAGAAAAAAGTGAATTTCCGACGCTGCTCATATAATTCCATATTTTCGTTTTATTTGACACTTCGATTTATAAAATTATAATTTTGCAATTTAACTTTAATTCATGATTTTGTTATTGGATATTTTCAATGGACTCCTTTTTGCAAAAAAGACCCAAGCGACAATTTAATTAAATTTAGTTTTATATATTATTTCTGTAATAAAGAATTTTTTTTTTAATTAAAATAATCTTAAGATATTGATTGCAACTTTTTTAAAATGTGTATATTTTCCAAAGCATGGAAGAAACTTTTTTCCCAATTTTTCCGACGTTTTAAAACCCTAGTAGGCTCCATGGGTTTGACAATTAAAAATTTTAGTTTAAAGCATGTTACTATTTCCTTGTTGTTTAATAGTAGTGTTTTTCTATTAAATACAGATTTAAAATAGTGTTTCAATTTTCCCTAAGCGTATAACTTAAAAGAGTATTAAGAACTCTTAAAGCAAAAAATCAGGGTAATATTTAAAAAATGTATAATCTATTTATGTTATAAATTAAGACCTTTGTAGGTACACAAAAATACTTGTATAATTAAAAAAAAACAAGACAAAATTAGCCTTAAACATAACCTTAATTATTTGACTGCATTAAAATGTCAAAGTCGTACTTTTTAATGTGGAGCATAGTACCTACTTAATGATTTTTCTTCATTTGAATACAAATAAGTAAGGTTGTGTATCTGTCAGTTTAAAGCTAATTTAGTTTTATTTTTCAAAAATTAAATATATATGTAGGTATTTATAACAAAAAAACTTTATATATTGTATTATTTTTATAATACAAGGCGAAATTAGCGTTAAACTGACAGATGTATAATAAATTGCTCAAAAGTTGATTAGGAATTTTTAATATAAGATAAATAAATAAGCACAAAACTTGACAGAAAATATTAATTATTCTGATAAATATAACATAAAAACATTTTATATTCAATTTATTATTATAAATGTTTTATTAAAAATTCCTTAAAAAAGACATAATAATATAACTGCATAATTTAACAAAACTAAATAGAAGGATTTATAATGATTTTAATAAAATATTAATATTTTAATTCAATATACAATATCCTTCTATGCATGGGTATCTTTTTTATTTAAGTCTATTAAAATTTCATTGGAAATAAACTAAAAATCTGTCAAAACCAAAAATTGTTAGAACTTTGTTATTCATGGAAATTAAAAAAAAGTTTATTAGGTATATAAAAATACACATTTATCTACATTTATATCCAATTTTTCATTTTTTTCGACTAGTAGATTTTGAGTTGAAATTTACATGGTTAGATAAAAAAAGTCAAGGAAACCAATAATGTATCAAACTACATAAGTATGGTGGCCATTATAAAAACAAAAGATGGTGATGGTAACTCAAAATTTTTTAAAATGTAGATTAATGTGTATGTTTACATGTAAAACTCACGTATTTTTAAAATTCCCAGAAATAACGATTTTAGTTTTTGAAAGAATTTTAGTTTATTTTAAATATTTTGAGAAACGCGTTTTTTTCATAGTATGAATTTAATTTTAAAAGGCTTGTAATTGTAACTTTTCCCTAATTTAACTGACCTTGTAGTTCTTCCAATAAAAAAATACCCATAGTAGTATACACATATTATATTTTGTAGTTTTAATTTTCTTTTTCTAGACATTTTTTAAAGGGGCATTTTAAAGCATTTTTATAAATAACATTTATTTTTGACAAAAAAACAATTTTGAATTTTTCATGATATACAAATATTTTAACCCATTTTTTTCCAAAACCAATTCTATTTTTTTACAGATTTACAGGTTTTTAATGTCATTTTTATTAATTTGTGTTTTAAAAAATAATTCTTTAATTACTAAGGGATTTTCCTACATATATTTCAACAAATTAAGTTGAATTACATAACACCCTGTATAAATAAATAATACTGCAATTTATTAATATTAAATTTTTTTAGAGATAATACAAATATCAGTTTAAAAAGGATTTTTTAACAATTTAAAGATAACTTTTGCACATTTTAATTAATTAATATTTTTAAATAAATAAATAAATTGACAATATTTTAGTTTTTTAAACCTTTAGCAGTTTTTTATGTAAAGGTGTGTTTCAACTATTTTTTAAATAAATATGTAAATAGGGTGTAGATTCCTTCCATTAAAATAATAACATCAGAAACTAATTTCTGAAATTTAAATTAAATAATTTAAAAACAATTTTTGGTTTCAACTTCCTATTTTTATGCAAGGAATCTCTTCCATGCATATTTACAAACATAAATTCTCACCTGATATCCCAGATGATAATTTTCTTTTGATCAGGATTGTAAGGATCTCCTTGCGGCGAATAGGTAACCAAGTACTTTTCGCATGGCGAATAATCGATAAATTGCACATGAGCGTGTGCGAATTTCTTGTATTGGTCAAAGTTTGGACCTGCCCATAAGGCAATTCCTAGCTTGTGGAAGGTTGATAGGTATGTACCCAAGGGAGACCATTTCACATAGGTTTGAGTCCAAGACTGAAATTAAGAGAAATAAATATGTTTTAATAAATATAATGTTTGTTATTTAATTTTTATAAGAACAATAACATTTTATCCTTATTAAATATAATTATAAAATTGACAACTTTAGCATTCTTTTAACAGCCTTTTTAGCAGTTATTTTCCACATTCTAGAGTATTTTTTTATATCAAAATTTAAATTAATTTATATGGATATTTTGTTAAAACATGTTACTATTTTCTTGATGTTTAATAGTAAGATTTTCTATTAAACTGGATTTAAAATAGTGTTTCGATTTTTCCTGAGCGTATAACTTAAAAGAGAACTGAGAACTCTTCAAGCAAAAAAATCGGGATAAAATTGGAAAAATATAAATTTGTTTATTATTAAGTAATATTTATATTGGCATTTTATTTAATTTTTAGGGTTTTATGATTCATTAATTTATTATTGCTTTTCATGTTAATTTTAGGATATTTTAAAATTATATAGTATTTAAGGTACATTATTGGACATTTTAAATTTATATAATTTTTTATTATTTCATTCTCTTTTAAAGAATTACAAATTTTTGGATTTATTCTACAGGTTTTCTTAGAAAAACATGTTGTATGCAGTTAAAACTAATAATTTTATGTCAATTTTGGAACATTTTTAATATTTCCAAGGTATTCCAATTCTTAAAATCGTTTTTAGACATTTTAAATTTACAATATTTTATGAAGTTTATTTATAAACAAGGCTTAGACAATATCATATTTATATAAATAGAGTGTTTATACTCAAAATGGACAATGTAATAGAGTTTATAGATCTCATTAACACTTTTTAAATACATAATTTTCATTTGAGCTTCTTTTGTTTAAACATAATCCTTTTTATCTCCAATATTTACTGTCAGATTTTAGAAAACGTTTTTTTTAGTCAATTTTTAAATTTGGCCATAAATAACGAAGATAAAAACCAAGAAGTTTTAACATTAACACTTTTTCTTCCTTATGGCCAAATTTAAAAATGTTTAACACAAAAATTGTTGATATTAAACTGAAAAACCTCAAAAACTTTTTTTAATCTGGCGAATGATGAGTGACTATATCTTCAGAGTGTTGAATTATTTTCCCCACTTCAAAACTGAATTCTGCTATAATGAGTCAGCTGTTTACACCCAAAATCGGTATTTTATGAATAAAAAAATAAAAATAGTACTTACACTTCTTTCTTCAACCATAGTTGGATCGGGTTGGGTGTTCTGCCATATTTGCACAAATTGAGCTTGTACTGTCACAACAGCAAACTGGTCGTATGCATCAGGTTCCAACAAATAATAATGCAAATCATTTTGATCTTGATAAGGCTGTGGCTCTGGAGGCTCCCATTTGTCAGGTATCGACTCATATTTCGAGAAATCGGTAAACAAATTCACTTGAAATGTGTGCTGTTTATCCAGCTTAAAATTGCTGGTGAGCTTGACAGCTTCAGCTGCATGCACAGGCGATGAGTACTCAATGAAAATGTAGCCCTTGGTGGAGCCTTGCTCATCAACTGGGTAAAACTCATTAACAATGCTACCAAATTTAACAAAAATCTTGTTTATTACAGACTTAAGTTTTTCAATACGGTTGGGGCCAACTACAGGTACACCATCCACCACAATAACACTCTCTACGCCGTCAGTTTCCTTGGGTTTTGTTTTCAATATGTCCCCAATTAATTCTAAAATGAAATATAACCTATAAATCCAATTTGACATATGTTTTGACATATACGCGATATAAAGCTTGAATTAAATGCTGAATACGGTAATAATATGATTTTCATGCTGATCCCGCGTTAATTTTCGGTAAATTTCGCGTATAAAGTGATAAAAAAGGCATGTTGAACTGTCAAATAAGATGACTTTTTTCGGCTAAATACCTTCTTCCGTAATATCGTCCACGAATCCTTCCGGGTCGCTGAAGTTTGGCTCTTCATCGTTCGATGATGAATCGTCTTCGTTTTTTGTATTATCGCCGTTTTGGCTGTTTTTATCTTCTAATTTCTTTTTCGCCATTTTGACACGCGGGACGGCTAAGTTTAAGAGGGCGCCACATCAGTCAGGCATGCCAACATAGCTAAATCCACAGAGGCAAAATCCCCTAACATGTTTAAAATTTGACGTTTAGTTGACGTTACACTAGTTTTCTTTTACAAAACATGAAATTATCATAATATGAAGTAACAATAGAATGGTTTAATTTTAAGGTGAGTATTGTATGTTATCTAAATGGCTATACATTTGTTTTGTAATTATTGGTTGTTAAATAGGTAGGCTATTTTATTTAACAAAAACAATAACAAATTATTTTTAAAATTGATCAATAATTGGAGAATAAAGGTACATTTTATGGAATAAGGCAATTTTTGCAGAGTATAAGATATATTTCATCAAAATCGTAAGATCGCGTGTCTAGAGATCTTAACAGGGCATCAACCCTCCATTTTAAAATCATTTTATAGATGAAATAAATTTGCAGTACAAACATACGTAATATGTGTTTACATAAGTAATGGTAATACTAACATAAATAAATAATATTATTAGCTTATAATATTATATAATAACATAAATAAATAATATAATAACATAAATAAATAATATATTTAACAGTTACAATTTAATTGTGCCACAATTCTTAGTGGCCCTCCTGTACCATGTCCACTCTTCAAAGGTAAAGCTAAAATTTTGAAATCTCGAACTGAAAAAAATTAAAAAAATATCAATATACTATTCCACACATTAAATACACTTGTCTTAAGAATGGTAATTACACTGAGAAAACAGTTCTTAATAAACAGTTTACTAAGCAAAAATATATTAGTGGTTATTAAAAGTCTATTTATCATAAATATCCTTTTATAATGCTTATTAATAAAAAAATATACTTGAAATATCTTTATTTATCGTAAATAATAAACCTATTTGTCTTTAATAAACTCTATACTGTATAAGTTTTAATATAATAAATATTATTCAACAATAAACAGTTTATTGTTGATAAACATAAACATAATTATTAAAATAAAAGTTTTTATTAAACATCACAAACGCATATTAACCCTCAATAGCGGAATATTAAAGAGTTTTTTATGATCGCACTGCAGGTGGCTATATGCGTTTTGATTGGCTTATACAAGGGATGAGGCTTTGGAAACAGAGGAAAATGGTCATTTGTCATCTTAATAGCGGTCGGGTGTGTCGTGCTTGTGTCGTGGTTATTAATGAATTAGGTATTGTTCATAATAATAATTATGAATTTTGAAAAGCATTTAAGTGAATGAGGATTGTCTTCATATATTGAAATATTTCAAGGTAAGCATCAAAATAATTTGCCTTAGGTTAAAGTTTAATATTACGCCGTGACTAGAAGTACACCGGGAGTACGGGCATTAAACGTACATCAGGTTTGTGTGCATGCGTGTTTCCATACCAGCTGATGGTAAAATTTCGGATTTATTAGTTGAGATTAAATTGGTACAATAAGGCCCAGTTGTATAACAGTTTAATTAAGTGATTGAAATACAATTAACAACAAAATTAATTAGATGTCAGTATGAATTACCCAAACCAACCCAAACTCAACAACCCAACCCAACCGACCCCGCCCCATTGGGCCCCCCCGCCCCATTGAGCGCGAAATTGAGCGACCATTTAATATTATACAATTGACAAATATGGTAAATAAGGATTTTTTTCCACCCGGTGTACGTTTAATGGCGGTACTCCCGGTGTACTTCTAGTCACTTTAAAAACAAAGGTTATTTTATTTGATTTATTTTATTTTGTTATCACAAATATTATAATTATGTTTTTTTAAAAGTGCTCTTTTATGTTTTAAACAATTATTTATTTATGTTTAAATTTATGTTTATTATCTATGTGTAACATGGTATGTTTTGTTTTTTTTATTAAATCCATCTTAAGTTTTTAACATAAATTAAATATTTTTTACACCTTTTAAAACATTAAGAATATAAAATAACGTTATTTTTATGGATTATCTATATCAACGAGTAGGTACACTGAGAAAAAAGTTTATTGCTCCCAAATAAAAAAAATATTTAAATATGGGACAAGGGTACAGTTTATTTATCCTAAATATATTTTTATTCCCGACACATAAAGTTTTACTAAAGTATATTTATCGTTATTATTTCGACTATTTAGAGGTAATAAACAATATATTCACTATTAATAAAAGTATTAGCTACACAGTTTATTTGTCCCATTTTTTTCTCAGTGTACCTACCTATATTATAAAACACTATTTTACCCAGTAAAAATATTTAGTTTACTTTAAAAACGTATAGGTTTTCTAAAGCTATAATTTATGTTTAAAATGTATTTATTATTTTTTTATTATTATTTAATAAAAATTATCCATAAATAGGTTTGTATTTTTTTTAAATACCTTCTAAAAAGAATATTAAAAAGTAAGTAATTTCAAGGGTATTAAGTCCGCTTTTTAAACACTACTAAAATTTAAATACAAGTGAAACTAATACCCTTTGTCTAAGGTCTAGATATACTGTATATTTGGACCTTAGACAATATAATATACATTACAGTAAAGGTAAGTAAAACTTTTATTAAACGGTACTATAGGGTTTATTAAGCATTATTAAAATTTTATTAAACATTATTATAGGGATTATTAAACATTATAAAAGTTTTATTAAATATCATTATATGGTTTATTAAGCATTATTAAAGTTTTATTAAACAGTATTATATGTTTTATTAAGCACCATTATGGGGTTTATTAAGCATTAATATACGTTTTATTAAGCACTATTATATAATTTATTAAGCATTAATACTCGTTTTATCAAACGTTATTACACTTTTTAGTATACACCATTATAAGTGTAGTAAGCATTATTACATTTTTTAATTGCCATAAATATATACATACAGGCAAGTTATTGGCTGGTAAAAATGATTATAATAAACGTTAATAATCATGAATATTATTGTTAAGCAAAATTTTTATTTGTAGTTACAAAATAAAAAATATTAAAGGTTATTAACTATTTAGTAACCACCAGCAAAGAAAGTCATTATATGATTTTATTGGTGGTGAATATTTTTTATTCTTGTCCCCTATTTCATTATTTTTTTTATTGTACGTTAATATTTTTTTGATAGTGGTTACTATATTTTTTTCTCAGTGTACCAGGCAATTCTTCATTCATGTTTATCATTTCCATGTTATATAAATATCCTTTCAATAAAATCTGGTGGGCTACCAGTGGGTTCGCATTTCCTGCATCTACACTGGCCGTGTCCACGCCAACTCCGTAAAATTTATTTTGGTTTACAATCCATTCAGCTGTTTCTTTGGGAATGCCTATTTAAAAAATATAAATATATTTTTTTAAATATTGTATGTATGTATGTTTTTTTAAATATTGTATCCCTATAAACAATACGTTCTTTCTTTTTTTAAATTTACCATAAATAATTACACTACTTTACAAAATCGAAAAAAAATTCTGCCCACCATATATATGGTGGTGTAGTGTAATTATTTATGGTAAATTTAAAAAAAGAAAGAACGTATTGTTTATAGGGATACAATATTAGAGATATCTCATTATAATTTTTCCATGTATTTTGACCCACTAAACACGAAAATCGCAAAAAAAAATTATGGAAGCGTTTTTGAAATATGAATTTTCAATTGTTTTTTTTTAATTTTCGGAGGTGTTTTGACGTTTTTGAGTACAGGGTGATCCCCTATAATGTCGCCACCCTTTAACTTTTTTATTTTAAGTGTCCCAAAAAATTTAAAAGTGTGGTTATGTAGGAACTAAAAAATGCTTTTTTTCTACGTATAAAGAAAATTGGAAAATTGATCAGTATACAGGGAAAAACAAAAAAAAAAAATTTTTTCAATGGATCACCGTATATTTGAATTTATTTTTCGATTCCTTGTAAAATTCTGAGCATAATTTATATACAAACCATATATCTAAATTCAACCGTTTCTGAAATATTCGCATTCGAAATGTCATTATTAAATGTTTTTTTAAACTGTTAGAAATCAAGAAGCCTCAGTATATCAAAATTTTTATTGAAAATAAATTACTATAGTGACATTATGTCAATAAGTGTTGTTAAATAAGTAAAAATGGCGTACCCAGACAGAGAAAGACAAACTATTTCAACTTATTATCTTAAAAATAATTTAAATATTTCAGAAACGGTTGAATTTAGGTATATGGTATGATATATGAAATATGCTTAGAATTTTACAAGGAATCGAAAAATAAATTCATATATAGGGTGATCCATTAAAAAAAAATTAACTTTTTGTTTTTCCCTGTATACTGATCAATTTTCCAATTTTCTTTATACGTAGAAAAAAAGTATTTTTTAGTTCCTACATAACCACACTTTTAATTTTTTTGGGACACATAAAATAAAAAAGTTAAAGGGGGCGACATTATAGGGGATCACCCTGTACCTATAGCTTGAAATCTAATTGATCGATTTGGTCAAACAAGCCCTCTAAAACTTTATTTTACATACATATCGGATAAGTATTTTGACGCTAGCGATTTTAATAACTTAAAAAATTCGTTTTTATGGCAAAAATTGAGGTCGAAAATTTACATATCGTCCTGGGAAAGGTTTAAACCAAACAGATAACTCCAGTTTGGATTTTTTTTTCGTAAAGCTGACATTTAAAAAAATAACAAGCTAATGTTGATAAAAATACATGAAAAAATGGCGAAGTTATGAATTTTTTAGTGGATGACCAAAATTCAGCTTTTTGACGATTTTTATTTTAATTTTTTCTTTTATTTCGTAATATGTTTATTTTTTAATGAAAACCTAATTAAAGTGCATGATTGCAATTTTTTAAGTTTTTACGTACTTTTTTCACCGAAAACATTATATAAAATTTAAATTTGACATGACTCCGCAAACGTTGGCATAGTGACATTTTACTGCTATTTTTTAATATTTTAACAGAGTATTTTTATCATGGTTCTATTTAGTTAATACAAAGTGTAAAATAAGTAAAAGAAGTAGAGAGTTCGAGTGCGTAAATAACCCGGACAATCTGGGCGACGTTAGTGATGAGCACGGATAACGTTTTCACCAGCAAATGAAGGCTATGGAGCGGCGGTATTACGGTTTCTAGGATGCAGCCATGATGGGTGATTCCATTTGGTCCCATATACGAGAAACGGAATACAAAAGCAACAAAAAACAAAAAAGGTGCCAGATTTTTTTTAAACCTATGCTTATTACAACAAAATAAAACTTTCAATATCTTCAATGTTCAATATTTATTGTTCAATATTTATTGTTCAATATTTAATATATAATGTAATTTCAATACCTATTTAATGTTTAAAATAAAAATCAATGTTCAATATTAAACTTTAATAACTCGAAAAAACTGAATTTTGGTTTTCACTGAAAAATTCATAACTTTGCCATTTATCCATGGATTTTTATCAACAGCAGCTTATTTTTTACTTTAAGTATAATCTATACGTAAAATAAATCAAACTGGACTTATCTTTTCGATTTCTATCTTTCCCAGAAAGATATGTAAATTTTTGACCTCGATTTTTGTAAAAAAGGACTTTTTCAACTTTATAAATCGCCAGTATCGAACTACTGAGCCGATACCAAAACTATACAAGAGAATTGAAAATTGATATCTCGAAAACGCTTCCATGAAAAAAAAATTAAGTTTGATTTTCGCGTTTAGTGAGCCAAACTAAACAAGAAAATAATATTGAGACATGGTGGGAAAAATTACTGTAAACTGTGTTATTAATTATACAGGGTGTTATGTAATTAATGTTATACCTATATTAAAATACTGAATACCTTTTGACATAAGGAATAAAGGAAAAATATTTAAAAAAACATTTTTCCAAAGATAAAGAAAAAATATGCATTAGAAGTTTTTATATTTTTTGTGATACGCCACTGGTTACACACTTGTTTACCTCTGCACACCTGTATTTTGTGAGTACATAGATACCAACCAACAAAGTAGCTATGCGTTGCCAGATGGAAAAAATTGTTACTAAAAATTTTTCTTGCAAAAAATAAATAAAAACTCAATAAATACAAAAGTTTTATGCCCTTAAAGCTCTAATACCCTTCTGTATTTATTTACTGATCCAGCTATTAGCTTAAGCAATGATTAGAAAATTTAGTACCTTTGAAATTTGAAATCCATAACCACAAAATTAATTTTTTCATCAGTTTTTTTCTCTGTTTACTCAGATGAAATTGGGACCAGTTCACAGGTTAAACTTTAAACATTTAATTTGTGTAAATAAATCCAAAAGCACTTCCCTTAGTTAAGATATTTACAATTTGAAAACATAACCTAAAATTTAAAAGAAATGCACTAGATTCTGTCATAAAAGTTGGCAGATTTTGTTTGAATTTACCTTCAGTACAAAAATGAAATAACCAACAATTAATAATAACGCCAAATTGACAATTTGCATTGTTAATTTTGTCATTTTTGTAATTAAGCTAAATTTAAACAATGTTTGTCAACTTTTTTGAGAGATTTTTCAAACACTGTTGTTACCAACCATAACATAATAAATCCACCAGATTAACCTAAAGTTCCTAGTCGATCAGTGGCGTACTTTTTGGTAGGATAAAGGTTATTATAAATTATTTTTAGACTTTGGAATTTAGAAAAAAAAAGTTTTAGGTGCTTCTTTATGGACCCTAAGGAACAACCCATTTTAATATATAACATTAATTACATAACACCCTGTATTATCATTGAATACTACAAAAAATAATAAATTTTACCTGGAAAACTTGTCGAGTTGTCACTTTTCAGTCCTAAATAATTAGTTTTGTTGGGCCAGTATTTTGACCAGCCAAATTTAATAAGTAAAACAGACCCATTTTCAAAAGGGCCATTTACTTTTTCCCAGTTTTCTAAATGTTCAGGTGTTACATAGAAGTTTGGGTCTCCGCTAGCTGCAACTTCATCTGATAAGTCCACAAGTGCAGCTAAATTTTTTTTTTGTAAAAAAATATAAAATAGAATTTTTGACAGTTTTTTACCAGTACTTATAAGTCTTTCAAAAGGTATTTCAGCCACTGTCCAAGCTCCTGGGTTGAAATGTACAGGGGCGTCAATATGGGTCCCCCCATGCTCTGCAGCTGAATAGGTAAACATGGAAAAACTATAAATAGGAATAGTAACTAGTGGTGTAAAGCCAGTTAAAATTCATCAATAATTATTATACATAAATTCACCCATATGGGATGTGAAATTTCTACTTACCCATCTTGTGCATATGTATCCAATACTTCTGGAAAAGTAAAAGATGGCAAGCCTGGCCAATACACAGTGTCATTGTCGAATGGCCAAGACAAATCTATGTATGTACATTTTTTGGATTCAGGTCTACCGCAAGCCCATGCAAAAAGTATGCTTGTGAATAATAATATAATTTTATGGGCATTTCTGGGCATTTTGAGTTAAATTTGTTAAAGGTTTATGGTATTTATATCTGGATTATTATGGAGATTTATTTTAAATTATTGTTTACATTAAGCTTGATTTTATGCATTACCATGATAATATTTAATTTCAAATTAATTATAAAAAATAAAGCACCATGTATGCTTTTAATGGAACGCGTAAATTTAAATATTTTGAATTAATTAAAAGTTATTTTAATTTTATCAAGCTTTTATCAAACATTTTAAAACAAATGGGATATTTAAATCATTTATTATTTACCTATAAACTTTTATAAAAATAATTAAATTTAACAATTACAATCTAATTCTGCTACCAGTCTTAATGGTCCTCCAGTTCCAAACTCAATTTTCATTGGTAGAGCAAATAATTTAAAACCTTGAGCTAAAACAGAAAAAAACCTTTTAATGCCTTCCTGGCCATCAATATTTTATGTAAATTTCATACCAGGTAGATTTTCCACTATTTGGACCATTTCCATGTTGAACAAGTAACCTTTGGAAAGTTCCCTATGGGCAGCAAAGTCCGTGGAATTCCCAGGATCTACACTGGCTGTATCAACTCCAACACCGTAGAATTTTTTCGAACTCGTTATCCATTGAGCAGCTGCCTTTGAAATACCTTGAAAAAAATTGTATAGAAAGATCGTTTTTTGAAATTTTATTTCTTACCAGGAAAATTAAGTGTCCCATTTTGCAGCCCCATGTAGTCGGTTTTGTTGGGCCAAAATTTGGACCATCCGAATTTTATTAGCAAAATTGTTCCATTTTTGAATGGTCCATTAATTTTTTCCCACTGCTCGAGATGAGAAGGTTGGACTTGGAAATTTGGATCTGGACTTGCTGAGACTACGGTAGATAAGTCCAGAAATGCACCTGAAAATGTGCTGACTGTAACATTTCACAACTTGACTTATATAGGTAAAAAGAATGTCAACCATAGTGAGATGTAAGCAATTAGATCAAAAAAGAATTAGGTACCTTGGGAAATAAGTCTATTAAATGGTATTTCACCAAGCTTCCATGCATTCTCATTGAAATGATAGGGGGCATCTAAATGTGTCCCCCCATGCTCCCCTGCAGCAAAATCATACATTGCATACCTAAAAAATAAATAAAAATATTAGGTAATAAAAAGTTTTTATTTTTTTTATTACCATGAATTATCATCTCTATGCCCCTCTACTTTTTTAATGAATTTAAAGTTAGTTGAAGTTGGCCAGTAATTTGTATTATTATTAAAAGAATAAGACAAATCCACGTATTTTACGCAATTGTAGTGTAAAAAACACAGAAAAAAACTTAAAATCGCAATAGAGAACTTCATAGTAACAGATTTATTAATATACTGATACATACAAGACATTATTTTGATAATTAGCTAGTGGTAAACACATTTTATGATAACACATTTTATCTAAATTTACTTATACTTCTCGTTTCTTAAATTAATAACACTCTAAATCATTTGGGTATCTGCAAGATGGATTTTCACATTAAAAAACTGAAAAGTAAAGTAAAATTGATAATACTGATTTATCAAGATTGTAAAATCGCGTGCAGCTGCCTTGCTAATAATTCAAAGTTCCTCTATAAATTATATTGACAAAATAGACTGAATCCTTTATTTAAAACTCTAATAAACAATAATTTATACTTGAAGGGCTTTGTGGCTACTTTATTTTGCGCTTTATAATTATAATCACGTTTAAAAATTATGCCATTAATTAAACTTTTAAATACACACCTTATTTGTAATGTAAAGGATCTTCAATTATATTTTTAAACAAAGAATGCCTTGCTTATGTCAAATTAAATTTATCTGTCAAATGTACAGTGTTAATTTGACAAAAATCCTTTATACCTACAGTTAATTTTTTTTTATCTGGACTGTTTTTTTTGTTAGGTTGGTGGCTTATGCCAGTTTGACTTTAAAAATGGTACTTCTGCTAAAGAATTTAATTAAATACTTTGACACTGTCAAATTGACAATAATATTTATTTTTGATAATTTACTTGTCAATTATAAATAAAAAGATAATTATGCCAAAAATAATAGCAACGAATTTGAATGTAAAAGCCCTTTTGAGGGCCAAACTTCATTTTGATGAAATTATGCCAAATGCCGTAATGGAAGAAAAAGTACATCGCCTTATGGACATTTTTGGAGTAAAAAAGTAACGAATTTGGTTTTATAAATATTACATCACACATTATTTTCACATTATTCATTACAACATTTACGTTCACAAAAAATTTTAATTTCTTTTATATAAATTCTTTTCAAAGCGAAGATTATTATCCGCTAGGAATACTTTCTCTTCTGGGCCGTAAAGCAACCTATATTTAACTACTTTTTTTATATGATTTTACTCATCCAAGCACCACCAAAGCCAAATTAATTGCATTTTTAACTACGAATTTCGACAACTCAACTTGACAACTGCACAATGTAACCTACAATAATTTATACATAACCACAATTAGATTTATAACTAGCTTAGTTTGTTTTAATCAATGCGACCAACTTGACAACTGTATTTACCAACCAAAACCCTAAATTTGCAACGTTGCCGCAGTCCAGATAAAAAAAATGAACTTAATAGAAATAAAATCACACCACCATTTTAAAACATTAGACGTTGTCATTTACAGTTAATTAATTTGACATTTTATATATAGTTATATATTTACCCATCTGTCGAAAAATATGCCAGTTGTTTTGTAAAACTAAATGTTTCAACTCCTACCCAATAGATGGTATCATTTTTAAATGGCCATGTCATGTCTATATGTGTGCAATCTTTATTTTTATCACATTTAGCAATTGTACAAGAAAATAAAAGTGCGAATATTAAAGATAAAGTTAATTGAAACATTATATATAATGTTATACTATAGTACTACTATAATAGTAGTAATAATAATAATAAGTCTTAAGTAAATGAATATTGACCAATGGTTGCGTTTTTAGGTTTGTCAGATGTTTTATAAGGATTTCGGTTTAAAGATACTGGGGTAAATTTAAATAAGAACAATGCGGTAATTTGTGCGCAATATAAGATTAATTTTAATTTATTTATAAATGTATTTATAAATAAATCTATTTATTTTATAAAGAGAACAATGCGGAAAATATCATAATTTATGCGCAATATAGGTAGATTAATTTTAATTAATTTATAAATGTATCTATCTATATTATAAAGGGAGGTAGGTACTCTCTTAAAATGAAATAGTCAAAATTCTACTATTTGAATTAGTACCAGCATTTTTTACTAATAAAATAGTCGTTTTCACTTTTAAATAGATATTTTTTACTACTTAAATAGTTAAAGTGTGATTAATTTAAGATTAGACATCATTAGTCATTTGACTATTTCTGAGAGCTAAAATAGACTAATTTCTTTAATCGTTGGCGTCCAACAACAAATTATTGTTTGAGTTAAATGCATATAGGCATATAGACAAAAAATTTGATTTTTATGAAAGTGACTGATGACCACATTTGTTATGACATACGCTTGACAAGTTTGACAACCGACAGACCCGAGTTCAAACCCCGGCTGCGTTAGAACTTTTTTTAAATTTAAATCTACTAATTTGACTATTTTATTCAGTAGAATTTGACTAATTATTAATGACTGCTTTTTCGATATGACAATTAGTCAAATATGACTTATAATTAATTATTTTTGACTAATTCATTTTAAGAGAGTACTATTGTTGTTGCTGCTTTAATCACGTAAACTAATATCAAACCCAGCAAACTCTATTTGAGTTAAATTTTCTAAAATTAAAAAATCCACTATTGAAGTACCTATTTTCCTGAAGTCCTTGGATATTTTTGTCCTTCAATGTCTGGTCGTAATGAAAAAATTAGGAAAGGAACGGTAGAAAAAGGAAACGACAGATAATGAAGATACAAATAGATAATTGCAGGTGCGCAACACCGTGGTCCATGTTAAAAACGTCGGGATTTATGCCACATTTATTGGTTGTCTGTTTACATCACCATGACTACATTTAGCCAGAAATAACGCCTTGATAAAAAATTAAAGTAAATTAATTGGAATTTGCAATTAAGATTAATTTACAAAGCTTGACACGTAAATATCTATAAGCTGCCATTTTTTATAGGTACTTTTAAAAACATAAAAAAAAATTTCAAACTGTCTGTCAATTTTGAATTATTTTAGAAACGCTTTTAAGAATTAATTCTTTTAAAAACCTGCCAATTCTTTTTTTTAACTGCCTAGTATACTTTTCTTTGTCTGGTACTGTCTGTATGTCTAATATACATATAAGGGTCTTTAAATAATTCTAAGGAAAAACAATTTTGGAATTATCCCGGCACATTCGCCATTTTTGACAATATTATCAAGACCGCAAATTGTTTTAGTCTGTTTAGTTTCATAGGTTTCATTTTGTAGTTTTAGAATTTTTTAATTTGTATTTTATTTATTCCAATTTAGTTAAGATTTAGCAGCAAAAAATTCTATATAAACTGCGCACCACTCAATGTGTCGCGACCAAAAAGTTCGTCCTTTTTCAAAACGACATAACTTTTTTGTTTCTTGAGCGATTTTATTTTGGTCTGTGATGTCTGCTAGCCCTATCCTCTGGAAATTCGTGCTATAGATATGAAGCTCACGGTTCTTCAAGTAAATTTCGTACTAATAAAATTGCAATTTTTGGTGTAAATGTTTAAAACCAAACGGCAGCAAGTTTTGTAGAAATGGTGTACAAAATGTCAATTTTCTCTTGCAATGTGTAGGACATTATAACTTATAATTTTAAATAAAAGAAATTAATTTCTGTTAAAACGCTCGAAATACACACTAGCAAATGCAAAACAAAACTGAATCCTTGCCTATGCCGGCAATCTGCTTATTTTAAGTAAAAGCTTTTTTGAGGCAATATTACTTAATTTAAGTAAATATTTTGTTAAATTAACCTTAAAAATTTACTTTAAAGTAAAACTTTTTTTAAAGTTATTTAATAAGTTTTATTTATGTTATTTTTACCTATTTTAATAACCCTTAAGTTTCAACACTTTAAAGTATTATGAGAGACGTATTTTTTACGAAAGAAAATTTCTTATAAGTGTATTTCACCTAAAGGAAATTTTAACGGTAATTTTAACGTCAGAATTTTTACTTAATGGTAAATGTTACTCATAAGTCATAATTTTACGATATTAATACCACTTTATAACCGTAAATAATTCCTATTCTCCTGGTATTTTTTAGGGTTATTAGTGGTAATAAATACTTTGAATATTGACTAAACAAGAAAAATAAGCTTAAAGTGAAAAATAAAACTTTAAGGGAAAATTTTTTTCAGGTCGCCATAATGAATTTTTTAAGATGGTATCCATTACTTATCTAAACATTTATATGATATTTTTTCATAAATATTTGTCTAAAATATAATAAAGAAAGTTTTAGTTATTAAAAAATGATTAAAACTAAATAATTTTTAAAAGATTTTATAAAATTTTGTAGGTTTTAAGTTATGTTGAATTTTTACCCAAGCAATAATTTTTCTTAAAACTGTAAAATATTTAGAGGGTATGTAGTTTTTAAGATGTATCCTGCCTATTTTATTTTATATTTTATAATTTTACTCTAGGGTGACCTTTATTACTTTGTAAGTACCATTTTGTAAAATATAAATTAAAAGAACAAAGAAATTACGACTGTCAATGTTTTTGAAAGAGAGAGCAAACAGTTAGTAATTATAACGTTATTTTTACGTAAATTTGTGGTATTTATATTGTTTTTATTACGTTATTCTCTTAGTAGATCCAAAAGGTTATTATGTAGGTAAAATAACGAAATAAACCATTCCCCAAATTTGGTAATTTTTCGTATCTATACCGTTATAAAACCGTTTTGATTAACCATAAAAAATACTTTAAAGTTGACTTAGTAGTAAAGTTGTAGTTATTTAAACTTAAAATGCTGCTTGGGAATGCATCTGGGGAGGGGCGATCGGATTCACTCGGGTTCACTCGTATAGCTCTCTTTCTTCTTCTCTCTACGTTACCTATATCTTTTTTCTTTCTCGTGTAACGAAACCTCGGAACGTTACATTTTTTCCAATTCTCTCTCCATTCTCGTCAAATATCAGAACGCCACCAAAGAAGTTTCACTTCAAAAGTGACTAGGTATTTATAAAGTAAAAAATGTTATATTATTACTAATTCAAATTGTTGAATTCTGACTATTTCATTTTAAGAGAGAACATCGACGAGCAGAAGCGAGAGAGGCGCTGCGCGTATCTAGTGAGCCCTTTACATCCCATAGGGGGTGTCATTATTCCTAATAGCCTCTACATATCCATTTGTATGTTTAATC